TATTATAAGGATCTCTATTCTTTTTGAATAAAATAGACTTAATTTTATAGGCTGTTAAGGTAGGTTTCCGTAGGTGACGTTCTTTTAAGAACGATCTAAGTCTTTTTCTTTGTGTGCCAAATACAAAGAAATTATTCAATCTTCCCTAATGCATATTGTTTTAGATAAAAAAGGAAGTACTCAGAAGTGGTAATACTATTTATATATATATTTTATAATAAATATTTAATAATAGGTATGTTATGTATGAATCATGTTCTACAAATAGATTAATTACACTTGAACAAGTAAATAATAACGTACCAACATTTTTAATGATATTGTCTTAAAAACAGTTTGCTGTTTATTATAATAAGAAACAATCTGATACAATAAAATATTTAAGAACACGCTACAACTGTATATAAGTAAAGCTACAAGGTGGTGTAGTGACCAAGGCGAATATATACGGTGCGTTGAACCTGACATGACTAAACAAATACTATTGTATATCATTAGTACTGAGGTATTACCTATTTTCTTTAAACAATGACGACGGTAAGCACCAGGGTACCGTAGCATGTAAACGTTTGTTTACATGCTACGGTACTACATTTCGTTTTAAAAATATTTTTTTTATATAATCCATATATAAAAATTAATTACTAATACATTATTATTATGCCCTCAATACAAGAAATCTGCTATTATAGATTCGTATAAAATTACTTCACATGCGCGTTTTCGACTTATTTTACGGGAAGTAGTAAGTTACTGGTAATTTCATAATTTACTGAGATCTCGCATGATTTTTTTATTATCTTAAGTCTAGTTTAAATATACCTACACGTTTTTTGTAGCCTGAGGTTAAAAATAATAATAAACAACGACCAATTTATACAGCGCCATCTAGTCTCTAACTAAGTAGAGTTTGTTTTGTAAGTAGCTACTACACAACATATAGAAAACTTTGTGTGTTCTACGTTATTATCATTATAGTATTGTATTATTACTATTATAAGAATAATAAAAATCTTATTTATTCGTATGTATCACGTTAATCCTATTATAGAAGTTGGAGTCGCAATTCCCAATACACTAACTTGAAATTGTACAATATAAAAGAACAATGAAACAAACTTTGTTTAATAAAACGTTACACTAACATTCTAAATTGATTTTCAGCATTCTACTTGCACTATAAGAACATTGCGAGAAGGTCGCGCTTCCATCTGAGAATATAAATATTTTAAGAGATGTGTGGAATAGTATATAAATTTAGAATATTAATTTGACTAATTTGTAATTTCATGCGAAGGAAGGAGAAAGTGAGCGGCATCCACTCCTATCGATCCCCCATCCAATTCAAACGAGGATCGAAATTGCGAAGGCCTGACCCGAGGTTGGAACCCTTAACGGTGCTCTGAGACTAATGTCATCCGTCAGGCAGAAGTTGGTATCATTTCTCAAACTTCCTAATACATATAAGAATAATTTATTGTTGCCAATGAAGTTACTTAAAAGGGAATACATTTAAAAAGCACCTACTTAATTAATAGCGGCAAGAGGACGATGACATATTCGACAGGGTGCTTCTGTGCGAAGTGCGGTTGAAACGAGTCAACCGAATAACATAAAAAAAAGAAATAAAATTGTTATCTAAATGCAAGATTATTAATAATCTTATACATAAACTAATAATATAATATATATAAACTACTAATAAAAAATATAAGAACGTAATAAGATTAAATCTAAGCAACATATAATATGTTGTTTATGAACATATTTCATATTTCCAAAATATCACAATAATTAATTGTGATATTTTGGAAATATCTTTCTAAAACTACATTATCATTATACCCTGCCTGACCAGAGGCAGGAGATTATAGCATCAATTCTATCTATTCTATTCTATTCTAGAAGATGTTTCTCGGTTCTTATGATAACATTACAAACTATTAAATCCTTTTAATGAAGAATGAAAAGAAATATCTTAATACATTATGCTCGTTTTAGCAGTCAGAAAAATATGTAGGTAAGTACTTAGTACGTACTTATGTCCTATTCGCGAAATGTAGTAGAAAACATACTCATTGGTATTTTGACACCGTCGGCGAAACTCTTTACCCGTGCAATGTAGCCCGGCGGAACCGGAAGTAGAACGATAATAGTTTGAGTCCGGTCGGAATTTATGCTTCGAATTATTTTGTAACATCCATAGAGCCCGCAAAACGACGCATTAGCATGTTATTGCAGAAACAATGACAATCAAAGTAATCCCTTTGTTATTAGAAACCTATAACATAATTCCAATCTATAATACAATTAAATTGTTTATAATTCAGCGCCGACTAGATAATCTAATTTCAACCGACTCTAAAAAAGAAGAGAATCTCAATTCCAGAATATAAATTTGTATCATAAACATCCCACGCACGAAAAAATTCTGTTAAAATTGGAACTTCTTTTTGGCAGTATTATCAAAACTTTCAAAGCAAGAAACAATACCATTTCTATAAATATTTGTTGGTACATAGGTAAGTATACTACTTGATTTATGATTGAGGACCGTTTTTATATTTATGGAATGAACTGTACTTCTGTATTATATATATTTACTTAATTCATTAAAATTTAAGCGTAGGCTTGTAATGAAAAAAGGTTTTTCAAATTCCCAAAAGACAAATGGGTTGCGCGCGGACGAAGCCAAAGGAAAGAGATTAAACAGAAGAAGAGTATTTATAGAAATATTTATTTATAGTACATTTGTAATATTAAATAATAACGGAATCTTGGTATGATTTTTTTATATTTATTTAAATCCAGATAATTCTGCAGTATAGCAACATCCATTGATCACTCTTTAATTATCTATACCAATACCTATTGTTTATTTCTTAATGTTACGTCAATATAATACATTTCTTATTAGTTACTAGATGTATGAATCTACAACTATAATTCACATTATGTTCAATTAATACGCTGCACTGAGAGCTTTTCTAAATAGAAATAAAAATTGAATACTTTTTTTAATGTTACCTACCTAATTCGACAATTTAATTTTACCGAAATAAAATTAAATTTTATGTTTACTACATGCAAATTATTATCTCATGACTTTCTGTATTTAGTACTTAACTCTAATATTAAGTTATTTCCATAACTAAAGTGCATCTATTTTTAGTTATGAAAAAAATCGGGCTGAATAATTAACGATATGGGCAAGGTCTACAAACAGCCTATATACATAAGGAGGAACTTATGTTAAACGAACATGTTATGCGGGGAGCGAAAACCGAAGTTATTAACTTAGAAATAGTTGCTTAATTTGAGATACCTACCCCATATTTAGCGTTAATTGAACTTACATACAGACGCGTCTATAAATTGTAAAACTTTGGCCACTAATAACATAATGTAAAACTTACATGCAATATAATGCGACGTAGGTATTGAATTTTATTTTTAAGAGTTACACAACTAATGGGGAAGACACAAAATTGTAGGTATGTAACAAAACACACAAAACACCTAACCTGCATAACTTCATCTACTGTTTTTTACAACATATTTAATTACTGCTCCGTTCCTGTAAGTCTTTGCGTGACGTCATACAGCCTTCCACGATAAATGTACACGAAAGAAAACTAAAAGAATCGATGTAATATTTTAAAATTTTATTTTATATTTAAAAGTTTTTATATTAGTAATTAATAAGATTATCATGTTTAATTAAACAAACATACAAACTCTCCAGCTTTATTTATCACTATAGATTTTAAAGCATAAATAAGTTCTTTCAACTGTAGTCAAATTGTATATGTGTATACTTCAATATCTGCCACACCTTTGTAACTATTATATAAAGTTGCGGTACCTACAATCTGCATTTGAAATGTAATCTGTAACATGCCACTCTAAAGTGCCACAAACGAGTTAAATTTATTTTATGTATTTTTAACCTGGTGCTTTAATATAATAAAATTGTAATAAGTCGATATATGCACATTATAAACCAGGTACCACTAACCTTGAACTAATAATTATTAATTATAAGAAATTATTTAAAGAAATGTGTACCTTTAGGTATACCTATACAACCGTTTCTGACCCATAATCAGGATTGGTAATCTTAAAACACGGTCTCCTACGAAGAAATATAGAAATAATAGTATTTTCACTGACTTTCGTAGGTCAAGATCTCATACAAACTTGTATGAGGACAAAATCTCGCCTTTATACTAGGATCCTTGCCTATAGTACTCATTCCTATTAGTAGACCTCTTTATTATTTATTTTGTACAGTGATTATATTGTGTTAATCATTGATTCTGTGTTATTTCCTTGTATACCACTGTTATTTTGCTAACATGAGAAGTTCTGAAGATACGTCCCAAACACTGAGTTTCTTTCAGATAGTATGTTGAATATTGTATGCAAAACCAAATGTTTCTACTTTTGTAATATATATGTAGTTCATAGTAATAAATACCTACATACATAATTTGTTTATATTATCCCGCCGCGCCATGATGGACCCGATAGCAATGTTTGTGTACAATCTACATTTATATTACAAACGCCATCTATTATATTGTTCTAAAACTTTTATTATCACAAGCATTTACTATGCTTTTTCTTTTATTAATATTGATTACAATAACCATAATTAAATTATACTTTTTCATACATTTGAAGAGTGCTATATTATAAAAAGTAATCAATTTCAATTTTATAAAGATAATTAATTAAGTTTAACACATTTTTGCGATGCCCGAATTCTTCGTAATTCGGAACGTAATCATTAAGCCAGTTTCATACTAATGATAAATAACGAAAAATACATTTGTACATTATTTTATTTTTAAATTTAAATATTCTATTTGTCATACAAATTTTATCAATATTTTATTTAAATATTCATAAGTAATAAAATAATGAATCCTATATTCTACCACTGCTTCTTAATGCATAGTGAGATTTAACAGTGTAAGCGTGCCCTAACACACAGAAATTCCTCTGTCTCGAAACTCCCAGAGACGGCTAAATGTATCTACTTTGTTGATCTCTATTATAAACTCTTAATTTACAGTAGATTACATCAACTACGTTGAAGTCGAGTGAATCTTAAGTTTTTATGTATTATCTAAGTTTAGATATAAACTGTCAAATGTTTTCTACCAGTGCCTTTTATCAACAGTGCAAGCAAGCTTCAAAAATAAACACATGATTACTTGGACTGACGGTGTTCATTTGTTTTCATTATGACAAAGCGCCGAAGAATCCTGCACGCCGACAAAATTATACAAAATGTTATCTACGTGTTTTGTTTGTTAATGTTTCTACAGTTGAAAGGTTAGTTTTCTAAGTGTACAATGTTTACATTTGCAGCTTTTTGAAATTTTAATATAAAAAAAATACACGCTTCCCTACACGTTTACAATGTTTTGATGCCCTAAGTAAGCAATAATACTATACTTAATACTGTAAATAAAAATAATATTGTATTTGCAACCATTTTGTTGTTTACGTTTCTTTAATGTATAATTACATTATGATACACTTCCACTTACGTTATTCGCTGGCAGGGCACCAGTGGAGGATAAGTGAGATCAATTAGCCCATTGAGACAAATGCATGAGGTTAACCAGGTTTCCAGGAACATTCTGGAAGTCGATCTGTTAAAGTACATTGTTATCATTAGAACCACTTTTCCTCATTTAGAATAACCCTGTAATTGTTTATATCAATAAATATTCCGCAGGTTATTATGGAGTTAGCAGTAATCCAATACTATTATACTCTACCGAGTCTGATATCAGGTTAGTGAATGTACAAAAACTTGGTAGAGCAAATGCTATCATCAAGGATCTAAAGCAGGGATCGGCTGTCGACTTCATTCATCATAAGAGCTTAATATGCTGGTGTGATCAAATATCTGAACTAATACAATGTATGCGTTACAATGAAACACAGCCAGGAGAAAAGGTGAGCATTTGATTTACTATTAATATAGTTAATCCATTATTGACATTAATCATTTTATAACAAATATAGATATTTTTATCTCTTTATGTTTAATATCAACATATAAACTTTCAATAGTATTATTTTAAATTGTATTAATTAAACAAGAGTCAATAAAGCTTTATCAACTGTTGATATTGTATTAAATAAGTCTCTAGTCACTACTCAGTCTTATATTTAAAATAAAATATTTGAGTGAGCTATGTTTGAAACTGATATGGGAAGAGATGAATACTGCAATCTCTCTGATTAATTTGGTTTGTTATCTATAATTCACCAAAGAAGCAGTCAATGTATAAACTAACACAGGTTTTTGTATCAACCAAGTTTTACACTGAAAGCTTCTGAAATTTCAGTAAATTGCGGTAGGATGACACTGGGTTGTAATACTCAAAATTATATTCTTTTACACAGTTATAGTAAGGCGATATATGTATTTGAGTTATTGCTTGTTTACAGATGAGGATAGTGTCTGAGGGACTGATAACACCAACTGGCATTGCAATAGATTGGTACACTGATAAAATATACTGGACAGATGGAGAGACAAACAAAATAGAAGTGATAAGTATAGAACATAAGTACAGAAAGGTCCTCTTCTGGTCTGAAGTTGACCTAGCAAGAGCTATTGCCGTAGTTCCTAAAGAAGGGTATGTTTACTAACTCTAAATTCCACACCACATTAAAATCAGATTATTTAAGTTTTAATTAATAGTTTTGTTAACCTATTTAATGTGCATGTTGCTTTAATGCTTATTTTTCTAGATAACAGGTGCAACATGATATTAGATAGTATATTGTTTGTGTCCCTTGTATTAGAAATAAAAATTAATATTAATAATTTGTGTTAGCCTTTTTTTGTTAATTCATTGAATTTGAATGAACAAATTATTGAAATAGTGATCAATTAGGTTAATTTATATGCAGTAGAATTGGGAGCAAGAGGAATACCAGCAAAATCTCTCTACAATCTAAAAAAACTTGCCCTGCAACGCTGAATCCATAGAATTCTAAGAAATTGGTATCTCCCTTGTTCTAACATTACAATACTTCTAAATTATGTTTAGTTTCTATTTACAATAAACATTACTATCGTAATAATGAGATTGTTAATTTTTCAACAGTTTATTATTTTGGACTGACTGGGGTGAAGTACCTAAAATTGAGAGATCAGGCATGAATGGAGACCCCTTAACTCGTAAAGTAATTGTAAAAGATAATATATTTTGGCCAAATGGCATAACTATTGACTATGACAAAAATTTAATCTATTGGGTGGATGCAAAACTACATTTTGTAGATGTAGTAGATTTTAATGGTGAAAACAGAAGAAAAGTTGTCAATGGGGGATTGGAATACCCATATGCATTAACTATATTTAATGACAAACTGTATTGGACAGATTGGAAAACTTGGTAAGATACATTCATTACCTTATAAACAAATCATAACTAAATTCTTTGTATACATTCACATTTGCAACTTAAAGTAGTGACTGATTTAATTATTAATATAAATTTAAACTAATATTAAAGAAATATTATTGGTTATAATTTACCATTACAACAACTATTCATAATTAGTTTATAAGTATCAGGTAGCTATACAACCAATATAGGTACCTGATTTATATTTAGTTTTATAGCACAAAAAAATCCAATCAATTCATTATAGTTTATATATTTACAAACTACTAGTTACTCACCCTGGCTTTACACCGGTGTACATATATAAAACTTCAGCTTGAATCAGTATCTATTTCTAAAATCCGCATTAAAATCTGTTGCGTAGTCTAAAAGGTCAATGTGAGCAGACAGTGAAGCAACTTCATTTTATATTATGTAAAGATTATTATTCATGCATATATATTATTAATCAGTCGAAATTTAAAAATATTTATTATGTAATATAAATTACACAATACTAAATTACCTATGAGTGATTACTAAATTGCTATTTGTCACATTTTTTTTATTAGGTCAATTCACTCATGGGACATATCAACTAATGGGCCTATAAAGGATTTGATAAAATCGAATCCAGTGCCTGTAGATATCAAGGCATATGATGGCAGCAGGCAGTTAATGCCAGCAGTACCACACCCGTGCAATATTAATAATGGAGGATGTTCTCACTTGTGCCTTCTAGCCCCAAATCCTCCAGGTAAGTTATCTGCTTAACTAGATATAATCAAACTACCAGTCGCGACCTCCAGGGGGCTTAAGCAATGGCGTTTAAAAAAAAGAGAATGATTTAAAAATAAATTTATAATTATTTATTAAAACTACAATTTATGTATCTAACTGTCAAATTAATTGATTATTGACAAAAACGTAAATATAATAAGGTATTTTTTACAGCTCATAAAACTGTCTGGCATTATTAATTCTATTACAATATTAACTATTATATCAATTACAAAATTAAAGATTTATGTGTATATTTGATTTATGGACTATAATAACTATAAATTTGAGTATTTGAACTATATCTGTGGTAAACAAAACTCAAATTGCATTGAATTGTCCAATATCTTAAAATAATTCTCAAAGTTCAAAATGGAACACAAGACATACTTCTATTCAAACAGACATATTCAGAATAAACTTATTATATAGCACTATTAGTAAATAGTATGTTATTATTATTTTAATGCAACATATGGAAGACTTATGGTTAGCTTGGAAAATCATAGAAATAACTCATTTATCAGTCTTCTTTTTAAATAAAATATTATAAATTCATACTTTCACATATGTACTAAATATTAAATAGCCAGACTTATCAAATCAACATATCTAATATAGTATTGTTATCTGCAGGTTATGAGTGTGCATGCCCTACTGGCGTGAAATTAAAGGAAACCAGTAATACAACATGTTACAATAATCCACAAATGCTGCTACTAGTTGCACAGAGTTGGAGTATCTCAAAAATATCACTGGATTCACCAGACTTCACACCATACACGCTCCCATTAAAGGATCTGAAGAAAACCCAAACAGTTGATTTTGATCCAAAAACTGAATATATTTATTGGGCTGACAGTATGGTAAGCATAACATGGAGCCGATTTCTTTTAATGGATGATTATGAAATTGTGCACCCAATTAAGCTTACGGAGCACCAGTTGAATAATAGAATTGCTTATCCCATCAAACTGGTGCTCTGTTAGCTTATACAATTAGCTTAATTAGGGTCAAGTCAGTTTGCCCATTGTGGCTAATTTACTAGAAATTGACCATAATGGTTTCCAGGGGGGCCCGTGTGAACTTCGACCTGGTATGGTAAAATGTCGAAATGGGGCTACTATCTTCATTAGTAATAATCCCCCTTGGGGGGGAGAGGCACCATGTCTAGCTGATTATTTTCTTCATACTTATACTTACACACATTATCCTACATATCTTGAATTTTGGCCTTGTATTAATCAGTTTGTCTTAATTATCACTGCTCCTATCGTTAGTATTCACCCTCTGAATATGTTTGAACCACCTAAATGATCTTAACTGGGATGGCAAAGAAATAAAAAAACATATATTCTTATTTCGTGAAGATAAATTGATGGTTTATTCTTAATTAATTATACATTTATGTATAACATAATTTAAAATTCAATGTGGTCAGGGCATACAAACAATCATATTTTTCATTACTCTTTTGTATGAGCCGAATTTTAAGTTTCTTGTCAGTTCTTCTTAGCTCGACATCACTCCAAACTGACAAATAAACCAAACTCCAAACTGGTAAATTTGACATATCATAAGAGTCTGTAATGAACCTATATGAACAAAGATATATTGATTTTGATTTAATTTAATTATAATAGGTATTTCCAGATTATTGGAATGTAAACATAATATTTTCATACATATTTTTTTAGACAAAAACAATATCTAGAGCCCGATTGGATGGAAGTGAACAATCGGTTGTGATCCACAATAGTGGTGTTATAGATAATATTGCCATAGATCCACTAGCCAGGAATATATATTGGACAGATCCTATTACTGATACTATCACTGTGGCTAGACTCGACGGTAGTGCTAGAAAGGTAAGTTCGTCAGTATTTTATCAATAATTCCTGATATATTGGCGGAAACACAAATAAAACGTGTTAAAATTCTATTAATTCTTAATATTACGTGTAATATAATTGATGCTAAAATAACAAAAATACTACAAATTTAGTTGAATTTTCCATTATTTTTATAACTGAATAGTACTAACTTTTCTGTTTCTCTTCTTTTCTACTACTACTATTACTATCTTCTATCATCTTTCTATTTTAATTTTAAGGTGTTAATCCACGAAGAACTTTACGATCCTCGTGCTATAGCCCTTCACCCAACAGCCGGCTGGATGTTCTGGTCTGACTGGAATGAAAAGAAACCGAAAATTGAACGTGCTAATTTAGATGGTAGTGAGAGAATGTTAGTAGTTTCCGAAAAACTCACTTGGCCTAATGGAATAGCTTTAGATACAGTCAATAATAAACTCTATTGGGGTGATGGCAGAACGCACAAAATTGAAGTGAGTATTAGTAATTGTCTTGTCATTTATAATTGAAATTAGTAATTTAAAGTGTATTCGGTGTATTAATAATTGTGTATAGATTCGGATTGTATGTTAATTTATTTAGCAATTGTTAATTTTGTAACTATATTCGTCGCATTGTAATTTGACCACTGTGCTAGTAGTTTTTATATGAAACAAATTTTTAAATGACATCATACCTTAAGAGTGAAGAAGAAGAATGGCCTACTACTAATTAAATTACGTCTAACAGATCGTGGGTTCAAATCTGTTCGACACCAAAAAAAACTGTTTGGTAATTTGTATTTCTGGGTCTCCTGTGCGGGAAAAACTTATATCAAACCAAAAATAAATCCCAGATAGCAGTAGGCTCGGCCACTACCACATTGGATTCAAAACATACCCAGCAAAATGAGAGATTGCCAACTGTTGCATTCATCAACTCTGGCTACACACACCGGCTCTGACTACTCCCAGATAGAGTCATTACAGTCGTGATGGTATATATTATGTATATGCATCAAAGATATAAGTCCTCAAATCATAAATTTAAATTGTATTACATTTTTTGTATTAGTGGACTTCTGACAGAATTATTAGGCCGCAGCTGACAATCACTTCTGATAAAGGAGAAACTTTTAAAAAAACGTTCTAAATAAAGAACTATGTTTGCAGGTCTCAAATATGGATGGTTCGGACCGCCGAGAGGTACACAGCAGTGACATCCTCCACATCTTTGGCTTGACTCTTCTTGGCGACAGACTTTATTGGACGGATATACAAAGACGCACTCTGTATAGAGTAAATAAAAATTCTGGTATGTACTCAAATTCAAATTCAAAATATCTTTATTTATGCAGGTCTATTACAGTCTCTTATGATATGTTAATTCTACAATCATTTCGAAATGATTTCGAGATGAGAACTACTGACAAGAAACTCAACTCATATTCTTTTCAAATAAATGTTGTACAATACAATAATAAAGATTCTTTTTTAAATTTAAATTTGGGAGAATAGAGTGACCAGACCAGACCAGTTCCAACAATCAGCACCCGGTTAGGAGTATGACGGATGAGCCAGGTATCAGTGCACTCAACCATATTAGAGGGAGCACATTGACCCGGCCCACCACGCCACAACAAGCTTAAATTTTGTTCAATATTCATTCATTCATAATTTATGAGCCGCGCTTTTGTCGGTGGAGCTCCTGCCATTTTCAACGATTTTCCATCAGCTCTTGTTGTTTATACAACACGACTCTAACTTTGATCTGCTAGATATAGCTGTGTCTCGGTCCTCTCCTTCCCCTTTTTTCTTCTATTTTTCGTTCGACAATATTATTCAAAAGTTCATCGTGTCGTATAAATATGTAATGTAAAATAGAATGCATTAAAATATAGAGCTTTTCTTGTCAATCTAATTATTTTAATATCTAATTCTGGGCTATTTGAATTAGGAATTAAAAAAAAATAGGCATTAAATTATAAATGATCGGTAAAACTATTTATTAATTGATATAATCGTATTATCTGTATCTGTAGTAAGTCTGTCGCCAAACACCACCGAATCAATTAATATGAATTTTTAATTTTTAATTTAAATTATTTATTTTTATTAATTCTAACATAAAGATAATAAAATTACCCTGGATAATTCACACAGCGCCATAGGCAAAACAGAGCTTGTGTAAGTACCCATAGTACTAGGCAATTGACATAAATATTATCTAAAATAAATGACTCATTCTATTCCGCAACAAACTGTTTAAGTAGTTTGGCGAAAAATGTAATTTTTATACATATAGTATAAAAATTACATGTTTTTAGTAGTACTACATTTTATTATAAAATTCAGTTTATATTAAATTAATTTTAAACGTCTACCGTAATTACTGTATAATAATTATGTATCTTTTGTTAAATAAATAAAATATTTTTTTTTCTAAAAAGGCATAGAAAGGCAGACGGTAGTGGAGCAGATGGCAAACATGATGGGCGTTAAGGCGTTCAAGATAGGCGATTCGATCGGCTGGAACCCATGCGTGGCTGACAACGGCGGCTGTTCACATTTATGTTTCAATAGACCAACTGACTATGTGTGCAGCTGTCCTTTAGGTTTGTATGATCTACTAAACTACTTGCCAAGATATTATTATCAATACAGTATTTTTTTGTCTCTTCATTCAATATATTAGCTCCAGAGGGAATGGATTGTTAGTAATGTGGATTAATAACCCCATTGCTCCACGGGGTTCCGCCTGGAAACCAACGTGTTAAATTCCTGACTTATTTGCCACGATAGGCCATCTGATCTGACCTCTGATGAGGTCATATAATCTGAGGTCAAATAAAATGAGTTTTATCATTCTCCACTGGTGCCCCGTCAGCGTATACCGTTAGCGCAGGCGGATACACCATTCCTTTATCATCCATTATAAAAGAAAAATGAACCCATTTATATGATTATTTTTCCAATAGATTGGATATAGCCAAGAGGTGATCACGTGTTTATCTCTGAGAGGCCGCTATTAGCATAGGGTAACCTTTTGCTAACCACATTCATACAAAGTGTTCCAGTTCCTCAGGTAGCATACTAAATGTTATGATATACTCCTATAAAAATATATCTTTTACAGGTTTAGAATTGGATAACGACAGAAAAACTTGTATAGAACCAGAAGCTTTCTTGATATATAGCCGAAAGAATATAATTGGGCACATTGGAATAGAACATGAAAATAATGATGCTGTGTTGCCTATCAAAGAGTTGAAGGAAGTTAGGTAAGTACTTCAAAAAATAATTACATGTATAGTGTGTAATATAAGTTGTTAATAATCTAATTTAAATTTACTTTTTTTTAGAAAGAAACTTATAACTATTAAATATCTAAAAAGAAATTGCATGTTCTAGTAGGATCTCGCAAATAGTAATATCAAAATTTAAAACAATATCATTAAAATTATCATAGTGATCATCATTTTATTTTAGTCTGTGCTATCATATATATGTATAGGCGACGGTTTCCATTTAACATCAGGTGGACCGTAAGCTTTTTAGCCATTTTATTTACTGATATTTTTTAATTAACAATATCCTATAAATATTGACACTGAAATCACCTCATTTTTATGGAATATTTGACTTGTGATAATATTTATTCCACCAGTATGATTGTCTTAGTCTTCCACAATATGAATTCCAATCCTGATTATTAGTTACTTATTAATGGCCAATTAACTGAGGGTCCTCAAAATATATGTCGCCTTGAAAAGCGTGGTTTGCTAGGACCCGATGACTATTCAGGACCATCTGAAAAGATGGACTAGTGAAAATCAAACACTAGCCACGACATAACTTTTACAATATACCTATATATATATATACTACTACTATATAATAATAATAATAATAATAATTTCTTTTTCGATCTTCTTGTGATGTAACTGCGTTCCAAATGAGTAATCAAATATATAATATGACATGACTAATATAATATGACTTCAAAAGTGGTTATATTAAGTTTATTTTAATAAAGTTTATTTCTATTGTATATAATAATAAAAGTTACTTATTAAATCTTTGCAGTGCCTTAGCAGTGCACGTGTCCGATGCGAAGTTGTATTGGTCTGACAGCAAGACGAAAACAATAAACCGATGCTCAATAAACGGTACGAATGTGGAGAAAATACTCGAGTGGACCGGTCTGGTTGAAGGTGCGGTACTATTTATCTTTTAATCACAACCCACACTGGTACAATTCTTATATAATCAATTTTTTTATCCCTGGAAGATTCACACAGCGCCAACTAATATACGATAAATACTTAAATACCCTGTTTTTGTGAATTCATAAATATTATACATATAAATGTTTGCACTGTGCGAGGACGAACTCACGACCATCGGATGTAAAACGGTATGCTAAACCACTAGACCACCGAGGAGGGATTTCTTTATCTTTATAAAGAAAAGTACTTAGGTATAATAGAAGTATTCATTTTTAATTTTTCTATAAGTGCTTATTGTAATTGTACTTCATTTGTACATTGGGTGTTATTTTCAAAACAATTTTTTTAATGAAATTTTAATATGTATGCTACTAAAAAAAGCAATTTACATTGTGTTGAATTATTACTTTTATTACATAACATAAATTAAATCAAGTACTTAAATGTCTAAATTAAATACATTACATATTAAATAAAGGAAAATGACAATTTGATAATAATTATACTTCGTTTGTTCTCATCTTATTATTTCCTAATTATGTTTTTTTTTTATATTTTAATTGACAGGTCTCGCAATAGACTGGTCGGGGCACAATATATACTGGACTGATACGGCCCTACAACGCATCGAAGTAGCCCGACTCGATGGCTCCAGCAGACGCACTCTCATCTGGCAAGGACTAAAAAAACCGAAAAGTATTACTTTGGATCCAAAGAAAGGGTAAGTAAAGGAATACAATAAACATAATGTTAATATTAAGCACTTTTGTATTATACAAGACAAAAAGTTTTTTTTTTTAATATGCGTTAAACGCATATTAAAAAAAAAAACTACCATATGGTAGAAAATTATAAATATTGTACTATTGATACAATAGTTTATTGTGACTAATTCACAATAATTTAAATGTTGTAACACTGCACAAACACTGCATTCATTTACGACGAATTAACTTAGCTAAACAATTACTTGAATGACGAGTGTGCATGGCAATAGTTTTTCATGCACTGGATTTTCATTTAATGTTAGACATAGACACCTATATAAATATACATTGTAAATAAACTGGCTTTTAAAAAAAAGTAATTCAATTGAGTTTCTTGCCAGTTCTTCTCAATTGGATCTATATACCGAACTGGATGGTATTGAAAGAATTATTATTATATTGTCAAAAATTTGACGTTCATAAGCAACTAAAATGTCCTACATGAATAAATGATATTTGAATTTGAATGTGAATCATTTACTTATTTAGAAAAAAAATGATCTAAAGAGAATAAATCTGCACAACAGATTCATGTATTGGTCGGACCTTGGCTCCAAAAGCATAAAACGCGCTGCAATGGACGGCTCCTCGGCCATCGTGGTAATAGAACAAGCCGGTCGAGTACAAGCACTAGCTATTGACCACGAACACCGTGCACTCTACTGGGCCGCGTTCGAACCACCCACGGTACAGTACGCGTTCCTCAACGGTACCGGCAGAAAGACGCTCGTTGATGACGTGTCTATGCCTAACGCACTCACTCTATACGGCGACAGAGTGTTTTGGGGTGATTGGAATACAGGTATTTTACCATTTTACATATTGTTTATTTGTTTTTAAAATTCGAACGTGATTAAGTAGTAAATAATAAATTGATATGTGCACTAATTTTAAAAAGGATGTTATAATTTCATGTGGGAGCAGAAATACATGAATATTTCTCTTCCTTTCAAGTATTTGAAATATAATTAAAAATAAGATCAATTATGTATTCTTCAGTTTTCTTTTTATAAATTAAATACAATCAACATGTAAACCGTTTTCGTTACGAAATTATTACACACATATATCTTTAAATAATATAAAACAAAGTCGCTCTAGCTATCTGTATGCTTAGATCTTTAAAATTTCGCAACAGATTTTATTGCACTTTCAGCAATAGATAGAGTGATTTAAGGGTAAGGTTTATATGTATAATACATGTAAGTCATAGTACAGAAAAGTCGAGAAATTCAAAGATTTGTAATGCACCCAAACGGGTTACTAGAATTACATAAATGTTTATTTGCAATATTAAAGGGCTGATAGAGTCCGCAAAGAAGACCGACGGCGGCGACCGTCGCGGTCTATACAAGCAGCTGGACTACATCTCGGACCTGAAGATGTTCGGGCGGCGCGGCGGCGGCGGCGGCAACCAGTGCGGCGTCGACAACGGCGGCTGCTCGCACCTCTGCCTGCCGCTGCCCGCCGACTACCGCTGCGGGTGTCCCGCACACTACCGCCTCAACAGAGACAACCTCACCTGCTCCGGTATATATACTCCATTTTATTTTATTTTCCAGTGTTTTGTTAAATAAAATAAAAAGGTACACATGATGGTGTATAACAACGCAAGGATGTACTACTATAAAAATTATACTATGGTTCATTAAACTCTTTCCAAAACTGAACAGAACCGAATTTAATCAAATCAAAGATTTTGTTTGACCATAGAAAATTACATAAAATCTTAAATAGCACTTATGACTTACCATGTTATATGTTAATATATATATATATATATATTGCGTTTATTTATTTATTATTAAACTTTAAATATAATTGTAAACATTTTATGTACAGAACCTGAAGAATTTCTATTATTCGCTCAAAAGAATGCCATCGGAAGATTGTTGGTTGCAAATGGCGAATGTGCTGACGCATTTATTCCCCTCACTGGACTGAAAAATGTAAAAGCCATAGAATATGATCCTATCAGCAAGTGAGTATAGGTTTACCATGTGATGCACAAAAAATTAAACTCCATAAATCTAATAAATAAATGTAGAAACAGTTTTTGTTTTTTAATCTTTATTAATACTATTTTGTTATTTCATACCTGTATTTCATCCCACAAATCAAAATAAATTAATTTTTTATGCAACCAAATGTGATTTCCAAAACTCTTACAGATAATTTTAATTTTAAATACGCAATTGGAATCTATTCTTTATTAAAAAAATACTCAGTCATTATTTATTATTTTACCATCACATTTTCAGTAGAATAAGAAAAATGGACAGGACCTACAAATAAAAAAAAACGTCATATACAATATTTTAATTAATAAATTAACATACAATTACGAATTAGGTAAAAAAACATTTCTACAGTTTTATAACAGTTTATCCTTGCCTTTCTAGACATCTGTTCTGGATGGAAGAGGATTTCCACTCCATTCGACGGGTACCAATATCGTACTCTAGTACATCGGCGGTCAGCGACGCATCGGTTGTGGTTCCCAACATCTTGAGGCCGTTCCACATGGTTCTGGATGTGCTTGGCCGCACGTTATATTGGACTTGCATAGACGCTGATTCGATCAACGCTACGTCTATTACGAACAGTTCGTCTGTAGGCGTCGTAATGAGAGGAGAGGGCATGATGCCGAGACATCTGGCTTTCCATCAGACTAAGAGGTAATGTATACTTTATTCTATTATTTACCAGACGACTTTGATAAGTGTACAGAGATGGACTTTGTACAATGTCCTCTGCGTCCCCTATTTCATTATTATGAGGAAACTAACAGCTTGCTTTGTATTGTAACATATGTTTAGATGTAGGATGATATAAGTCAAAGAAACATCTCAGTCTTCTGAAATGGCAAAAAGTTCGTAGAAAGATAACTGCATACATGAGGCGTATGTAGGCGACGTTTACTACTTACCTTCAGGTGAAACATCAGCTTGTTACCATTCCAATGTAGAAATTCACTCAATGGTAATGGGAAACCACTTAATTTTTTTCTATTCTGCGCCACCTCGAACTGGATCTTGTATACGATTAAATCGTCATATTACACTATCTACCTCCAAGCTCCAACATAAATTCAACTATAAAAACAAACGAATTTAATCGTTTGAAAGTGCTAAATCACTGTAATAATAATAAACATAAAACGGGTTTGTGGCAGAGTTAAATGAATAAGGTTTTTATATTCAAAATTTCAAAATGTTTTATATAAGAGGACTCCTGCCTGACGGATTCGACTTTTATCTGAGAGCCTTTACCTTTAGGGGTTCGAACCTCGGCTCGGGCTGTCGTAATTTCAATCTCCGGGAACCATTATAATGTGAACTGTTTTGATTGCAGGTTCCTGATATGGAATGACGTGGGCCTGGGTGCTATAATGCGATCGAATGTAGACGGAACCGCTCGCACGTGGTTGGCAACTGCGGCTAATGCGACCGCACTCGCTCTTGACCAGTCTTCATCTACTGTATACTGGGCGGTGAATAGACAGATCTACGCGGTCGATCTCGACTCTGACAGTAACAAGACGTTAGTACTGTTTTCTTAAGCTAATACCATACAATAATATTATAAAGTTACTTTCAAATAAAAATTCCACATATATTATACATATAATCATCACCATCACGATTTATCCCAGGTGGAATAGCCAGAGGCATTGTCGATTGTCGATGTCATAGTGACACAACAGTTAACATGCCCCATTTCTGAATTTTGAATCGAAAGTGACAGCTTACTGCCATCACTGGCTTTTATTTTTTTGTATAACATAAAATAATCGAAGACTAATACAAATACTACTTAAGACTACAAATATTTGCTTTTTTTATGAGAGATTCTATTCTGCAACCATACTTGATAGTAATACACAATGCTAAAATAAAGTTTGTGTGTGTATTTCATATCTTGTAAATTTTATATTATTTTTAATTTCCCTCAATTCTGTACTGTATTACTCGGATATTGTGTATCAAATAGGATTAGTCGACAGAAATATAAATAATCTTGATTCAAATAAACTTAATGTAAGCACTTTTTAAAACTCATATTTTTGTTTCGGAATGCAGACAGACAACGTCACAAAAAGAACGAGCAAGAAACTTGCGTGTCGTTAATGTATATGCCCGATGTTTTGGACGCATTTGTATAAATATATGATGTCTGTGCAGTCGTATAATCTGGCAAGGCGGATGGGTGGGCACGCTGGCGGCGTACGGCGGCGCGCTGTACCTGGTGGCGGGCGCGGGGGCGGCCGCGGGGGGCGGGCCGGGCGGCTCCAACGAGCGCGCCCTCATGCGCGTCGCACTGCACCGCCGGGAGGCGCCCGCCGCGCCCGTCCCGCACGTCGCCAGGCTCATGGCCGCACTCACAGTGCACAAGGTATTGTATGAAACGACTCATATTCATTCATAGGTACTATTATTAAAAAGTGACAATATAATTTCCCTGTCGATGAACGGCACGATCCACACACTCTGTCGGTGTGTTGCTAAGTCCAGTGAATTACTATCACTAATGAATATTATCCTTGTACAATCGAACGAGATTACGTTTGTTTTAGTTCCTAAGTGTGCCACTAGATGGCGTTGTTTAGTTTTTACACTTTTTTCTACATCACGCTATTTAGATTTTTTTTGGAACACATATAGTCTTTGAATAATTATTAATATAAATAATATAACAACCACTGTGGAAAGGTTTCCGTAGTTTAATTTATTTAACTACCCTAATCAAAGTACACCCTTGGGGATCCGTGGATAAGATTATTCATTGTGGTCCTTCGAGTGCCGGATTCGGCAGGCATCCTAGTGGTGGTGCATTTTTTGGCACATGAGAACTACGGACAGTGGATTGCTGTTGCAAACGTAGTTACGAAGCAGAAGCAGAAGCGAAGCAGCAGGGCGGAGCTTCAGACAGCGTGTGGGTGCTGTCAGGACAACAGGACTGGAGAGGAATAAAGCAGAGCTGAAGGCGAGAAGTGAGGCAACACTGTGTCTCATTGTGTAAGGCGAGCAGTGGCGGCAAGTACATCAATTTGTGTTGTGTTGAAATAGTGGGAAAACAACTGTGAGTACATTTTATAGTTATTTCGTTTTGCCAAGTGATTTTGAGTCTTAAATACTAGAAGATTTTAACTTAGAATTTCAATAAAATTTAGAAGATATTAAACTATTCATAGAAGAGTGAAAATTACAAGCAATATTGAACTTTATATATAGGAAAATAATAACTTAGAAATTTTAAGATTAATTGTATGTAGTTAATAGTAATTTTAGGACTTAGAATAGTTTTACAAATATTGAAGAGACGGGGAATCCATGCCCGATTTTTATTTGAGGTGCAATCTTTTCTAAACACTTAGAATAATTTTAAAATTTTTATACATAGCAGTTTTAGTCACTACAATAAATATTAATTTTACTTTTAAATTATAAGGAAATAAATTTTGTGTGTTTACTAAAGATTGAACTTTGTTTAAAATATTCTATTAAAAATTTGTTTTTTATTTGTTTATAATATTATTACTGTGTAAACATGGAATCTTTAGTTATGTTTCAAGAGGATCTTAATTCGCGTATTAAAAAAGCACAAGTTAATTTTAAAAAATGTCCGAAAGAAAGACTAACAAAGGAGTATGTAGAAGGAAGGTTGGAAAGTTTAGATCAGTATTGGTTTGATTTTTTAAATGGTCATAAGGATATAATGCGCACTGTAGAGCCAAAATTATTGAGATCTTCTAGTTATGTAGCGAATGATTATTATGATGAAACTGAACAAATGTATCTGAATTTTAAAGGTGATTTAAAAAGAATTTTGTCAACTTTTAATAGCGCTCAGTCAAATATTAATACGGAACAGTCGCGTGGTTCTACTAGTGGTTCTACGCATGTAAAATTGCCGAAAATAAATATAAAAGGCTTTTCAGGCCAATATTCGGAGTGGAGTGCCTTCCACGATTTATTTAAATCCTTAATTCACCAAAATCAAACTTTAGATGATGTCGAAAAACTACATTATTTGAAGGGCTATTTAACAGGCGAAGCCGAACAAGTTTTAAAGCATATACCTATTATGGGCAGTAATTATGAAAGGTGTTGGTCTTTATTAGAGGAACGATATAATAATAAAAAATACATCTGTCATCATATATTGAAAAGGTTTTTAAGTCAGAGAAATTTAACATGTGAATCCGCTACGGGTATCAAGGAATTGATAGATACAACTAATGATTGTTTGGCGACTTTATGTAATATTGGTGTTGATGTCAAGGGATGGGATATTTTAGTTATACATATTTTAACTTTAAAATTAGATTATGAAACTAGGCGACAATGGGAATTTAATTTTACAAATAATAGTAAGTCGTCTGATGAGTTACCGTCTTACGAACAATTTAAAGAGTTTTTGACTAGTCGCTATCGTGCTATTGAATTTTTAGATAATAAACCTAATGTAATAAATAAGTCTCAGAATAGTAACAAAGGGTTTCAAATTAGTAAGCCTAAATCATTTCATGTCACCAATGCTAAATGTCAGTTTTGTATGGAAGGTCACAAACTCTGTTATTGTAAAAAGTTTGCTAAAGAAAATGTAAATAATCGCCGTCAATTTGTACAAACAAATAATCTTTGTTTTAATTGCTTGGGTAGCAACCACTCTGCCAAAGCATGCTTTATTCCAATAAAATGTCGTGTGTGCAAAAGAAAACACCACTCTCTTTTACACCCCACGGGTAACAGTGATGTTGTTAATAGTGATGAAATGTCATCGTCCAATGAGTGTGTTGTCCCGTCTACTAGCTCAGGTGTGGAAGTAGATAAACCAACTCAGTCTATAAGTTGTTTCTCGACAGGTCGAATTAGTAATCAGGTTTTACTAGCTACGGCGCTAGTCGAAGCCAAGTCGAGAAATGGTCTGGGTTACACTATACGAGCTTTGATAGATCAAGGATCACAATCTTCATTTGTCACGGAGTCTATAGTTCAATATTTGGGTTTAAAAAAGATCCCGATCAGAGGGCAAATATCTGGATTGGGTGGAGATAAGGATATCATCTCCAAGGCTATGGTGAACATAGAACTGAAGTCTCTAGTTGACACTAATTTTACTATTATTATAAAGGCATATGTTTTGAAATGTATTACCAGTATTTTACCAACAAAAAGAGTGGAATCATTAGAATGGGAGGATCTGAAGAATGTTACTCTTGCGGACCCAAATTATAATACTCCCAATCGCATAGATTTATTATTGGGAGCGGAGGTATATTGTCGTATATTACAAGATGGAATAAAAAGGAGTCCATCGGAAACATTGGTAGCGCAATCTACTAGATTAGGCTGGATATTATCTGGAGTAGTTCAAGTGTCTGCCAACCCGCATCCTGAAATAAAGGTTATGCACTGTAGAATAGAAGAAAATGAAATATTAAAGAAATTCTGGGAATTGGAATCAGATACAGAATTGATAAGGGAAAAATTACTTACCGATGAAGAAAAAACGTGTGAAAAATATTACACTGATACTACTTACCGAGATATTGATGGTAAATATGTTGTCCGTCTTCCATTCAAGGAGAGTCCGTTGGTGAGTAGATCCCTGCAGATATCTGAAAAAAGATTAAAATTATTAATGATAAGATTAAATAAAAATGAAGATTTAAAGAAAAGTTATGAAGAAGTAATAAATGAATACTTATCTCTTGGTCACATGGAGGAGGTACCTGTAAATGAAATGGGGAGTGTTGATGCTATTTACTTACCTCACCATGCTGTAGTAAAAAATGATAAAGATACAACGAAAGTAAGGGTGGTCTTCGACGCCTCCTGTAAGGGAACAAATGGACGTTCACTGAACGATTATATGTTAGTAGGACCTGCTTTACAGTCTGAATTAAGACATATTATGATACGGTGGAGAACTTGGCCTATTTGTTTAGCTGCTGATGTAATCAAAATGTACCGTCAAATTCGTGTTAATAAACAAGATATTAATTTTCAGCGTATATTATGGCAAATTGAAGATCAAATTAAACATTATAGATTACTTCGTGTTACTTTTGGGACAGCATCTGCACCCTATCTGGCAATAAAAACGCTGCAACAAATAGCTGAGGATGAAGAAAATAGATACCCATTAGCTGCTGGAAGGGTAAGGACTGACTTTTACATGGACGATCTATTAACGGGCTGTCAAGATAAAGCTGAAGGTATAAAAATATATAAAGAAATGAATGATTTACTAATAAAAGGAGGATTTGAGTTACAAAAATGGACTACGAATGATAATGAGTTGTTAATAGAAATGAAGGAATCTAGAAAGACAGATGATCTGAAAGAAGAATTAAAAATAAAGACAGATGATATTATTAAAATTGTAGGACTTACCTGGAACCGTAAACGCGATGCCTTCCACTATACTGTAAAGCTGCCAGACCTGAAAGAACCAATTACTAAAAGAAAAATTATTTCTGATATATCACGTTTTTATGATCCTCTGGGATGGGTAGCGCCATGTACAATTCTTTTCAAAATTATTATACAGAAACTATGGTTAACAGGAATTGATTGGGACGAAATAGTACCTGAAAAAATACTTCAAGAATGGATTAAATATCGAAATGAACTAACTATTTTAACTGAAATTGAAATACCGAGATGGATAGGTACCAAGGCAAGTGATGTTAAAGTTGAGTTGCATGGGTTTTGTGACGCATCACAATCGGCTTATGGGGCGGTTGTGTATGCTCGCGTAGTTGATTTGGAGGGAAATGTTCGAGTCACATTGATCTCTGCAAAAACAAAAGTGGCGCCGGTCAAACAAGTGTCGGTTCCCAGATTGGAATTGTGTGGAGCAGTATTACTGACTAAACTTTTAATTAAAACTGCAAAGGTATTGAACATCCAAAAGACTTACCTGCATGCGTGGACTGACTCTACAGTAGTGCTCGCATGGATTAATAGTCATCCAAATCGTTGGAAGGTATTTGTTGCAAATCGTGTGTCTGAAATTCTGACCAATTTAGATAGTCATTATTGGTCGCATGTTGGTACCAAATGCAATCCCGCTGACCATGCGTCCAGAGGGTTGTATCCATCAGAACTGAAAAATAATGTAATGTGGTTTGAAGGTCCACGATTCTTGCATGATAAGGAAATACTGTACGTAAAACCAAAAGATGTCGAAACAGAACTAGAAACAGCCAAAGTTCATATTACAGTTACAACTTGTTTTATATGGGATAAATATTCTTCGCTTAACAGATTAGTAAGGATAATTGCATACTGCAGACGTTTTCTGAATTTCAGAAAAGGACGGAATGATACGTCTCGTAGTAAGTACCTCTCTGCGAAAGAATTGAGTGATGCTCTGAAACGTGCGTAAGGCAGTGTCAGAGAGAACATTTTCTAAAGGTTTTTAGTAACACTAATAGTACAATGAAGACAAATAAACTGAAGGGTCCACTGAAACCATTGAACCCGTTCATAGACCAAAAGGGCTTGTTGAGAGTAGGTGGAAGATTAGAACATTCCCAACTATCCTATAATCAGAAACACCCTCTATTGATCCCTAAACAGTCTTCGTTAACCACACTTTTGATAGCGGATGCACACATGCAAACTTTACATGGTGGACTGCAATTGACTCTAAGCTATCTTCAGTCAAAATTTTGGATATTGGGCGGGAAACAGCTAGTAAAATCATACTGCCGTAAATGTGTAACATGCATAAAAAACGCAGGTACAACTCAAAGCCAATTGATGGGACAGTTGCCATCAAGTAGAGTTACTCCTACACGTCCATTCAAGCACAGTGGAGTAGATTATGCTGGTCCCATTCAGATCAGAACAACTAAAGGCAGAGGTTTCAGATCCTATAAGGGATATATATGCCTATTCGTTTGTATGGTCACTCGTGCGGTGCATATAGAGGTTGTGAGCGACCTTACATCGGAAGGATTTCTAAGTGCTTATAAACGATTTGTGGCTAGGCGTGGTTCCTGTACAGAACTCTGGAGTGACAATGGCACGAATTTCGTTGGTGCAGCCGTTGAACTTAAAAAACTGTTCCATGCAGAAAATAAAGCTGTAATGGACGAAGTAGCAGAATCCTTGCAATAATGCAATACTTGGTTGCACATGGCGTTTTATTCCTCCGCACGCCCCTAATTTTGGAGGACTTTGGGAAAGAGGGATCCGATCAGTGAAATACCACCTGAAACGAATAATAGGCAATTCAACGTTAACGTACGAAGAAATGGCTACAGTACTCATTCAAATCGAGGCTTGTTTAAACTCAAGGCCTCAATCAGTACTCAACGATGATCCTGATAGCTTAAATGTATTGACGCCAGGACATTTCTTGATAGGAGAACCGTTGAGAACAGCCCCTGATTATGATTTTACGTCATCCAATGTGAGCTCTTTAAGGCGGTGGCAATATACACAGAGGATAGTGCAAGATTTTTGGCGTCAGTGGTCTAAAGAATACCTAACTAAATTTTTCCATCGTTATAGATGGGCATCACAAACTCCGCAACCAAATTTAGGGGATGTAGTAGCTATAAAGGAAGAGGGTTTACCTCCATCTCGTTGGCTTTATGGCAGGATAGTTGCTACTCATCCAGGGCAAGATAATATAATTAGAGTAGTAACATTAAAAACTAAAAATGGATGTCTTAAAAGGCCCACTTCAAAATTGTGTATTTTACCAATAGCCAAATAATGGCAGGTTTTTGTTTAGTTTATATTATTTGTGTTCAAACTTCTTTGAGTAAGGTACTCTTTTGAATGTAATATTTTATTTTCGTTAATAATAAGTAGTTACAGTAAATTTATTTGATTAAAGTACATCACGGTGGGCAGGTTGATAATTGTAAAGGACAAGATGCAATTTGTCCTTGGTGGGCAGAATGTACAATCGAACGAGATTACGTTTGTTTTAGTTCCTAAGTGTGCCACTAGATGGCGTTGTTTAGTTTTTACACTTTTTTCTACATCACGCTATTTAGATTTTTTTTGGAACACATATAGTCTTTGAATAATTATTAATATAAATAATATAACAACCACTGTGGAAAGGTTTCCGTAGTTTAATTTATTTAACTACCCTAATCAAAGTACACCCTTGGGGATCCGTGGATAAGATTATTCAATCCTAAATGTGCTGTGTGGCCTGAAATGATTTTTTATTTGAAACTTAATTATCTCTTATTCAAATAACCTATATTACAAAATTTAAGGCACTAGCCTTAAATTTTGTTAAAAAACTTTTAAAAAACATTTATGAAAAATTGAAATTCCGTATAATTAAAAAAAAAGATTTGTCTATATTAATTTATTATTTTAATTTAAAATTTAAGAATTTGCTTTTTTTCGGTATTGTAACCGAAATCCAGCATTGCATTTCAATTGCCCAGAGCGAAATGGTTAAACTCGTGTCAAATCCATTTTCAAATTGCCTTTCTTAACAATCAAAAACACCCTTTGGCGCATGCACCCCACGTTGGACGACACTGGCCTACATGATGAAGATGAAGAACGAAATTTCTGGGAAAAAATACAATCACTTTATTTGAATTTAGAACGACATTGTGACGTAACATTTGCTGGGTAGAAGTAAAATGATGTTTGACGTGGCAGGTGGCACGCGAGCACCCGTGCTACGGCGGGCGCGCGTGCGGCGGCGCGGCGGCGGCGTGCGGCGCGCGCGGCTCGTGCGGGTGCGGCGTGCAGTGCGCACGCGCCGTCTGCGCGCCCGGACACTTCCGCTGCGGCGCCGCGCACGAGCCACACGCGCCGCGCCCGCACTGCATCCCGCTCGACTGGAAGTCAGTACAACACTATCAATAGCTGACTTTACACGACACGTTCTTTCACGCGGGGTCAGGAACGCACGCTATTTAAGACCAGCGTGCGTATGCTGGCTTTCTCGCGTTAGCGCTAATCGTGATTTACCTATTTATTTTTATTGTTCACTTTCGAGACTGTTGTTATGACGCATGTTATTTCACCTCCTTTTAAAAGTTATATTTTTATTTCACAGATATTGTTTTCCATATACATCATGCATGTATATGGAAAACAAAATCTGTATTTATAAATTACCATAATTATGTTTTTGCTCCATAGTCAAGTGCACCATTTTGCAATAATAATTAATTAAAATACAAGTAAAAATTTAAATAAGTGCTACAATACGCACATTGAAGAAGACGAGACTACGCGAACTGGCAGAGCGCGCGGTAGTTGTTCTCTTTGCCTAAGTTTACATGCACATTTTTTTCTCCTTGAAAGCCTATTCATTCGTATAAGAGCGTAAGTTTAAAGGCAGCTAATTGTTTTATTATGGATGAACACAAACAATATTACAATATAACATTTCAGAAATTCTTCTCCTAAAGCATACTCCATTATGAGCGTGTGCGTTTTAATTATTTACAATATTTTATACTTAAAATTTATTTATAGATGTATTAACTATGTTAGGATAACCCCTAAGTGATAGTCTAATGATTACACTATCACGTATATAGTCGGTAGATTAGTTAGTCTTGTCATAAGTTAAGTGCATGCAATGAAGGGACCATATTATCATGTGTTATATATTTGAATTTGAATTAGATGCGACAAGCAGCAGGACTGCCCGGACGGGTCGGACGAGGACGCGGAGTGCGGCGAGTGCGCGGGGCTGCGCTGCGCGGACGGCGCCTGCGTCGGCGCGCTGAGGGACTGCCGCGCCGGCGCCTACTGCGCGCTCGCCGCCATGCCCGAGGCCTTCCGGTAACTTTTAATTGTTGTAAAAAAGCCATTAGGTACCGTTATCTAACTAAATATAATTAGCGACCCATAAAATACGGTTACACTTAATTTTTGTACTACATATGTGACACAAGTAGTCGAATATTATCACAGTTCTCTTGTCGCAATGAGATTAAATGCCGTAATAAGGTTATTTTTCTTGAAAAACCTGAATCATCGAACATGTTTTTTAGTTTCTCCCACAACTCAAAAAATGTTTTGGTTTCTTTAATATGCACATACAATCCCGGATCTATTGTTAACACTATCTTCGCCTTAGTTTTAGCATCTTCTGTTGGTTTTATGTCGATTCCTGACTCTGGTTTAATATAATTAACCATGCCTTCGAGTACCAACAAATTTTCAGCTGCATAACTCCATTTATCATAATTTTCTCTCCCCTTAAGTTTCGGAACACTTTGAATATAGTTTGTAGTCATATTTATACGAAAGTTCAACTATTTCAAACTGTAATAATCACTTGTTTTTAAATTATTATTACTGAAATACGGATTATTGCCCATAACCTATTTAAACACGTTGACTTTCAGACAAAGAGTAGTTTTTTATTTTTTTTTAATTACAACCAATCATACAAAGATGGCATATTACGTTTTGTTACATCATTTACTTATGCGCTTACATTGCGTTTTGTTACATTAGAAACTTAAATCTAACAATTCTCACTCCTTAATGATCAACAGGTGCGACGACCGCCTATGCCTAGCTGAAGAACTCGTCTGTGACGGACATCGACACTGCGAGGACGGCTCCGATGAAGTGATTGGCTCCTGCGAGTTCGCACAAAAATCCGAGGTATAATATTATAATTTTGTTATCGTCACACATTTCGCTGTATTCGAATATTGTATTATGATATCAACAATAAATTATATCTACTAAATATATCCATCATAAGAACGTGTCGGGTAAAGGCAGCTATTTGAATTGTGCAGGGTCGGGGATCGTCGCGGCAGTCGAGCGCGTTCGTAGTATGCGGAGCGTTAGCAGGAGCGGCGGGCGGCGCGGCCGGCGCATGGCTCGCGCTCCGACGACTGCGGCGCCGCGCCGCCCCGCCCCCCGCACACACCGCGCTCACCGCACGCACCAAGCTGCCCGCTACACGAGCGAGACCTCTCGGCGCCAGCTGCACAGAGTGAGTACCGCCCCGCCCCCCGCACACACCGCGCTCACCGCACGCACCAAGCTGCCCGCTACACGAGCGAGACCTCTCGGCGCCAGCTGCACAGAGTGAGTACCGCCCCGCCCCCCGCACACACCGCGCTCACCGCACGCACCAAGCTGCCCGCTACACGAGCGAGACCTCTCGGCGCCAGCTGCACAGAGTGAGTACCGCCCCGCCCCCCGCACACACCGCGCTCACCGCACGCACCAAGCTGCCCGCTACACGAGCGAGACCTCTCAGCGCCAGCTGCACAGAGTGAGTACCGCCCCGCCCCCCGCACACACCGCGCTCACCGCACGCACCAAGCTGCCCGCTACACGAGCGAGACCTCTCGGCGCCAGCTGCACAGAGTGAGTACCGCCCCGCCCCCCGCACACACCGCGCTCACCGCACGCACCAAGCTGCCCGCTACACGAGCGAGACCTCTCGGCGCCAGCTGCACAGACTGAGTACCGCTCCGCATTCTACAGAAATTAATTTCAACCACTTCACCCATATAGCGGCTCGAACCACTCCACTAGTATTAAATACAAGATTTCAAATACAAATTAGAAATTTTGTTAGCAAAGGAGGACCTATCTCTATATGAAATCTCTTCCAGTCAACCTAATACAACGACACAGGAAGTTGTGTGTGGGTTCCAGAAGTGCTAATAATAAAAATGAGCCTTTTTTTAATTTTTACTATTAACACTTCTGGAACCCACACTCCACTAATATACTGATAAAAGTACTGCACAACAAAACAAAACAAACTCAACAAGACAAAACTAATGCACCTAATTTTTGATCAGGGCGTCCGAGAGCCTATGCGAGCGGTACCCGCGGCCAACCGCGAACCCGCCGCCCAGCCCGGCGACGGCGAGCGGCGCGTCACTAGCGGCGTCGGCGTCGCGGCGACGCGCGTACCGGCACTACCGCGCCATGAACCGGCCGCCGCCGCCCACGCCCGCCTCCACCGACGCCTGCGAGTCGGAGCCCGAGCACAGCGCGCGCGCGCCGCCGCCCTCTCCCGCACCCTGCCTCTACTGACGCCGTCACAGGTGACGAACCTGTTCAGCTATTACACACGGTATATAGTGTGCTCCGTCACGCAGGAGTCGACTTTTACGCATGGCCCTATAAGTACGGAGGTTCATGCGGAATCGGCTTTCAAAAAATGTAAATATATACAAAGAGAACGTGAGTGAGGCGTAGTCGTGTCTAGGCGTGTCGCCGCCCTCGCCCACGCCCTACCTCTACTGTCGCCGTCACAGGTGACGAACCTGTTCAAATACTACACGCAGTGTAAGCGCCCCTGCCTCTACTGACGCCGCCACCGGTCATGAACCTATTCAACTTCTACACGCGGTATATAATATATATGTGAAAGAATGCGTGAAAGAACATAATATGTTATTGAAAAAACATACGTATTATACATATTATGTATAATATGTATGTTCTTTCACGCGGCAGTCGACTTTCACGCACGTCTCTATAAGTACGCTCTTTCACGCGGGAGTCGACTTTCCCGCAAGTTCCTATCAGCTGTCTTTACACGTACTCTCTTTCACGCGGGAATTTTAAACGTGTCTTTGGAAAATAAAATATAAAATTAAAGTAAAATGACTTAAAACGAATGCGTTATCATCCGGGAAAGAATGATCACAAAAATAGTCAACACACGTTTCTGCTTGCTTATATATGTACTTACTTATATACTTATGAATGCGCGTGAAAGAATGTGTCGTGTAAAGACAGAAATTATTACGTATGGGACTATCTATTCTATCTACCCAGCTGTAGGCCTGCGTCTATTTACAAGTCTCTTGAATTACGGATATATTAAACTCCCCATACATGGATAGATTTATCGCTTCAATCAATCAAAATTATTAATTTAACGATCTACCTTTTCATTATTGGACTACCAAGTTGAGTCGATATCAATGCGCGCGATCCATTAATCGATAATCGATCAGGGTATGGGGAACTTTAGGGATACTCCTCTATACACAGAGGTATTGGACTGCACCCATATTTAGGAAGTTATTGGATTGCGTTCCTAATAGCGGAATATTAGAATATATATAAAAAAGTTTCACAAGATTGTATTTGCTTTTGTTGTGGTATTAAGTCCTTTTCTCATTACCAATGTGTTTCAACTGACAATACGATCTATTTGTAATATCAGTAGCTAGTCATCAATGGAGCGACTTTCGATTATCTACGTAATTAGAGTTACGATCTTGTGATTTTTTTCTATATATATTCTGATATTGAATAAATCAAAATCCATATAATCTAGAATTTATTCATAATTATTCGAACGTCGAATTTATCGATCATTAATATGATTGCGATTGGCACGTAACTTGATTTAATTGCCATAATTAATTCAATTAAAAAATGTTTGTAGAATATACCAGAATAGTCGATAAGATGACAACATTCACCACCTGGTGATAATGACTGCGCGACCGTATTAATTAATACTGTTCTGATAAACGCCCCTTTTTTATCAGTGAATGCATCCCAGATGGCGCGAAATGCTAATGTCAAGCTTTAATTTATAGCGTTATTTGATACTGGCCTGCTATCGGATGATGTTTATGACCGATTTTGAAAATAGAACTGTATAATTTTAGAGTTTATTTTATTTTGTTTCTATCTTTGCCATTTTCTATTCATATTTTAGTTGCAAGTTGATTGTACTTTGATCGTGATATTTTCCACATAACACATTTAAAAATAAATATGTACCCAATTCGACTGTACTTTTATATTTTTAAAACAATTATAATTAGATTTTTTTGTATTAATATAATTAATTAATTACATTCTTTCAGGTTTTGTTATATAATTACACTATGATTAATATGATCGCAAATTATACATGACTGTGCTGAATACAATGTGAAATATGTTGTGGTGCTATCTCGCTGTATGTGCCTCATTAGTTTTAAGAATACGTATTAAATATAGTATTATCGTATCTGTATATTAATTATAATGTTAATTGTACATATTAGACCCAAATTTTATGTGTGGATATTAAGAAATTTCCTTTTATAACCCAGTTTTGTACAGTCGCGAGCACTGATATATTAACACTATAGTATATTGTTATAACTTTAGTAGTGAATATTTTAAAGATTTTTAAATATAACCCTACATGAATGTTCTGGTAATAAGCTCCACCTGATTACATATTACTGCGGGTGAATGTACACAGTAATATTGCCATGACGAAGGGTAACTCTGTTACAATTTTCCTGTTGACTGTATTGTATTAGTTAATAAACAAATATGGGTTTTGGAAGAATGTTATTATATTTTACATAATTCTCGCAACACATCAGTCTCTTTTTGTCATGATATATCGTATTATAACTATATTTATGATCTGGCTTTTTACACTTGGACAAAGAAATATTCAATTTTGTTTGCACAAAAAATAGATTAACGTGGTTTTTTTTTTTGTGTTTTTACGTACTGTTGTATATTATTATATTTTTCTATATTATCTTATTTTGAAATGATAATTATAATTGCCAAGTGTAAAGAACAGAAAATATATAGATAACATATTAATGTTTACGAAATAAGTCCAGCCGTTTCAGAGATTAGCAAATACAAACAGACAGGCAGTTTTTTTTTTTAGATTTGTGACCATATGTACTTCCATATGCATTTAGTAAAAGTTTTTAATTTTGAATTTCAAACAGACTCTTCCAAATTATATATTTGTATAGATAATAATGCTAAAACATACATTAAATTCATAAAAAAAACACATTGGCATGAGTTTGACAATATACAAACATTTTAGTCTTTGACAATAGGACCTTAGTAAAAACATTATGGAATTATAGTCAAATCACGACATCTGGTAATAATTAAAATATAACACAGCATTCACAACAATCTGTGAGAGCAAATATTATAGCATGTACTACATGCTTGGCATTAGGATCTCAGGATAGTTATCTTTATAAACATTCTGAACAAATCATATTTTTTTAGGTATATCTCTGCAATATCTTCGCCTGTCTAAATTATTTCTTATATTGCCTCACGTATTTTATAACTATTCTACGCAATTTATATACATGTGTGAGAATAAATAAAAATGTTGTATAATTTCAACCCGTAGCAATTTCTCCTTTGTGATTGTTTTATAGTTGCCATTTTGCATTTAAATTTGTGTTAGCTAAGTATATAAAACGTAATGCTTATTTTAGTAGATATGGCTTTATATCAGAATTATGTAAATTTGTCTTGTATAAATACTAAATACTGACTGACTTTGAGATTTTCGAAATAAACTTTTGTACCTGTTACAAGTCCAGTTTTATTTTCATCCAAATACACAGCAAAAAACTTCAACAAAATAAACTATACATTTCATTAAATACAGGTATACTTTTAGTGTAAGTTTAATAGAAACCCTTGATATCAGATTTTAGAATCACTGTACCTACCTGTGTTGCTGCGTGCGTTAAGTCTTAATTTATTAATTAACTAGCTACCCACCCGGCTTCGCACGGCTGTACATGTATTATACATATAAACCTTCCTCTTGAATCACTCTACCTATTAAAAAACCACTTGAAATCCGTTGTGTAGTTTTAAAGACTTAAGCATACCTAGGGACGGACAATAGCGACAACCACTTTGTTTTATAATATGTAATGATAAAACTATTGTTACCATTTTAATCGATACTAAACTTTGCGTCTCCTTCATCCCAGCTCAGGTAAATGTGAAAGATAAAATATTTATTAACAACCAATTCCACACATATTCATATAACAATATTATGTTATCTGGGATATAACCAATAAATAAATAATAAGAATGTTTAAAAATACAGATACACGCAAACATACATATGTACATACAACAAAAAATGTGGAAGTATTTTTTAATTATTATTAAATATGGACACTTGCCGTTGATATTAAGACAAATTGTTCATATACGAGTAGGTATATACTAATAGAAGCTATACGCGTAGCAAGTACGTAGTTAAGCAATCATGATAAATAATTTGAAAAAGGGGCGGCGTAGATTTCATGTTATTCATCAGACACATTGATTCGCCTCCATTTGTTACTCAAAATGACCGTAACATGATATTCGTTTGCTGCGGTGGATGATTAGATATGATTCACTCTACATAGTTTTTCAATTTACGCAATATCATATAACTGTGCAGTCTGCAGGCACTTCTCGTTCGATCAGCACATGGACAACGATGTCCAGATTATTACTGCGTTACCTGTGTCTAACAATTTCTTTCGTACTCTCAAATTGCGAAATTTACAAGGATCGGCCTAAAATAAAGTCTAAAGATGGAGATCTCTATTTGCAACCAGCATATGATAGGAGCATATATTTAAGCACTAATGGCCCACGATCTACTGTTTTCGTTGGTGAAATCAACTTACTCAACGTTAGCACCCATAATAAAATCGAGACGTATCAACCCGTACAGAACGACGACATCGATAAACTACTAAACGGTCGCAATGGTATATTACAAAGGCTTGAAACGTTGGAAAATCAAAACTTGATATTACCTAGTGATCTGCAACATAACATATCTGTGATCTGGACAAGAATTAATAGAATAACGAACAGAATCCATAACCTTCAAACACAACTCAATAATAGAGGTAAAGATGATTGTCAATCACATACATGTCTAAATGGAGGCACTTGTTTACATTTGGTGAATGGATATCATTGTTTATGTCCTTCCAATTGGGAAGGACGAAATTGTGAAGTCGATGTCAACGAATGCCGAAACTTTTTTGGTACAGACTTGGGCTGTCAGAATGGAGCAACATGCATTAATAGACCTGGTACTTACGAATGCTTGTGCAGATCAGGATGGCTTGGAATTCATTGTACGAGTAGGGAGAAAGATTGTTCCGGAGGAAATTATGAAATGTGTGGTCACGGTACTTGTGTTGCAGTCACATCTGGCGTGGGTATCAAATGCATTTGTGATCAAGGCTGGACTACAAATGGGACTGCAGTAGCATGTCTAACTGACGTGAATGAATGTGATACAAGTCTAGGTCCCCGTTGCTCTATTAATCCTAAAGTGGAATGTATCAATCTTCCGGGATCATTTCGCTGTGGTCAATGCCCACCGGGTTATGACGGAGATGGATACAGTTGCTACGATATAAACGAATGCCAAACTATCCCTAACGGTGGATGTAGTCCTTTGGTAGCATGTCACAATACTATAGGTTCTCGTATATGTGGTCTTTGCCCACCTGGATACCAAGGTGATGGCATAACATGCTCATGGAGGGGCTCTTGCAGTATTAATCACGGGGGATGTCATCCATCGGCGCAATGTATCGAAAACATGGCATTTGGTGGTCAAATTGCACAATGTCTATGTCCTGATGGCATGGATGGAGATGGAGTTGGACTCGACGGGTGTTATATATCAGCAAGCAACAATTCCACTCACAGTTGTGTGGACGAACCATGTGGTCCTCATGGACAATGCCACATGCTCCGGACAGGATACACTTGTTTATGCTACAGAGGATTCACGGGAGCCCGTTGTAATATTACACAAGATTACTGTGCCAACAACCCATGCCAAAACGGTGGTGTATGCAGAACAGACGAATCAATGGCAAAAGGATTCCGTTGTGAGTGCAGTGCATTATATACAGGAACAATGTGTCAGGTACGTGCTAGAAATTGCGGAGGTTTACTAGATAATGAGGAGGGCAGTATTGTTTATCCCATATCTAATACCACTTATGAACATAATTCCAAATGCGCCTGGGTTATTCATACTGCACCAAATAAAGTTATCAATGTTACTTTTAGCAAATTTAATTTAGAATTAGAACCTGAATGTCGGTATGATTTTTTACAAATGCATGATGGTCAAAGTTCCTCTAGTCAACTTATAGGTAGATTCTGTGGTAACAAATTTCCTAAGGGTGGTAACATTATATCGAGTCACAATAATTTGTATCTCTGGTTTCGTTCGGACAAAACAGTAGCCAGAGATGGCTTTGCAATGCATTGGAATAGTATAGACCCAATTTGTGGTGGTGAAATAAATGCTACCACACACGGCCATATCAGCTCTCCAGGATCGCCTGGAAAGTATCCACCTAATCGAGACTGCTATTGGCATTTAACTACTTCTTTTGGCAAGAAAATACAATTACATTTCTTCGAATTCGACATTGAAGCACATGCTAACTGTAGTTATGATTATTTAGCTATTTATGATGGAGAACACTCTTATGACCCACTTCTTAATAAATATTGCAACTCAACCCAGCCAGCGCCTGTCCAGTCAGCAGGCTCGGAATTATTAATTCATTTTCACTCAGATGCTTACAGTTCCGGTAACGGATTCCAAATAGCATATGCCCCTATAAACGGGGTGCCAGGGTGCGGGGGGTACTTTACTGAGGAACATGGAGACATCGTATCACCAACATACAATGGATTTTATTTAAACAACCTAATATGCGAATATAAAATTAAAACTAGTCCAGACACGAAAATAAAAATTATCTTTAAAAGCTTTAACATAGAGAGATCTTTAAGATGTCACTATGACTATTTAAAAATTTACGATGGACCATCTTCAGATTCACGTTTAGTCGGCAAATTTTGCGGCGATGTGAATTATCCAAAGTTTTATGTTTCCTCTTCAAACTTTTTGTTCTTTATATTCAGAACTGATCGCACTAAAACATTGGAAGGATTTAGAATAAGTTATAAATCCATATGCCAGTACACTATAACCGGAGATAGTGGTGTAATAAAATCACCTGGATATCCTTTCAATTACCCAGTGAATAAAGTATGTGAATATATCATCGAAACTATTCCTGGAAAGGCGATACAATTAACTTTCAAAGATTTCGACATCGAAGATAACCGATATTACAGTTGCCAATACGATAATTTAGAAATAAGAGATGGCCCTAACGTAAATTCCACTCTTCTTGGAAAATATTGTGGAGGTACGGAGCACATCCCTCCTACACAAACTTCCACCCATAACTTCTTGTACTTAAAATTTACTTCCGATATAAGTATTTCCGGCACTGGTTTCTACGCAAACTACACTACACTTGATGTCGAATGTGGTGGTATATATAAACAAACAACTGGTCTTATTAATCATCCATCTGATGATTCACTATACAAAAACGAACAAAATTGCACTTGGATTTTGATCGCACCCGAGGGAATGCATATAAAACTAAATTGGAATAGTTTTGATTTGGAAGAAATGCCATCATGTGATAGTGACTATTTGGAAATTATCGAAATGGATAGTAATAATAAATACGATACCATGGGCAAATATTGTGGAACTGTTTTACCTCCCGCTGTAACAACAATGACAAATCGTCTTATTCTTAAATTTGTTTCAGACCGAACTATTCGCTCTGCAGGTTTCTCAGTATCCTATACATTTTTAAATTCAAGGTCTCATTGCGGAGGTACCTATGTGAAAACTCACGGATTTATTTATTCTCCAGATTGGCCTAAAAATTATGAACCTAATCGTGATTGTGTCTGGACCATCAAAGTTCCTGCAGGGCAACAGATTTCTCTTAATGTTTCTCAGTTTGATTTAGAGAGATCTATTCGCAACAAATGTGATATTGGAGATTATTTGGAAATACGAAATGGTGCTACAGCAAATTCACCGCTGATCGATAAATATTGCGGTCACTTCAATTGGAAGCGTTTTATTTCAACGGGCAATTCATTATATCTACATTTTCATTCTGACTTCTATATGGGGGGAGCTGGTTTCAAAATAGAATGGGATGGTACTCTTCAAGGTTGTGGTGGAACATTAACAAGTTCTAGTGGATCTATATCCTCTCCTAACTATCCTGAAGTATATGACGAAAACTCTGAATGCTTTTATAAAATTATTACAAGTCATGGATCACGAATTAGCATTAGTTTCAAAGAATTAGATTTAGAGCGCACGCCACATTGTAGAGACGATTATGTCGAAATATTTGATGGTAGAGACGCTAATGCAAAGAGTTTAAGGAAATTATGTTTCATGTCACCAGCAGCGAATGGTATTGAAACAACGACAAACATTGCATATGTTAAATTTAGATCTGATTTCTATATGGGAGGCAAAGGATTTTTACTTGATTATGTTACAATATGTAGAAATAATATTACTGGAAGTTATGGTGTTATTGAAAGCCCTGACTACCCGAACAATTATCCTTTAAATCTAAACTGCTTATGGACGATAAATGTATCTAAAGGAAGCAAAATTAATGTAACATTCACACATTTTGATGTCTATAAATCAATTCATCTGCGCCAATACCGTCGCTGGTGGGCTACGACGTGGCGACCAGGTTGTGAAAGAGATTATTTACAACTAAAAGAGCCATCTCAATACCAAGAACCAAATAAACTATGTGGTACATCAGTTCCTTCAGCTTTAAGCACAAAAGGTAATATATTAGAAATAAAATTTGTAACCGGTCTCTTTAATTTTCATTCAGGATTTCGACTAGAGTGGGTAAGGGATGGTTGTGGAGGTCACATCCGTAAAATGTACGGTGCGTTGTCCAAAATGGTCGACTCTGGTGGACAATTGGAATGTGAATGGATTCTAGAAGCACAACCAGGAATGAGTATATTTATAGTTTTGACAAAATTATATGTTGCGGATTCGCCAAATTGTACAACGGATTCATTAGAAATTTACAACGGACCAAATATTGACTCGCCACTAATATCAAAAATATGTCACAAGAAGGACGTAACAATACAAGGTAACACCAATTTCCTGCTAGTAAGATTTATAAAACAATCAACGTTAAAAGATGTTCATTTTGAGATACAATACACTTCAGCTAAATCTGTTTGCGGCGGCGTATATAACTCAGTCTCAGGTTTCATTACTTCGAAAAATTACCCGAAAAATTATGAAAATAACATGGATTGTACTTGGTCCATAACTGTCGGTGTGAATCATCGAATTGAATTAAATTTCGTTGATCTTGATCTATACTCTAACGTTAACTATGACATACCAGTTTGTGGTGATTCGATTAGATTATACGATAGTATGGACATATCAAATTCAAACTATACAGATATAATTTGCCCAAATTCACATACCTCACAATATATTTCGAAGGGAAACACACTTTTATTACAGTTCATAACTGATAATTATGGGACAGCAAAAGGTTTTAAGATAAATTTTAGTGAAACATGTGGTGCAGCAATAGTAGCAGCTTACGATGGAATAATAACGAATGATAAATTTATTAGTAACTCCAATTTAAGTTGTGTCTGGACCATTTCGGCTCCTGTCCCTGACAAAAAAATATCATTAACGATAAGTCACATATCGTTACCTTATGATAGTGATATTAAAAACAAAAGCTGTCCTTCTTCTTATTTAAGAATTTATGATGGAGACGATGAAAATGCTCCTGTTATTGACGAATACTGTGGACATCGAATACCCTCCATGATTGTCAGTCATGGTAGCGCTATTACTGTACAACTTGGCACTAATACTGATAAAATTATAGGCCATTTTTCTGCACATTATACCTCCATAGACTCTGCATGCGGAGGAACTTTAACTTCAGAAGAAGGCGCCATAGCTTCACCTGGTTACCCTCGATCATACCCAATAAACGCTAACTGTGAATGGATTTTAAAAACATCTCCAGGAAATAAAGTGTACATAGCGTTTGAATCTTTTAATATTGAATATTCAGAAGAATGTAATGAAGATTATTTAGAGATCCGTGAAAATAATGGCGGCGGTCGCCTCATTGGTGTCTATTGTGGTGACACTGTACCGATAAATACAACAATAGCTGCAGAGTTATTCATTAAATTTCACAGCGATAATAAATATAGCGGTCAAGGATTTCTTATACGCTATGGGTTTATTCATGGAAACGAAATCACAAATCTCGAAAATGGTGAAATAGCATCACCTTTATATCCAATTGCATACGATAGGCCAGGTGAATTCTGGTGGCGAATTACGAGTGGAGTGGAAGCTATTACTATCATAATAGACAGATTAGAAATTCATACTTATGGTGACATTTGTTACAGTAGCTTAACTGTTTTTGACGGACATAATGACGAAGCTCCAGTCATGGAACAATTTTGCGGAATATTAACAGAAGAAAAAGTACTACACACATCGTCTAATGCCGTTTATATTAAACTGACATTAGATGAGTCCAACAGCGGCGTTTTGTTCCATCTTCGATGGTCTCGAGAAAATAAAGTAGTAGAACCTGAAGGCACTTCAATTAATTGTGGTTCTAATGACACTGAAATTATTATGCCCGGTCACGTCACTGTATTTACGTCACCTAATTATCCTGAAGAATATGACAATAACTTAAACTGCCAATGGATATTTAAATCGATGCCAGGCTATCATTTAACATTAATGTTTAACGATTTTAACATTGAAGAAATAAACAGTTGTTTTGCAGACTTTGTATCAATTTATAAATCTGATAACTCAATTGACTGGATACCAATTAAAGAAAATATATGTACTACCGAAAGTACGTCACAAGGTTTTAATTCAAGCACATATTTAAAAATTACTTTCCATAGTGATTTATCAGTGGTAAAGAAAGGTTTCCATGGTTTAGTCAAATCTGTATGTGGTGGTACAATTACAGACTTATCTGGTGAGTTCGGTCCAATTATATCCGATAATATAAATACCTATACACAACCAAAGGTAAAGTGTAATTGGATAGTAAAAGTTCGTCCAGGCAGACATATACATTTAATATTTGAATATTTTAATATTACAAACAAAGATGACGAATGCAAGACATTTGTTGTTCTGCATAATGGCAATTCAGTGGATGCACCTTTACTATCAAGTGGAAAATATTGCGGTTACTCGCATGAGAATAGAAGTGAAATAGTTACTTCAAGTAATACATTATTTGTAACGTATGAAAGTAGTATTTATCATAATTTGCAGTCTATATTTCATGGTTTCCGTATACGATATGAAGAAGAAGGCAACAATTGCGGATCAGTTAGTAAATTAGACATTGATCGTCCGTGGGAAATTATAAGTTCACCAAATTATCCTTCCATACCAGATCCATATTCTGAATGTGTGTGGAAATTCAGTGGGCCTTTCGGCGAAATATTAAAAATAGATTTTCTAGACAGATTTGATTTAGATTATATAGAAGACTGTCCTACAGAATCCATTGAAATTCACGACGGTTTATCAGAATTAGCTCCGATAAAAGGAAAATTTTGTGGTGAAAAACCAGGAACTATCAAAACCAGTAGTAACACACTATATATCAAATACTTTACTACTTTGTCAGAACCAAGGAATGGGTTCAAAGCTAATGTATCTATAGATATTTGTGGTGGCACTGTAATTGGCTCAGTAGGTGAAATAAAATCACCAGGATATCCTAACATGGTAAAATTATCTTCTGGAACGGTTTGTGAGTGGCACTTAAGAGGTAACCCTAGTCATATTTTGACTATTAAGTTAGAGGACTTAGATTTACTAGAATCAGAATCACCATGTGGTACCAAAGTTACGATTGAAGAAAATATACCTGAGAACAATACAGTTACTATATTAAAGACATTTTGCTCAGAAAGTGTTTTTAATATAGGATCTGTAGTTGAAACATCTACAAACGAGGTTACAATAAAACTACATCTCGGTAAACCAAGCGAGTATGCGGTAGTAACTCATTCACGTGGGTTTAAATTTACTTTTAATTCTTCTCTACCATCTTGTAATGGAATTATTACAACACCTGAGGGATATTTAACAACACCAGGATATCCTCGTGAAACGTCCATAAGACAATGTCAGTGGAGAATTACAGTTCCCAATAAAAAACGTAGAGTTCGATTAGAATTATTAGACTTTGATGTTGATAAACAGAGAATCGGTATATATAATGACAAAAACTTTCAAACTAGCATAGGATATGTGTCTAACAGTGACACCTCTACAAATAATACGAGTGTTTTCGAATCTTCTGGTAACGAACTTGCATTATATATCTGGTTAAATAGTTTCGGAAAAACTCACCGATTTAAAGCAAAATTTAGTTCTGACGAGGATGCATTGTGTGGTGGAACGCTGAGTGGAATAACTGGGGAATTGATATCCCCAGTTATTGACCGATCCTATTCTTGTAATTGGCACTACAGCCAGGACTTGTTTGCTGATTTTAAGAATTACAGCACCTTGTATATTACTGCAACTGTAAACTCATCAGTAACAAGATCACGATGTAGATACTCTGATCCTAAATTAAAGATAAAATCAGCTTTTAATCGTGGAATGTTTGGTTTTCATCGAGAAATTTGCGGCAATAATGAAGCTTCATATCGGATACCAACCAATGTAATTGACTACAGAGCAACAAAGAGTGAGAGTGATTCGTTTTACTTCCGAGTTCAATGGAAGTTGCAACCATGCGGTGGATTAATACATGCAGGAGATAATCCTGTGAATATTATAAATATATCGAACACATCTCTATCAAAGTATACTGTAGACTGTGCTTGGACTATTCAATTGCCTCCAGGAAATAAGGTTGAATTGAAATTAGAGGGATCTTTCTTATTGGACTGCCCCGACGAGTTCTTAAAAATATCCCGTAATGTCCCATTTTCATCTTATATAGGAGATTACTGTAAAAATAGAATGCAAGATGCTGCTATTGTTGAGTCATTTTCAAATATTGTTGTTGAGTATCACTCTAGTCCAAAGAATTCTACAAACATAAAACTTATGGTAAAAACTACCAGGCATGGTTGTGGGGGATTATTAGGAGCTTACGATAGAATGTTTGCATCACCTAATTACCCAAATGATTACCTTAGTAACCAAGAATGCTCATGGGAAATTAAAACTGATTTAGGATTCAGAATATCACTTAAATTTGTTAACCGTTTTGGAATAGAAAGCAGGCCAAACTGTACAAAAGATTCCGTGATAATTTATGACTGGAAAGACGAAAAGTATACTCAAGTCGCAAAATTATGTGGTAGAGAACTACCACCGTCATATAATTCCACGTATAATCGTATGAAAGTAGTATTACATACGGATAATGATATCAATTTATATGGTTTTGAAGCTTTGTGGGATAATTTCTGTGGAGGAACATATGTAGCGACAGAAAAAAAACAATATATTTACAGTCCCGGTTATCCGTATAGCTACAGGCCTAATATGGACTGCACGTACAAAATTACAAAATCAGCGCCAGGGCAAAAACTTGCAATAAAATTTTTGGAATTTGAAATAGAAGGTTCATATCCTAATTGCGATAGTGATAATGTTACAATAACATCAGAAGGTAATTATGATTATATTTACGAAATATATTGTGGAAAAGAAATCCCTCATTACACTCCCGGTTATGATGACGTAATAATAACATTCAAAACAGATACATTTTTTCAAAAAAAAGGTTTCAAGCTATCTTTCACATTATTTTCTTGTGGTGGTCAAATAAGAGAACCCAAAGTTCTAACAGCAGTACCTCAAGGTAATTATTACAGTAATATGAATTGTACATGGTTTATAGAAGGCCCAAAAAATAAAATAGTGACATTAAAAATTCTTTATGTCGATTTAGAAAATAATTATTTGTGCAGTTCTGACTACTTAGCAGTGTTTGATGGTTTGACTATAGAAGACGACAAACGTCTAGCATTAATCTGCGGTAATGACAATTCTACGACTGTAATCAGAAGCAGGGGCAACACTATGGTGTTTCAGTTTGTTTCCGATCGCAGTATGGTATACAGTGGGTTCAAAGCTCATGTGTTCTTTAGTTACTTCGAGTCTATGGGCTGTGGTGGAAAGATTAACTTGATGCCTTCTTCGTCTTATATTTTAAAGTCTCCATTTATTAACTCCAAAGTAGTTTATGAAGATTTCTTGGACTGTCACTGGTCAATTTTAGCACCTCCTGATTACTCCATTAAAATTCAATTTACATCATTTCATATTGCACCTTGTCAGAACGTTAATCAAACGGCTCTAGGTTATAGTAAATGTGACTGTGATTCCGTAGAAATAAAAAACGGTGTGAATCCTGATAGCTACAACATAGGCACTTACTGTGGTCATTTTTTACCACCACCACTTATTACTTCTTCTAATGAAATGAGCGTAAGACTTTCCACAGACGGTGAGATAGAAAGTTCTGGATTTGAAGCTACTTTAACCGTCCAAAAATCCCTGTGTGGACAATCAGTTTTTAACTTGTCATACGAAATAAAGACTATTAAGTCACCAGGTTACGATAAAGCTCTTATTCCAAGATCAATCCGATGCATCTATCAATTGAGAGCCGATAACATAATGTATAATACTATTCATATCCGTATTGTTAACCTAGAGTTAAAGCCCAGTACAACACCCGATGCATGCGACAAAGATAAATTAGTAATTAGTGTTTCTAAATCTCTACATAACACATCTGTTGGAAAGGATTATATTATAAGAAACACAGATGAATTTTTTACTAACATGATTTCAATGACCTCCTTGGTAGAAATTAAGACACCTAAAGAAATTACACTTTGTGGACTTAATAAAATGTCAGATATATATGTTAGTGGAAGTGTTAGTATACATTTAGAAACATCTCCTGATTATGATAGTACTCCGTACCGAGGCGTCGAGATGGAGGTATCTTTATCTGGATTCTGTGGTAGGAACTACACTGAAAGACATGGTAGGATAAAAAGAACATACACACCTGGCGATGGAAACACTGACGATTGTTATACCCTTATTACAGCTCCTGAAAATTATACCATATCCCTATACTTCCTATCAGTTATTCCAGATTACTGGAATAAAGATGTCTTCTTAGCTATTCACGATGGTAACGTAACTGGCTCAACAAAACTGGCAAACATTAATACAGAATATTATAACAATCCAGTGTTCTCCACTGGGAGATATCTGTTGTTACATAGCCATCAAGTAACAGATGTACAAATTACTTACGATGCGAACTATGTTATTACAAACAAAGGACGTGGATGTGGAGGTCAGCTGTACAATGAACAGGGCATAGTTACCAGCCCGTTATATCCAGAAATTTATCGTAAGAAAAACAAATGCGAATGGGAACTTGAAACTCCCTTAGGTACACGTATAGCCTTGCATTTCAGCGTCTTCGACTTAGGCACAGATTGCGATAATAACTATGTGGAATTAGTAGATCGACAAGGTAACACTATATCAACTTACTGTTCCGAAACCCCCGCAGATTATATAAGTACTGAAACGTATGTAAAAATTGTATTCACAACAACTGTAAATAACGGTGGCTCAGGGTGGGTAGCGGAGTTTGTTGGAATTTTGTAATAAACCGTTATGAAATTAAATAAAACAATCAAACTAATTCTAATAAATGTACGGGGCCGAAAATTTATTTATTCTGCGTGGGCAAAGTCACGGAAGACGTGTAGTAGTACTAGATTCATATGGGCAAACAAATTATACATGACCAATATTCATAGCAAATTGCTTTAAATTTGTCCTATAAACATGTAATTGGTCTACAAGTCGTAGACCAACTTAGTTGTTGATAACAATGTCGTTAGTAACTACTAGTGTTAAGCTGCTTATTGATTGTAAACTTGTGTAATAATAAGAAAGTTTGTAAATACAATAGTTAAATTTATTTCTTTTTGTCCTTCAGTATCATGTAATTGTAATATTTATAATAGGACTGAATCTAAATAAAATTAATTGTAAAAACATATATGATCTTTATGTTTATTTCAATATTAAGACTGTAGCAGAGTCCCAACAGAATCGGTATAATCTTCTACAATATATGTATATCAATACTGATATTATGAAGAAGGAAGATTCGTTTGTATGCATTAAATAGGCTCCGAAACTACTGGACCGATTAGGAACATTTTTTTAGTGTTGGGTAGATCATTTATCGAGGAAAGCTTCAGGCTATATACCATCACGCTTCAACCAATAGGAGCATATAAGAAGGTAATATTAATGTGTCATAAATAATTGCAATAAACGGGGAAAATCTGACGGAGACAAAACTGCTCAGGTTAACAATTTGATTAATGATTTTATATCTACGAGTATTCTTATCCACTAGAGTTAGACACTTGAAATTTTGAAAATTGAATTAGTTTATAGTGTAAACATGCACTAAAAATCATATTTGGAAATTATTCCCTAAAAGGGCTGAACAATTGAATGGTATATAAAAATTGATATAGATATATATATACATATTACACACTTGTTTTCTCCTCAAGTCATTTTCCTCATTCCCGAGGGTCGTGATTTGCTTTATCTCTGATTACATCCGTCTATTTGCGTCTCATGGAACGTAGTGTCCAGAGATGAACGGACTTGGTCAGACCATTTAATTATTCGACCAAGAACTACACCCGAGTGAGGCTTCGGCGTGTTGCTAATTATTACATATAGTAATGCTTCTGACGACTATCCGGATTTCACTGCTAACAACCCCTCCCGGGTTGTTACTAAAGGAAAACAGTGACAACATTGTCAGCGAGTTAGATCGACCTCCACGCGGTCCCTGTTGGAAACCATCGTTCATTCCTTACGAATTCGTCATGTTGAGCTAACTGACCTAAAACTACGCTATCATCCCTTATTTTTGTCGCGCCAGCATATACAGTTACGAAGGCGTTGGAAAAAGAACTGCTGAAAAATCGCATTAGGAATTAAATGGTTAAAGGTAAAACTGATAACAATAGGAATAATCTGCAAAACGAAAATTGTCTCCCGATACCTATAGCCTACCCTACCCATCTAACTAAAATAATAACTTCTACACTTCTCGTATATAAATACAACGGGCAATTTTAGAACCGATAATCGTGGTTGTAGCTTGTCATGTCTAATGTAAATGGAAGAATAGTAGAGTACTCCAAAGAAGACAAATACCTGGGCATAACTTTCGACCAAACACTGACATGTAACACATATAGGTAGGCGTGGTGATGAACAGAAACGGACAACATTGTCGGTTGCTGTTTACAACTATATAATTAAATATAAGATATTTTATTTTATTATTAAGTTAGTTATCTCAATTAAAATATTTCAATAATGTTTAGATAAGTGTTTTTGTTTTACATATTTTTACTCAATAACCCTACCAATGCAATTCTACGAATCTGAATCCTTTGAATAAAACAGATTATTTCCCCATGAATTAGGTATTAAAGTCACCTTAACATTAAAATATGATATGCATAAATAGCTATAATGAAGCTTATACAGGGTTACTAGAAGCAAAGTCGAATTTGGAAAATAAATTTTGAACCTTAATGGTTTAAAATTTATTTTCTTTCTTTATTATTCTAAAATTATATTTAATTATCCACTTCAATTTAGAAAAGTGATTCAATTTAATAAGTAATAAAACTTGCTATCGGTTTGAACGACAAACCCTTTATAGAGATTCTCGGGGTCTAGTAATCTTATGTATAATATAAAATTCTCGTGTCACAATGTTAGTTACCATACTTCTCCGAAACGGCTTGATTGATTTTTATGAAATTTCATATGCATATTCATTAGATCTGAGAATCGACTACTATTTTTCATACCCCTAAGTGATAAGGGTTATCCACCCCTAACATTTCTGATTTTTGGATATTTTTTTTAAATGGTGTCATAACCAATAAGAGCAGTAGTTACTATAATTAAATTTGAACGCAATTAATTTCTATTGCAAAACTAACAACTCTATTTCCAAGCAATTTACGTTCAAACAGCATTTTTAAAACTCTGCAAAACATTCGATATTCTTTCATGGCTGAACAACTTTGTACACTCGCCAGACGGTAGGTAGCACAGATAACATAATATTAGTAGGTAGTTTCTGAGGGTAGTCTACATTGTCACTAACGTCTCCTGTCAGTTTAAAGGTACTCATTTAACGGCTGATATTAATATTTTGACTGATAATTACCACTATTACCACTATTATTTTTGTGGTTTTTTTTTTGGTACAGGCAGTGGCAAGTAAGCGGGAGGAGTTCAAGGTATGATTAATGAAGCCAGTCGTATATATTTACATTATGTGCATTAAGTATAGATATATACAGGTGAAAGGTATGTAGATAAGAAGTATATGTACAATGGCAGACAAGAATAGGATGCGGCCTCGAATGACAGTCTTGGTAAATTATTATTTCGCTTCGTAACTAGGCAACTATGGTGCAGCATAACTAATTGTAAGTAAATTCACTAATCAGCAAACACATACTCCTTGTTACCATTTTCATTTTTAATCTATCCTCATAGATAAGCCAAAGAGACTTGGGTTCAAAACAGGAAAACAGCTTCTATTGGAAGCTGTTAGCGAAAATATAATTTAATCTGACTATTACTGGCTATAGCACGGAATGATATTAAATGACAAACAGACGTAACTTATCTGTAGCATCTGTTTGTCATTCAATATCATTCATTACTGATCATTCAAAATGTCTTCTGATTAAATCTTTGTTTACATGTATATATTTTAGGTTGTAAAAAATATAAAATAATTGATGATAAATATAATTTCATCATAATAAATCCAGTGCATTTATAAACATATTAACAAAATGGATTTATTTTTACTATTGTGGAATTTGCTTATTTACGGTTCTTTTACAGCTGCGGCAATACTTCTAATAGTAAGTTTTATTATTACAATATACACGTCAGCATTCATTTTAAAAATTGACCCTAAAAGTTGTTAATTCGTAAACAAATTATTTAGTTTTATAGTAATCGCAGGCTAAGAACTTTTCCACGTGCGTATTCATATAATTCCCATAAACAATATACCTATTGTTGACGAGCGTCATATATAGATATGGACTGCTCCAATGCAATTGCTTTTTTTATTCTAAAATGGATACAATTGCAATAAATTTACGGACTATAATATAACTAACCAGCTTAGTTTAAAATCTGTATAATTTATTTCTCCTTACTTATAGTAACCTCCCGCCCGGCTTCATACATATTAAGATTATATGTACAATACATGACCACCCGTGCGAATTGAATCCTCTTGAATCCCTATATGCTGAACACTGCATTTTAATCCATTGCATAATTTAAAATGGTGCTTTTTTATACCATATATATAAATATTGTTTGTAGGTAACTGCAACACTGCTTGTTATAACAAAGCCATACCCAGTAGTTACAAAGTATGAAGAAGAGGAAACTTATATGGATAAGGCAAAAGACAGAAGATTAAAATTTCCAGATATTAGTGAAAACTACAGTGTGAATCTCACTGTTGTTGTGCCTGCATACAATGAGGAGGAGAGATGTAAGTTTTTATTATGTTATAGTTATTTATAATTATTTTGTTTAGTTATTGGGATTTAAGTAATGTAGGGATAAAAACTGGTTGAGTGTCATTATGAACAGAGCCATGGAGCAATTTGGATGATACTCTTACCCTTTTTAACTAATACAGAAAAACTGTAAATATCCATATTAGAATATAATAAATTTGCAAACTGTAAATGTATATGAAATTAAACCTATAATAATAAGTTAATGAGATTTATCAACTCGAACTTAACAGTGCCACCAATGCTTGATGAAACGGTGGAGTTTCTTGAACAGAGATTAAAAGAACATCCCTCATACAAGTATGAGATCATAGTGGTAAGTGATGGCAGCAGAGATAAAACAGTGACAGTAGCAGAATCATATGTACAAAAACTGGGAACTGATAAGCTTAGATGTCTAGAGCTTATAAAAAATAGAGGGAAAGGAGGTGCTGTAAGACTGGTAAGTGATCACATTGTACAGAAATTCATATGTAAATCTGATATATTACAACTTTGTCTATTGTATTTTAATTCAAATTAATTTTAGAATAGAATAAAATAGAAAATCATATATTCAAATAAACTTAATTTAAGCACTTTTGAATAGTCATAACAATTTGTTTTTATATCTACCACTCGTTCGGAAAGCTGTCTCATCACAAGAAGAACGAACCAGAAACTTGTGTGTTGCTCTTTTAAATAATCCTTGTAAGTTTACATTTACAAGACGAAACATGTGAATACAAACTACCAACAAGCACTAATTTTTTGGGTTAAATATAAATATGCAATAAGATTAAATCAGTCGTAGTGATAAAGCAGACCAGTCCCTACAAGCAGCACTCGTTCACGAGTATGACGGATAAGCCAGCCATCACTGCGCTCGACCATATTTTAGGGAGCCCAATGACCCGGCCCTCCACACCGCCACATGTCTGGACATTTTAGTGAGCAAGACTACTCATTCCACACGACCACGTCACAGCTACAAAAATTACTATATTATTATTAGCTAATTATTATTAGGTAGTTATAGTATTCGCACTTTACATGAAGATGCATGCAGCAATCAATATATTGAATTAATTTATGCTTTTAAATGAACTGTTTAAATAATATGATACACAAGATCTAAAACTTTAAATAGTTCAATTAATGTTAATCAAACAAAGAGTGATGCCAAGTTTAGCCCGCGTTTTGCATATTGTTCTATAGCGAAATTATTGTTTTTGGGCTAAACTTCATAATTATTAGAATTGTTTGTCCAAGTGCCGGTTCTGAGGGTCTTTGTCTTCCTTAGGTATAGTGTTTCAAAACATTGGAAGCAATCTGGTGCCACCAGCTAATTATGAAGCATATCTCAAAAGCATAATTTGACTTTGGACCACTATGCAAAATATGGGCTAAATTATATGTGGACTTTGGCGTACCTCCTTATTTTCATTATAATTTTTTTCAGGGCGTACAAAGTTCCCGTGGAGCATTAATTTTATTTGCTGATGCAGATGGTGCTTCAAAGTTCGAGGATTTAACAAAACTGGAAGCTGCTGTGAAGAGTTTAGCTAAGTATGACCCAATTACACAACCAACTGAAGTTAGTAATTGTGATCTCTTAGTTATAGGCTCCAGAGCACATTTGGAAGAGGAATCACTAGCTAAGAGAAGTATTTTCAGGTATATAATAGTTTAAAAAAAAATTACTTAGTTAATTAGTTTTACACACTGCACACATTTCGAGAAATGAATAGTAATGTTCACATATAATAAAAATGTATTAATATAATGATCAAAACAGGCATGGTCATTATTTTACATCAGGTGCATCCGTATGTTTTCCATACTAGACGGATAAAAAATTTCGAAGTACTTAAATTAATAGTACCCAGTGCACATTTACACAATGTTGCTTGTATATTTATTTTTTATTATTAATCATTTCATATTTTCCAGAAATATTTTGATGTATGGCTTTCATTTTCTGGTGTGGCTATTTACTGTAAAAGGTATCAAAGATACACAATGTGGGTTTAAACTGTTCACTAGAACGTCTGCAAGGACTTGCTTCCAAAGCCTACATGTTAATAGATGGTGAGTTAAGTGTATACATTTTTTTAATAATTATTACAAAATACAAGTCCCGGATCAATTCAATAAATTTGCGCTGCCACATACATAAATCTATTAAAAAGAATGAGGGTGGATTTAATATTGCACCATTTGTTGTATCAGATAAAATGTTATTTTTTACACACCTGTCCCAATTGTTACAAAAAGTTATCAGTGTGGAACCTCAGTATTGCTTATTTCAGCCGCCAAGTATGTTTAGATTGTAGCGTCAGAGTAGACGGTAAAATTACAGCATAAGAAGCATGACATCTTAGTACTCAGGAATGTTGGTATCCCGTGACTGGTATCATATTGGATGTTACGTAGTAACGTAATGTCCGTAGTGCTGTTCATGTGCGACTACTTCATTACACTTGAACACTTGACTGCGGTCTTGAACATGTTTGGCGTTCCAACTACATAAAAAAGATCTATTTTAACTCTATATCTATCCAAAGTAAAAATGCGTGACTTATAATTATAGAGGTTTAGCGCACCACCTTATCTCCCATGGTCACAGGTTCAATTCTCGCACGGTACAAACATTTGTATTCATTAGAATAATTATTTGTAGGGGTCTGGGTGTTATCTTTGTATATTATGTATGCATTTACAAATAAAAAATATTTATGAATTTGAGCGTGGGATTAGATGGCGCTGTGTGAATTGTCACAGAAAAAAATATTTTAATATAATTTCAGGGCTTTTGACGTAGAGCTGTTGTACATAGCACAAAAGTTGAACATTCCAATCGCGGAGATTCCGGTGCGATGGACAGAAATCGACGGGTCGAAAGTGACTCCGGTTCTGTCGTGGATACAAATGGGCATTGATTTAGGCCTTATATGGTTAAAATACACAATTGGTGCGTGGAAGATAAAGAGTGATAAACATAGAGAGTGATGCGCTGGTATAAACCAGTACAATTAGTCATGCATCATAAAATTAAACTATTTATAATGTTATAACTTGCTTGATATAAGTACACATTAGGTATAAGTTATATCCATCATAGCATTTTTATTCAATAAAGAGATATAATTAGAAATTAAGATGATTACTGTTTTTTTTTATTAATACGATATGATTCTTCAATGTAGACTATACAATGTCGCCGAGTGTATTCCACCACGCCTCTATTCCACCTATTACTGCTGCTACACATTTGGCCTTATCAGCTGTGTTTCAGCTTGAAGAGTGATATACCAAGGAAATTACAAAGTACAGAGTCATTAGAACTATTTAATCCTCAGAATGCCAATGCAGTAGAGGTACCATAGGCACCAGATGATCACATGTTCTTGTCTATGGCTGCCACTTTTCATTAGGTGGCCCATCACTTTCCTACCTATTCTATTCGTTTATTATATTCGTATTAATTATAATATATATATATATTATAAGTAAAATTTTAAACTTCTCCGACGAATATAGATAAAATATACCAATTTAACCAGAATGATACCTTCCACAAAGTCACCCGAATGGGTGTTTCTTACACACTGAACCATATACCACTTGTGTTCCGATTTAAAGGGTAATGTCAATTAACTACAGGGAACGGTAAGGTAACCGTTCCCTGTAGTTAATTGATATTACCCGTTAATTCTTTAGAATGACAACGCATGAAGCACTCCTCATTCGTAATTGATTTTGGGACGTGAATAGTACTATTAAAAATTATCACTTTTGATATCTATCACAACCTGTTAATGGAATACCAAAAATTAAATAAAAGTTGCTTTAATATAATAATATATATATTATGTATAAAAAGAGATTACAATAAATCAGTACACAGTGATAGATTAATTACTGTATCGAATATTTTTAAATAATAATTGCATATACATCAAATGTTGAAATGCTTGTTGCATATAATTTAATAAATTAAATTTTAATGAATCAAAAATCAAATTACAAAATTTAATATTTTCAATCATAAAACAATTGTAAAATATACTTAAAATTAAATTACTTTTAGTTATATTATTATTCACAAAATATGGAACAGTAATATTATTCACATAAAATAAAAACTATTCCGACTTCACTTTGTTAAAATGTAAAGCCCAACAAAAATTATGAGACTATATTACGGGTACATTTAAACTTGTTCGTTCGTTTGTTTGTTACAACACTGCCATTTTTATTTGTACCTACCCCGGCCTTTAATATTGTCTGAACATGAGCAGAAGACGCATTCAAGACTTATCTCGTGTAATTTTGGTTAGGCTTTACAATGTACAGAAACATGTATAACGAAGTTTTATTATTGAGCACTTGTATGGGTACATTAGAATGTGTATAACTATATAAGTAAGAAAATTTGGCAAAATGAGCCGACTTGTGAGCTATTTAACTACAATGTAATAGAAATATGAAGATAATATAAACAGCAAATATAGCAATATATAACAAATATACATATATTTATTTTGGCTCTTTCTATAAAAAATATAAGACAAACTGAGTCCGGCTCGCAGGACTCTTAATTTGTGCACAGTGCAGTGATTATAATAGTTATAGTTTTGTACATGCCAACAGTAAAACGGTTAGACCGGTATAACAATTTTAAATACATCCATAACGTTCGTTTTATTATAAGCACTTGAAATTAAATTTTATATTCATTGGGTAAAACTGTAATTTTAAAATACTCTCCGAGTCTTTTTTTTGTTATACAGTGGTTTTAGCTACATGTTTGTAATATCGTAATAAACTTGTGACAATGATTAATAATCATAAATAATGCCATGGTTACTTTATTTATATGAATAACTACCATATGTAACCGAAATACAATGTCATCTAGTTTTTGTATTTACATAAGTCAAAGCTACAACAAAAAATACTTGGTCCCTATGAAATGTAAACTCTGATTAATAGAACAGGAAGACAATTACGTGCTCTATTCTCTAGCGCATGCTATAAAGATCATATAGGAATACAACAATTTTACATGCTTTAAAAATCATCCATAAGGACAGTTGAACGGTTTACGTTTGGAAAAATATGTCGTTTTTTCGTATAAAGTATTTTGCTAAATTTATTTAATGTTTGCTTAATATATCTGTACTAACGTTTTCTTAAATAAAACTGTTACCATTACTCCCTTTCATTCCAACTACCTCATATTTTATATGCAGCATTACCTACACACCAAATAAATGTATATACAATAAAACCTGCAAACCAAACAATAATAAAACTTAACAGGTACTATTTTGAGATTACTTTTTTCGCGCTTATTTGTATTTCAAAATCCAGGGCACTTAGCATATTTGATATATAAAATTCTTCATAACAAATCGAATTATACAATAATAGAAAATGTTGGCAGTTGGCACTCAAGTTCTCTTTGTTATGTTCTGACTGATGAAAGAGTCGAAACAATTCGAACACCAGTATTGGCATTTATGAAATTGTTTCTTTTATTCGCGGCATCATCGTCGTGAGAGGGACATAATAATTTGACCGGAATAAAAATTAAGTTATTGTCTGTTCCGCACATAATTTGGAATTTCAATATATATATATACCCCTGGTGAAATTATCACGATGCTCACCTTGTCATCCTCCACTGCAACCCCGCCAACGTAAACCGTTAGCGGAGGATGATGCATTGCATTTCATTAATGAAATAAAAAGAAAAGTAAACAACCAGCCTTGAAGTTACTTGAAAAAATATCATTGTGATAATTTAAGCATGAAATACATTATGTAAAGACTCGGCGCCAGTACTAACATATGTTGTTCATTGCAAATACAATTACGAGTTCTAATGCTAATATTATTACACATAAAACTATTCTGAGTCAATGCTGAACTCTCCCGTCAATAAACACATGCAAATGAACTGTATGCACGTATTTGCATAACTTCGAATGGTTCGAGTTCTGGTGGTTGGTGGGAAGAGATACTAAATTAATCTAAGTATACGAATATCTAATTAAAATGCAACTAACTATCCAAGCAGGATAAAGGAATCGACAATTGTTAGTAGGGGACATATTTCAGTATCAACATAGAAATTTTCTTAAATATATATTCCAAACGAAAAATAATTCTTCTAACATTGGAAATCTTTCTTAATATAAAAAATATGTTACATTAACGCTTTTGTATCATTCGTGTATTTATTAATAAAATTTATACTTCAGTTCCTAAAATTACGACAACTTTTTATGTTATTATATAGGATTGCGTGTACATTTTAGAGAAATAGTAACGCAAATTGTTTTTACAAATATATTCCTTAGTCATATGGTAGTAATACGGTATTACCACAGATAAGATAATACGCATTACTAATACCTCATACTGGAACTTATATACCTACTCTTAAAAATTGATACTGTAATATTCCCTTAATAGATTATTATTACATACTTCTATTACCAGCCCTCTGTGAAGAATTCTGACCATGGTAACTGCGGGTTTACGGCCAACACTACATGGAAGAGAAATTATCCAGTTAGTGGGCCGCATTAGTCAAAACGAAGCAGCTAAATGCGAATATAAATAGAAGTATTAGTATTTTATCATAAAAATATATTCTTGTGCAATTAAAACTTATTGTATATTAAGTACTTATATAAAAAAATTATTCAAATTACTTATATGCTGGACGTTACTGCGTTTAGGCATTCCTTGAGATAAGTTGTTGCTGTCATATATTATTTAAATCTTACTTGATTTATTTTAATAAAATAGTGTATTTTAGGATTTAGTTTTGTTACATTGGACATACTTTTAAACTATGAGTCATGAATTGTGTTGGTGGAGTTCACAAATTAAATGTCTCTATTACATAGATAATAGGATTTGTTCATGACTTCAGTGCTGGCCGTAATTATTTTATATAACTAATTTCGAATTGAAATATGCACCACAAGAATTGATAAATAAAACCTTGACACAAAAATATAATAGTTATATTATTTCTTATATTTCTATAATATACTTTTTTTCCATACAAACTAATATTTTTATATATGTTTAAAGACTCAACTCGCCACGTCTTTGTATACAACCATAACCAAATAAAATAAATAGATCAACAAGTAATACTTATCGTTACTTATATTTGAGAATATATAACATTAAGTATGTACTTATATGTTAGAAATAAAATTATATAACTTCTGATACAATTATAGGTATATTATGTGTAATTTATTCTAAATTTATATTACCACTCTAATAGCCCTGTTTACATTTCTTGTACAGAGGTTTATGGTAGCCATACATAGGTATACAGCGTTAATTTGTCGTGATGAAACCTCAAAATTAGTTTGTTTAGTACGATAGTATGTTGTTTTTTAACTATTATAGCAGCATACAGCCTCGATGGACGAAAATGGGTCAGTACAGAGGGCACTCTAAACCTGTGGAAAGACTTGAGTGGAGTGCTTGAAGGTCAACTCTTGCCTAATATGAGGTTTCAAATTTTTACTCAGGCCAATGTAATTTCAAATGATCTCCTCATTTGAAATAACCATCAGTTTATTATGTTTTATACCGGTAAAAATAATCTCTTTGTGATATAGTAAATGTAACAAAAATATTTAATAGTTACACTTAACGATATTCTTACTACGTACTTTGAATACGAATTACAATAATGAAATTTTTAGGTTACTTTTATATCTGTATAGATCCAAGTTATTCAAGTGGTTGTACATAAAATATTCTACTATTATAAAACATCAATATATAAACAAAACAAATCACACTCTTAACAAAAACAGCAATAACCAAAAAAAAATTACAACATTAACTTGTAGTTTGACGTCATAGTTGACTTGCCAATTTTTTTAGGTAATTCATTTCATTATTAAGCATATGAAATGGTAACATTTATTAATATACATCTATACTCGTTAATATTCTTAAGTATGCTATCAAAAAGAGCTGTAGTTACAATTATACCTTCAATCCAAAGACCATTTTGAGGAATTGTTCATAATGTATTGTAATAACTCCATCTTGGTCTGTGTCAAATTGGCGGAATGCCGAAGTTAATGTCTGAAAATATAGAAATAAAACATTATATACTTAATTTTATATTTTTATTATATACATAAGGTTAATTATCAACATGTAATATGTATAATAATATCATGATAAGCCAAAAGCGGTCTGTTTATTCCTGCATGTAAAAAGGTTTGAAGGAATTCAGAATTTTCTCACAATATGTTGTTAAATAAAAGTCAATAAATAGGCTAAAAAACTTTGTAAATATACCTAAAATCATTCAGTTCAAGATCATTTTCAAATAACACCTACAAATTTATTCAATGATTATTTAAATTATTAACCCGGTTTTAACATGAATAATTTTAGGACAAATAAAGGTATTTACCTATCTCAACATTTTAATTTATTCAATACTGAGGGGCAATGCAAATGTACATGCTTAGAAATAAGAAAATATATAATGGCTAATATTACCAATCTTACCTTCCTTGGGTAAGTACAGTACAGGACAGCTAGAAACAAAAACCTTATACCAATACTGTCATTAACATTCGGTATAATGACAGTATGATAATGTTCTCATTAAGAAAATTGTGCCCAACAGTGGGATATACAGTGATCATAGTATGATAAATAATACTTACATATAAAGTAACACAGCATTGGATAAAATCATCAAACAGTATTGTTCCACGGCCGAATCTATCAAATTTCTGCACCATAATGCCAACCACATCATCTGATAATCTATATCCAAAAGCAGTCAGAGCATTCTTCAATTCCTGCTTATCAATGTTTCCAGAATTGTCACTATCAAAGGATCTGAAGCAGTTTTGCCATTCAGTGACATATTTCCAGAGGGCACCAAAATCTTCGAAAGATATTACACCTCTGCTTTGTTTGTCAAACATACCTGCAATAGAAAATTAAATATTTGTAGCCAAAAAATTTTCAAGAAACTCAAATTATGTAAAGAATCCTACATGGAATCCAATTAGGATTCATCATTGTTTTGATTATCACTTAATTTTATCTTAGTTTTTTAATTAGATGTTTGTGCTTCATTTCAATTATTTGCAAAAATGTTGAAAATAATTAATAATGATAAAACTTCTATTTGTGAAATATATATGTTGTGTATTTTCTAAATTTATACAATCATTCAATGATATCTTGTTTGGGTTATAAATGTAATCAAAATAGACATACTGTGACATACCTATCATAAGCCTTACAGTTTCTGGATTAAATGGATTCCATGTGCCATTTGACAAAGCTTGTTGTAGTTCATCAGCTGAGATATATCCACTGCGGTCTTTGTCGACTCTATAAGAAAAAAGTAATTGTGTTGGTTGTACAAATTTTAATTTACTTACTATAATATTCACATTACATTACATTACACATTAAAACAGGAAATATTAATTAATTTAAGTTATAATTGGTTTTTTGTACCAATTATTACTTAAATTAATTAATATTTCCTGTTTTAATAATTTTTTTTGTTAAAATAAATTCTATCATCTCTAACTATTTTTAAATTCTCATTATACTATGTTTGAACTGCAAATTGGATAAAAATATACCGTCTGAAAATATCCCACAGGAACTCCCTACTGGGCATAGCTGACTGGAAAGCCATTGTGTCTGAAAAAAATAATGATTATTAAGAAACAATTTAATGCTCTGCATTTGAAATTTTATTTTTAGCAATACATAAAAAATGAACAAGCACCTGTATACATTAAAACAAATTGCCTAAATATTGTAGACTATGTATATTTAAATATTGTGTGATGCTCAACTTTGGCACATAAATATTGTAATAATTAAGCCTTTCGTATACCAATTATTTTCTAAATTCTCATAAAATCAATAAATCTATTTTTTATGTAATTTTACATCATGTTATGACTCATAATCCGACACTGGGTCATAAATTTCATAAAACTAACACATAATAAACTTATATTCATTAAATAGCCAATTTAATAATTATATCAAACTTCAAAAAGAATGCACACAAGAGCAATGTAGTTCATTGTATCTATATTGTATATCTGTAACAATGTTAACTAATTAAAACATAAAAATTAGCTTACGAATATCTTGTTGAAATTGGGTCTTCGATGTCACGACCGTAATAAACAAAACACTTTAATAAAATTATAAAAATATTATAATATTGCAAGATATACAAGTGGAGTAAAAGGCTTTATTGTAATATTCAAATCGTTTTATACTTATAATTAGAAAATTTACAACATATTATTCACAATTAAGATCGTCACGTCAGTCGTATACAGTTGTAGGGATGGAAACAGACTCAATTCACACGCGTTAAATATCGATTACAAACTACTGACATTATATCGATATTTCGAAAACAAGAGATATAATGATGATGTGGTTGGAACAACACTAAAATGAAATACAAAATTATAAAATGCATCGAATGATTCCAAATGGACAATATGGTTTCATATTTTTCCATGTAAGATGAAAACAAACGTCCGATTAATTGAAAAATAAACACAATACATCTCTAATATAACTCGGGTATGTGAAATGGTGAATTAATGTCACGTCAAAGAAAGCACAGTTCATGTACACGAGACAGAGAGTATGTATAACGTCATAATTTATACGTTTTCCATTTAACTTTAACTTTTTTCTTTATTGTAATTTTAGGTATATGAAATTATCTTCTTCATAAATAGGTATGCTCTAGTAAAATTTTATTCAGAATACTAATATTTATGTGATCTACAATAAATTCAATGTTGTTGTTTTTTTCGATGTTGCCAGTTGCTAATTCATCTACATCAGCTCTCCTTTGCTTTGCTTATAATTTGCTTTGATACCAAAATGGCGGATGTCTCAAGTAATGACCGAAAAATAAAGCTGAATAAAAACGGTAAAGTTGTAAAGAGGCGTACACGAAATCCAGAAGGTGGGTTTAAGATTTTACATTCATTGTAATTCTAAAAGACATTGCAAAGATTATCTTCTGTTGGCAACTTGAACCAAATGTTAGATCTTTATTATGTTGTTCCACTTTTGACTCTTACTACTTTTTAATACGAAAGACAAAAGATTTGAAATAGTTTTCCCTGGTTTTTTCGTAGTATTCATATTAAATATCAAATGTTCCGTGCGCATTTCTGTGAACTTCTTATCGTTTCATAACGTAATATATGTTTAAATTTATGTATTATAGAATAGATATATACGTAGAATTGTAACTAATATTAACATATTTCTTTTTTCTTTAATGTTAATTTATAAATCTTTATTTTAATAGAATGGCACAAACAGAAACAGAAACGTTTAAGAATAGCTGGATTGGAGTACATAAATGCAAATGGTAAAGTGGTGCCTCCCAAGCAACCGGGCCCTGACTGCAATTGTCGGCGTCTGTGTTTCCAAAAAGTTCCAGCAGATATTCGATTAAAAACTTTTCAAGGTTTCTACTCTATGAAAACTCACGATGAACAAAATGCCTACTTATTTGGACTTATGAGACAAGTTGATGTAAAAAGAAAAAGAGTGAAATCAAGCAGTAGAAGAACATGCACATTTGAATATTTCGTAAGGGTTAAAGGGCGCGAAACTCAAGTATGTCAAACAGCTTTCAAAAATATTCATGCAATAACTGAAAGAAAAGTCCGTGTTCTATGTAAAAAGATGGATGATGGAGTGATGTTTCCCAGTGATAACAGAGGTAAAAACAGTCATAGGCGTTCAGGGGAAGTGCGCTTGCCAACAGGTGTTGTTGAGCAAATAAAAAATCATGTTTATTCAATAGTCCATACCCACAGATTGAAAGATTTTATTCGCTTGGACAAAATAGCAGGCTTGGAAATTAATATCTCAAAAATGTGGAAAGATTATATAAAAACTTATGACCCTGACAACATATCAGCTACAATGCCTAAATCTAAGCGTAATATGGAAATATCTATAGCTAGTGAGCAAGTTCAGCAGCAGCCACCACCTCAAGAACCTGCATTTGGAACCCTCTCTTATCCAGGTAGTGGGCATTTGGTAAATATTGCAGAGAACTATTTCCAAAATCAGTACCAAACAGCAACACTTGCCACTTCAACACCAACAAATTTCTATCAAACTCAAAATGGAGGTCAGAGTATGGGAATATTACTGCAGTCTACTGCAGGTAGGCCTACACAAGCACCCACAACATATATTGTACTGCAAGCTAAGCCTGAGCCATCTCAGAATGCTACCCTTGCTATAGACAATACTTCATATCAAAACTCTCAAACTACTGAAGTTGTAGCAGAGCACGAAATTAAAATGGAAAAGAAAATTAAAAAAGAAAGAAAAAGAGGTCCTTTGGTAAAACAATGGAGATATACTAACATATTCCATGAAGAGATAAATGGAGCTGCATTGGCTGCCATAAAAACTAGACTTGGTATGTACTATGCAGAGAGTGATGCTGCTAGAAAAAAGGCCAAACAGGCTAGACCAAGTGAAGTTGTTCAGTCTCAGACTCAAACTGAGCAAATAAGACCCACACACACTGTAACAATATATACATAAAGTAGTATCTTTACCTACAACTGACTGATTGCATATTTACTCGTCCAAGGCTAATAGGCTAGTTTTTAATAGGAAAATCTTTATTTAATCATCCCTCGTCAATAAAGAATTAGAATTATAATAGAGGAGTCTAAAGGAAAGGTATCAAATGTATAGGATCATATAGGACAATTTGGAGCCCTGAGTACTAATAGAAATAAAAATTGATCTCTCTAAATTATTCCTAAGCTTAATAAGTGAATCTAGCTTTGATCAGTTAATCCAAAATAAATGTTTGATAATGTAAAATCCATTATCGCTTTGTCTACTCAGGGAGTTACGCAATTTAGTAGCTACTTATAAGTTTCAAATTTGTCTGTATATTGTCAACATAACAAATAGTGTAATAATATCAATTCATTAATTGCAATGCAGTGGCAAAAGTAGTAAGTTATTTATTAATTTAAAATAAGTACATTTAGATCTTGAATGACTTTTTTTAGTTCATTATTGTAGTGAGATACAATTAATATTATTGCAATTAACTATTATAATTATGAATTTAAAATTATATTTTTACTGTGAAAGTTTTCAGTAGTTTTGTTTAGTCCTCCTGAAGAATTTTCCCTTATCCTTTCCATTAATATAAACCAGGGTATTGATAACTAGTAGGCGAGATTTTTAACAATAATTATTTTGGGTTCTGTTACATTAATGGTTTTCTTATCTTCCATGTACAGGCAGCGATCATATATGTACATTACATTACATATGGTAGGGTATGGTGGTTAAGATGTATCTAATTATTGAAACAGGTTCTTCCGTAAATTATGTCTCAAATTCCATACTTCTTGATTCATTGTCCTTGGCACAACTGGTGACATTTGAGACTTCTCCATATCCTCTCTATGTGACATCACATATATTGTACAAAACAATCTAAACTGAAAGTTTTCATTAATAATTCAAATTTTGTTTTATATAAAAGAAAGAAATCTAATCTAGAAGATTAGATTTTTTTTCTATTATATTGCACCTTTAAAGAAATACAAAAAAACAATATCTATATAATTAGACACTCTAGTGTGTAAGCACAAAAGGCAGTCTCATCGCTTTAGCGAATGACAAGATATATTAGTTTTTGAAATTATGTCACAAAATTTTGGAGGACAAGCTGAAGAAGCTTGTCAAACTGGAGTGGGTCAACAGTGCTATATAAAACAAGGTACTCTATGTGTAGTTTCTTATAGATGTCTCTATGGTGACAGTTCAATATGTTCAACAAAATATTTTTAGGAAAAATAAGACATAGATAATCTCTTTTTAGAGACAAGCTCGTACTGTACAAGGACGTTACATTTATTGTATGACTGTTTTTTTTTTCCTATGTGTGTGTACAATAAAGAATTAATTAACAACTCCAGAAGGTTCCTATTGCAGAGATAAATATTAAAATCATTAATTTCCTGGAATCAAATAAAATTAGGGTTTTACTCTTCCCATTTTCTGTGGTCCATTAATCATATTTAAAAGTCCATCCAATTTTACTTTCATTATAAATAAAAGATATTACTGTTTTTATACCTTTATTGTTACACTTAAATTAAGCAGACAGTACACACACTCCACCCACATCCTTGATTTTCTTCTCGGCAGATTTTGAGAAGAATTTTGCTTTGACAATAACAGGCTGTTTCGGGAGTTTACCTTTGCCTAGTAATTTGTAGTAACCCTGGAACATACAATATACGATGTTCAGAACAAAATTATACTTAGGAATGGTAGTAATCTAAGAATGAAAATTTTGTTGCATAATTAGAAAAAAGCAAACCTTATTCATAATTAGACATACACATGACTCAATGTTACCTATCAATACTAATATTAAGTCTGCAAATGTGTCTGTGTTAATTACCTTATCAAAACAAAACAGTTTAATAGAATTCAATATGACAATAGGTTGTAACAAGTATAGACCTGTGCTATTTTTTATCTTTTTTTATCTCAAATAATGTTTTAGAATGGGCTGAAATAGAGAATATTAATTTGCATAGCCCAAGTGGTAGTCAACAGATAGGGGGATTATTTAATAATTATTTCATAATATATTGACAACAATGACATGCTTACATTATAAATCAGTATGAACCCAAACAACTGACATAATGAGTAGTAATAATTAGAAATTGAAATAACCATTATTCCAAGCTGGTTCTATGTATTTAGTAGTATATATATTGCTGTTCATGCAATGCAATAGTTTCCTTTTACCATCAGGGGGACATCAGGTAGTTTACCATACCAAATACATAGTTGTACAACATTACATTTTTAAGATTTTATCTGACTACCAAATAGTACTTATTCATGAGGCATTAAAAGAGAGGACTTACAGCTTTGACAATGTTGATGACTGGTACTTTGTTGTCTGTGGAATTGGCATATTTCAAACGAGTTTGCTCTGATACTAACGTCCACAGTTTGTCCAAATTAAGAACTGGGCAGAAATCCTTGTTCTTCCGGGCATGATAATTTCTCATCCCGAGCTAAAAAATAAAATAAATACAATGAATATTCACAATATAATGAATATAATACACTCAACAGTCAATATATTAATCATAACAGATGAACAAACTAAATTGTGGACTAAAAAGATAAAACAATTATTAATTTGTGTTACTAACTTTACAGTGTAAAAATTTAAAACACTGCTGAGAATTATTATATCAATTGTATTATGTTTAAAGACATTGTAGGTTATTGCAAAATCCTTTTTATGATTTGTTTTGTTTCACTAATAAAGACCCACACTATCCATGAGTGTAGCATAATGTCGATCAATGCCAATATAAATACAAATACAACTCACTTTTCCAAAGTATCCAGGGTGGTACTTATCCATATTGATTCTGTGGTGATGTTCACCTCCAGCATTACCGCGACCTCCAGGGTGCTTTCTGTGCTTGCCTGGAATGTTAAAAACTTACTTTAGTAAATAATTCCTGAGGAACAAAATAAAATCTAATTAGACTTCCAACTATAAACTATTGATGAAACAATAACTCAATACAAACTATTTTTAATGTACATGAATTAGTACACATAGTTACAATTTTTGGCATCTAGAGGTTATGTATATGATTGTTTTTTGTTTCTAAATTATTGACGTAATTTTATACAATGACTATTATGGATTTAAGAACATACCGATACGTCCATGACCGTGGCTCACGTGTCCTCTCAACTTCCTAGTCTTCTTTTTGGAGGTGGCCTGCGTAGAACATTAACAAAATGTAAGTTGCAGTAATCGGTTTTTTAGTAGCTTCAATTTAAAAATAATGAGCGAAATATCTAAAGAAATATATAAGAAAAATAAAATAGAACAACATTAATACATATATAATAAGATGTTTGTAATTATTACAGATAAATATTAAAAATATTCACGAACCATATTTGTGTCACGACAAGTTTTCTATGAAGAATGAAAAAAAAAAAAATCCGTCAAGTGGTTTTTTTTGTTCTGTTTATCCTTTAAAAGGAAGGCAAAAGGGCCTCCGCGTATACAGCCATGTCTACATGTTGTAGACAAATGTGTATTACAAACTGACAGCTACATATGTCAATGTCAATTTATAAACTGTCAAATTTGTGTATTGCCATGTAATACATTTATGTACAATTAATAGTAGAAAGTAATAAAATTAGGTGTGGTGGATAATATTGTATGTATTATGTTTATATGTTGGTTCTTTATGTGCAGAAAGCTATTGCATCTACTCTATAATTATATAGAATAAATCGATGCAAAAAAGGAGTAAAATAATATCGTATATTTTTCTTATGTCACAAAATTAACAAGTCAAATTTGTGTACATTTTTTTAAAGTAAAATAAGTAGCTTTTAAGTGGCCAGCAATACATTATGAAGTCCACAACATTAAGATTCCAAACACTGTAGTCCGTCTTAAATGTACTCCCTGGGATGGTGTAGGTTGTAACCTCGGTCTGAACTCTGTTTATCCCAATTTTTGTCAGAGGCTACAGATCCTTGGGTCTGCGCATTATTTTTTTTTATTGGCAGGTCTTCTTTCTTCTGTTTGAAACGTAACCTAACTTATGTATGTATCGTGGTATTCGTAGTTCCCAAATGCGTCAGCAAGCGGAAATTTATCAGATTTTACTTTCTACTGCATTACTTTCTGTAATTCTAGTGCTATAAAATATCTAACAACATTTACTTTCAAGATGGGAAATAATAAAAAATAATGTAACATCTCCCGATTGAAGGGTAAAATTGTAGGTAAACAAGTGGTGATAGTGATAGTGCACAAAATTATATACTATTACAATTACAATCAAGAAACTAATTTTAAATAATTTAAAATTAGTTATTTCAAGTATAAGTATATTTTTATAAACAGTGACACGAATTAATGCTATACTAGTAATTTTATTTTTACTTATATTATACATTTAAAATTGACACAATATTAATAATAAAAATAATTCTAAGAAATATACATTTTTATGTATATATCTACGGCAGGGTGATTTAATTTTTTGAAATAAAAAATATATACGTTAACTGTATTAAGTCGACAAATCCTTACGATGACTGTAACATTGTCGATATAAAGTTACAACTCTATTTAGTACCTTTCCAGAAAATGGTGGGATTGTGTGTTGAACTTAATTCTGACACGTATTTTCGTGAAAATCGTAAATAGTTTTTATAATTTAAATGATGTTTACAATTGAATAATACTGTTTAAATAGTAGTCTCTCGGGTGGCTAAAAATGGAATTTCGGGAGACATTATTAGCTGCTCAACGAAATCAACAACAAAAGTCATCTGTAAGTTTTAGTTTTCATACGAAATTTCCATTATTTATGCTCTAATTTCCAGTTAATATGGCAGTTATCTTTGTTTATGATTACATTAAGACTAACTATTAAATTTATCCAACAATATTTTTTAAATTTGAAAAAGAGTAAAAAATTACTTCAATATTAGTCCTAATCTGAATTTCTTTGACACTTTGTAGGGAAATCTATATTATAAAGCACGATTTGATCCTCCAAAAAAAGAGCAAAAACAAAGAGATAGGTTGTCAGCTAATATACAGAAGTTCTTAGCAAAGAAAGATGAAGAAGAAAGACAAAAAAAATTGGATGCTGAAAGGAAAAGGCAAGAGTTGCTGGCTATGCGTGACCCCAAAGCTCTGCGAAAAATCCAAAAGACTTTGAAAGTTATAAAGTCAGCCAACAAATCGGTAATTGAAGATGCAGTGGACCGAGACAACACAGCTATAACACGGGATGGTCCGGATCAGCCTGATCAAGACGACTATGGCTATGAATCTCAGGAAGCGGCTGCACTTTATCAGAAGATGATGCAGAAGTATAGTAAAATACCTGAGGAGCCAAAATTTCCTGTCTCAAGTTAGTAACTTTTGTTATTACTTAATTTTATATGATGTAGTTCTAGTAATTTAGTACAGTGACCTCCAATGGTTGCGGCTTTGATTCTAGTATTATACAATCATTTGTATTCTTGAGTGATGGGTTTGATTAGCAGATGTTTTTATTTAAATGCATATATATTTATACCACAATGGTGGCAATCAATATCAATAAAAAAAAACTATTTATATGTGTGAAAAACACATCATAGACTTTCACACCTTGCCATTAAAAATTTTCACAAGTATAATTTTTTAATATCATTATACAATATTCCATTACTGTTTCTATGATGTTTACAAACATTTTATTATGTCAATATGCAGGCTTGTAATAAAATGAAGAATAATTATTGTTTGTACACTGGTTAAAAAAAATCATGTTAAATATTGTGTTAAATTGTATACAAGTTTAAAAAAACTTTAACACCCCATTTAATGTTGAAAATATTATGTGAAGGAAGTATTACTGTAAATTCAGTACACTTTTATTCCATGAACAGTATATTGTACCTACTGTTCAAGTAGGTACAATATACTGTTCCACCACCACACTATAATTAATTTATATCTATTATCAGATATGTCTCTCCACTCTACTATATGTAGGGTAAAACTTCTTATAATGAAAAGATATTATTGTATATATATTGTTTTATACAGATTCCACAGTAAAGAAGGATTTAAATGGCACTAGAGAAAGGGTGAAGCATGCATTGCAACATGAAGATGAGCCAGTTCCTCACAAACGAAGGCGAAAAGGGGATGGGGGTAAGCCAACCAAAACTTTACAAAATCTCAATTCTATTTCTTTCATGGTAATTTTGTTTTATTTCAAGCAATAGAATAATTATTTATAATGGCATCGGCACACTGCTTTACTCACTACACTGCTTTACTTCCGATGGTCGCGAGTTCGAATTATGGGACTGTACATACATTCGTATTCATAAGTATGATTGTTTGTATTGGTGTTTTCAGTGTATATTATCTATTTGTAAAAAAATATCTAAGTACATGTATCAATTGCCTAGTAGCCACCCATAACATAAATTTTGCTTAGTTTGGTTTTGTCTAGATGGCACTCTGTGAATTGTGCAGGGATATTATTATTATTATATATTTACAGAACGAGATACAAGTCCTTCTTCAAAATATGAGCCAGAAAAAAAGAAAGAAGATCAAAAACCTGAGAAACCGAAAATACGGAAAGTAGCACCCCCACCTATGGACTTTAATCAATTGCTCAAGCTTGCTGAACAGAAAAAATGTGTACCTGTAGATGTAGCAGGAAAGAAGCAAACAACAGAACAGGAAGCAGATAGGTTGATGACCAAAAAGCAGAAAAAAGAGTATGAAGAGGAATTAGCGCGACGGCAACGAAGGCAAGAACGATTAGAAGCTGAAAAAGCTGCTTCAAGGAAAGGTAATACTAGGAATCGATTCTGATATCTCTGGTGCTATTATATATATTATGTGTTTTAGTTTCTTTTTTAAGTTAAAATCAATTGAGCCAGTTTAACGAAACACTAGGAATGCGTTTTTGTGTCGACTCTCGGCGTTTTTTGTGACTTGTCGAAGGCGTTTGATTGCGTAGATCATGAAACACTTTTGTACAAGCTCAAACACTATGGTATTAGAGATAATGACCTAAGTCTAATGAAAACTTATCTAGAGGATAGGGTGCAAACTGTAGATATTGATGGTGTAAAGTCTAAAGGAACTAATATAAAAATGGGCGTTCCTCAAGGTTCAATATTAGGCCCATTTCTCTTTTTAATTTATATAAATGACCTTCCCTACATGGTAGAGAAAGTTGCAGACATAGTGTTATTTGCGGATGATACTTCGTTAGTGTTTAAAATTGGTCGCCAATGTAATCAATTAGACGATGTAAATTATGCTATCTCTGCTATACTAAATTGGTTCACATGTAATAATCTATTATTGAACTCCAACAAAACTAAGTGCATTAAATTCACGCTGCCTAATGTAAAACAAGTAAATACGCAGCTATTGCTTAATGATGAAATAGTAAATTTTGTTAATGATACCGTTTTTTTAGGAATAACAGTGGACTCGAAGTTACAATGGGGGCCCCATATTTCAAAATTAGCCAGTAGACTTAGTTCTGCTGCTTATGCAATTAGAAGGATAAGGCAATTAACAGACGTGGCGACGGCAAAACTTGTATATTTTAGTTATTTCCATAGCATTATGTCATATGGCATACTGCTATGGGGTAAAGCTGCCGATATAAATACTATATTTATTTTACAAAAGAGAGCCATACGTTCTATTTATGGTATGGGTTCTAGAGAGTCATTACGTCAATGCTTTAAACAATCAAATATCCTCACCGTTGCCTCACAGTACATTTATGAAAATATTATGTATACAAGGAAAAACTTAGATAGTTTCAAGAAACTTAAAGACTGTACAAGTAGAAACTTACGCAATAAAAATAAGCTAATTTTACCGAAATGCCGTCTACACAAAGTTAGTAATTCATTTTATGGTAATTGCGTAAGATTCTATAATAAACTGCCAGAGTCTACGCTAAATCTTACAGAGAGGCAATTCAAATCTTATATTAAACAAATGTTATGTAAAAAAGCCTATTATAAGATAGATGAATTTATAGATGATAGCAATATATAGCAAGAATAAGTATATTTGCGGACAACATTATAATTTTAATTTTCATACTGCTTTCTTGATATATGATAGCGTAGCGGCTTTTGTATTGATTGCCGCATGCATCCTTATGTAAAGTGCGAATACTGTAACTACCATATAGTAATTTTTGTAGCTGTGACGTGGTCGTGTGGAATGAGTAGTCATGCTCACTAAAATGTCCAGACATGTGGCGGCGTGGTGGGCCGGGTCAATGGGCTCCCTAAAATATGGTCGAGCGCAGTGATGGCTGGCTCATCCGTCATACTCGTGAACGAGTGCTGCTTGTAGGGACTGGTCTGCTCTTATCACTACGACTGATTTAATCTTATTGCATGATTATATTTGACCCAAAAAATTAGTGCTTGTTGGTAGTTTGTATTCACACGTTTCGACTTGTAAATGTAAACTTACAAGGATTATTTAAAAGAGCAACACACAAGTTTCTTGCTCGTTCTTCTTGTGATGAGACAGCTTTCCGAACGAGTGGTAGATAAAAAACAAATTGTTATGACTATTCAAAAGTGCTTAAATTAAGTTTATTTGAATAAATGATTTTCTATTCTATTCTATTCTATTCTACTATAAATTGATTTTAGTTTTGACTGTAAAACCCAGTTTCGGACAGGGCTGTCTTTCACCTATTAGAGGCTCTGAGCATATTAGGATAATGGGGCTCCTATGACCATAGTAATAAAGTACTATTTTGTTAAAATAGACAGTCATTTTTGAACATGACTGTTTAGAGATGTATTTGGAGATGCCCTACCTTCAAAACAAATAAATTTAAAAATTTCGTTATGTGATGAGGGTTCAAGTTCTTGCTAGACATTTATAAAAAAAATTAACAGAAATTAACAAATTGACCATGGTTGCCAGATGATATATCTTTGATTGCTTGGACAAGATTTCTGTAAATGTAAAATAAATAAATTACTATGCAGATTTATTTATTATTAGTTCTGCTGTTTTTATTGTGTCTGTACAATAAAAACAGGAACTAATTAATAAACATGTTTGAGCAAAAAGCGTACAGTATCAATTTTGTAGAAAAATAAATGAAAATATTATATGAGATATTTGGCAAGACATTTATTTGATATATTAAGCTCTAAACTTAAGACATGATGAAATTACTCTGATAGTAAACACTATCGATTGTAAAAAGGTAATCAAAACGTTCAAAACTTGGTAATCATAAAAAATACATACATTTAAAATTATTTGAAAGAAAATTAAAACCGATTTTCGGTCAAGAGTGGCTATCGGTTATCGTTTGGTAATGAAGTAGAGACTAGACTAGGGGGCCACTATCCATCGCACCGCGATGCACCGTGGTCCCGTGGATACCTTGGGCTCGTGCCCAGTGGGGAAGAGGGGCCTGGTTCCAGATCCTATTGCTTGGTAGAAACAACTATAAACCATATAAAATTGTTGGACATTTAGATGCATTATGACCTGATACAAACTATTCAGATATTACTTAATTATAATTTGAGTTTCTATATTCTGAATTACATGTTATTTTTAACAAATCATTATTTTTCAGGACCAAGAGAAGAGAAGCCACCTGAAAGAAAACCTGAACCCAGTTTTGGACGCATTCCAAAACTGGGTGATAAAAGTAAAAAGGATAGCTTAAAGGTTGATAGGGAGAGACAAGAAGAAAGAGAAAGAGACAGAGTTGAAAAACTACAGAGAGAAAAGGATAGGATCAAAGTAGAAAAAGAGAAAATTGAAAGGGAACGATTAGACAGAGAGAGATTAGACAAGTTGAAAGCAGAAAGAGATAGGATAGATAGAGAAATGGATCGGCTTAACCGAGATCGGGATAGGCTGGATAAAACAAGATTAAAATTGGAAAATAATAAAACAATAGAAAAGACTAGTAAACCTGTAGAGAAAGCGATAGATCGATCAAAATTATTTTCTAAAGAACACGGCGGTAGAGAAGATGCAAAGAAAAATATTGATTTAAAAAGTCAAAACACATATAGGATAGACAAAAACACTAATGACAAAAAATCCATTATTCCAAACAAAAGTAATAATGGTAAATATTTGAATGGACATAGCTCACAAAGTAAACCAATGACAAAACTAAACAGGGAACAAATACAAGTAAGAAATGATGCTAGGGACAAAGCTATGGTGGCAAAACAGAAAACATTATATAGCGATGGATCTCTTAAACTAAATGGTAAGGTTGATAATGGCAAACGTCTTCCAGAAAGTAGTAAGGGAATGCCTCTTAAGAGACCGGATGATAGAAACATTCAAAATAGTAACAAATCTCAAGCTGGCAGCAGTAAACCCAAATTAACAAGTACATTTGATTTTGACAAACATGTCAATTCCCTTAAAAAGAATGGAAATATTGATGGTGGTCGTCAATTCCCACCAGGTGATGTCAGAAGAAAAATGGATGATATAAGAAGAAAACAAAAACGTAAGTATTTTCTGTTTAAATATCATGTACAGACAACGATGACACTAATGGAATTAATGGATTGCATGTTTTTACGACAAACGATGAAACTTACGGCAAAAATTTATAAGACTAATAAAAAAATGTGTTTCAGGAGAATATCATGAAATTTTATCCTTCTGGCAACTTATTATATTTTCCATATTGCAATAAATAAATAAATTACATATTTTTTAACTAATAAATTCTTTTTACACAAGAAATGCAACATTAAAATGTTTGCTACTGTTATCTCTCATATCAATAAAACTTCTATAGATATTATTTAAGAACTAGAATTTTAAAGTTGAGCAATCAACATTACGTGATATAATGTTGAATGCGAGATTTTAAAGTATTTAAATTTCAGCCAATGTGGTGGGTTTATAAATTTATATGTATGATATTATTTACTTTCAGTTCGTACGGTTCAATCAGACTCTGAATATGATTCTGAAATGGACGATTTCATAGATGATGGCGAGGAAAACATGGATTATTCAAGACATATTAAAGAGATATTTGGTTATGATAAATCAAAGTAAGTTTTCTTATATTAGTAGCAGTATATAATTTTTTTTTTGGCAGTTATGAAATGTGGCAAAATTTTAATGTAAAATATGTGTCATAACATAACTAAAAAAACACAAACAACAAAATTATAGCTAAATAATACTATTGTGTACAAATTGTATAATTGAATAAGAATTGTTCAATAATAACATCTTGTTAAAAATAATTAGAATTTCTTGTATTTGGTTTAAAGACCTGCATTATAATTTTTAGATATCGAGACATGGATGATGATGACGATCCAATGATGGAGTCAAGTTTTGCGAGACAGCAACGTGAGGAGTATATCAGTAAAAAAATCGGTATGTATATACCTCAAATTTATGTTACATACTTTATGTGAAGTCTTTGCTGATTACCTAGGTAGGAAGTTTGTCTAGATTATAGTATTTACCGAGTTATACTTTAATTGATAATTAATTAAATGATTCCAGGTATAATGGAAGATTTAGAAGACATGAAATTAGAAGCAATGGAGAAGAAGAAAAAAAAGAAGACAAGGCGGATAAGCGACGATTGATCAATATATATATTTTTTGTACTCCCTCAGGGTTAGTGCCTTCCCACTCGGCTCGTAGTGTACCCATAATTATATGGAATGTAAATGGTAAGAGATAATCACAATCTTCATCTAAACGCACTTTGTTTAACGTACTTTACGAGTCGTGTGCGAGGGCACTTATTAATTGCAAGTTGATCGCAAGATTGTATCTATAATGTATATACATGAAATATATTTATATGAACATATACAGTTGTGTCAGAATTGCTTATAGATTTCATATGCGATTTCAGTAAAGTGAGTAAAATGACTTTATACAATTTTGGTGTTATTTAGTTCACTAATTATAATTTTTGTTTTCAGTTATTATTAGTGTATTCATGACGAATTATTGCAATTAATAATTGTCTAGTATAACTATAAAGAGTAACCATTTCTTACATTTTCACTTAATAAGGGTTTAATATTTAGATTAGTCAAGATCAATTTATTAATAGACATATTTACAAATTTTGCTATCTACTTTTGCTATAAATGACAATTTATATATTCAACATAGTATAGTTGAATCATTAGTAACCATATAATGATAATTGTTAATTAGATGATACCAATGAAATTGTGTGACTTAAACAAAAATTCTATGTTATTTATGTCTATGATATTTTTTTTTTTGGATACGGTTTATCACTGTTAAAGAAACAAAGTAAGTTTATAATTTTAATTGTTTTCATTAAATTATGTAAATATAATATAATTTTATGTAAATTAGGTTTCTTTTTTGCTTCATTCTATTATTATTCTCGTTATATAAAAAATAACCGTATTTGGTATTATGGACTGTAATATTGTAGTATTTGATACCATTCTGATTAATAAGTACAAAAAAAATTGAACTCGTAAGAAATTTATATATTGGTACTATAGATGTAAGAAAACATAGGATTCGCAGTTGCGATTATTTATTGTATTGGTATTTTATCTATATTGCATAGTTTTGCCTCTTTAATAATACGAATTTTATATGTGCACATTAATTTGAATAAATATAATGAGTAATATTCAGTCCAAATTGTATTTATTATTTACGCTTATCAAAATTCATCTTTATATTTTCATTTTAGAATATGAAATGTCATACATTTTTGATAATTAAATTATTACAAAAAAATATTTTTAATTATAATTATCTCTGCTGTTTTTAGTATAAAATATACTAAGAACCAATGAAATTAAGCGATTCTGGAAAACATAAATATCAACATCCCTCGTAACAAAGAATATAATACTCAAGAGATGCTTTCTTTCTGGATGTCACCGACAGAATTTTTTATTTAACGTATCTAATTTTTAGTACCTACCCTTGATGACTTTTGATGAAAATATTTTTCTGACAGAATGAATTTTTGAGTCGTGGTAGGAAGAGATTTATACTATAAATGAATTTACAAATAAGTCTTTGTAAATATAATAATTTTTATATATATTTACTAATACCACCAATACATAGAAATTATCTAAAATTTTGAAACAGTTAAAATTTAATTATTATGCTCGCTCCTATAGCGACAGACAACATTATATATTATGCTATAGTAAGGCAAGCGGGAGGGGCGGGAAGGGGTAATGTTCTAGGAATAGGTCTAGTGTCCCCATTACTAGGAATGTACTATGTTAGGTCGACCTCCTTGCGGTTCCCTCTGCAAACCATCGTGGTTAATTACTAGTTATTTAATCACAAGGGGCAAATTGACCTGACCTCAAGTTCATCTTATCATCCTTAACTGGTGCTCCGCCAACGTAAACCGTTAGCGCAGGAGGATGCAACATTCCATTATCATACGTTTAAAAAAAAATTATAGCAAGCGCAAATAAGAACATTGCCGACAGTTGTCAAATACTGAAATCACATTGACATTATTTGACAAATATGAGATAAAACATTACATACGGTATTTTGTACCAAAACTACACTATATTGATACATCAATTCTACAATGATAATCAATATTGTTTGGCATTTTGGCAACTCTAATACCAATTCCAATAACTACTTGAAATAGTAAATAGTATAGTGATTTCGGCCATAATTTGCGAGGAATACAAAACGGCTATTTGGCAACACCACTGAGTTGAAGTTTTCTTTTTCTTTTAGTTTTGTCCGTGTTGTAATGCTGACGTTTTACTCGATTGATATTTCTATTTATATTTCGAGGTCTATTTTCGATACAACTTATTGAATTTTTATTATAAATACATATCATTATTAACTGTAGTATTGTTAATTATTACATAAGTGCACTGAAATTCAGTGTTACCGAAAAAATAGGTGAGTATTTATTTTAAAACAATGTACATAAATTGCTTACTTTACAATATTAGTTATTATTTATGAAATTTATAGCATAACATAAAGTGTAATAAATTATTAAATACTATTGATATGTATATAATTTTCCAAATACGTAATTCTTATTATTAGTTACAAATATACAATACAATTATTTTTTTGTGTTCTTACAGTAAATACAACACAATACAAACAAATTAATTCATTGTAACCGAGAATGCTTTTAATGTGATTCTAGATAAAATGAAGTTATTGTCGAGTATTAATGAAGTTCCTGTTTTAACAAAATCTAATGTTCACATAAAAAATGAAGAGGGTTTATTACAAAAATTAAACAGAATAATATCGCAAGGTCATGAAAAATTACAAATAGTGACCGATTTTGATCACACTTTAACAAGGCACATTAAAGATGATGGCACACCTGTTTTGACTAGTTTTGGTAAGTTTCAAATCACTGTAAACTAATTGAGTAATGAGGATTGTCATTAACACTAGTGTATGTAGATATTTCTTTATATGTATTTTATTTATCATTTTAGTAAAATTTCAATATATTATTTTATTAGCTTTTTATGTGTATTTTTCAACATATTTATCTCTTATTAATAGATTTTTTTATTTAAATGCTGTTGAATAATCACAATTCTAATTTTAGTTCAGTTTAATTGTGTATTCCCTTTAATGTAAAAAATTTTCACCAAAATGTAGTGGAAATCTATATCTGAAAAATGAAAAAGTGTCTGTTTGTTCAAAATTTCATAATTACTATGTAAGTTATTCTTTCTTTATTTCTAAGTATGGACGGTACTTACATCAGAAAAATTATTTAAAAATTTTTGTCATTTTGGTTGTTCTTGATAATCTCTGAAACAGTTGGACCGATTTACTGGATTTTCATTCCTAAGCTATTGTTATGATAAGTAACTTCTACAACCTATATTTCAGAAAATTAATTTATTTTAGTTACTTAAATTCCGTATTCCACAAATGAAGCCATGGGTAACAAACAGCTAAAAATAAATATTGAACATCCTTCTAAATAAATCAGGTGACCACACAATTTGTACGAAGATATAAAAAAAAGTGGTTTAATTATTTGTCTCATGAATACTTTCGATGGGTTTCACTTTGTGTACCTGCTACAACTAATCTTGTATATAATAAATTCTCCATAGGAATGCTCTCAGCTTGTCCATCAGTCCCCCAACACTACAAAGATGAGGATTTGAGACTGTCGGATATTTACAAACCTATTGAATCCAATGGATTTATAAGTGTTGAAGAGAAGACCAAACATATGGTTGATTGGTATGTGGCTGGCAATAGTCTATTGAAGTAAGTCTCTTTCTTATATTTATACTTTTTTGTGTTGTTAAAATGGATGGTCCTGATTTAATTAGTAATCTATTAGCAAATATTTGAAATGTTTCTGTCGACATCCAAGTGTAGACAGAAATATTTCAAGTCTTTAGATTACATAGATTAAAGTTGAGGGTAACGTCAGTCCATGTTATGACTCCGCGTCGAATGTATGCATTTCTAATAAGCTATGTAGCACATTATTATCTAATAAACTTACTATATACAATAAATAGTACAGTTATTTCACAATATATTCATTATGTAGTTACTATAATAAACTAATATATTATGTAGGGACATCTTATCTCATCATACACAACTGTACAGTGGTGAGGCGATAACTACCGCGCTACAGTTAGATATTTCATTATATCACATGGAGGGAAGTTAATAACTTTCTTGTAAGGAAATCACAATGATGAGTGGTAGAATATAAAAAAAGTCTGTTCAAAAGTGCTTATATTAAGTTTATTTGAATAAATATTATTTATATTTCTATTTTAGAACAACTAGATTATTAATTTAAGTTATGCTTTTATAACAATTGATTACATTAAGATATTTGAAATAGGTGTTCTATTTATATAGGTTTATTTTAATGAAACATTTTGGGTGTTGTGTTTTGTTTGTTAGAGCAATAATATTATAAATAACTAGGCTTTATTGCGTGTTTATTTTATGAATAATATTATTTGTAACATCCATTAAGAAAGAAATACATTAATAATATTTTAAAATGTTAATTTTCTTTTTTTTTTATTTATAGGGGTATGACTTTTCCAAGGAATGAATTAATACAAGTGGCTGAAGGACTAAAGGATTGTTTTAGGTGAGTAGTTCATACTAATATGAATTATGTTAATGTAAAAACATTAGTTTTCATCTGTACTGAAATTATAAAGAGGAAAACTTTGCTAAAGCAATATCTATAAGATATTGCTAATAAGATCTCAGACAATTGATATGTACGCTTATTTTTTTTTGTTTGTAAATATATACGTAATAAACATAGAAAACATTCAGACAGACACGAACAATCATACTCATGAATACAAATGTAATTTTGTACAGTGCGAGAAATGAACCCACAACAATCGGAAGTAAAATGGTGTACTAAGCCACTAGACCACCCAGGCCGTCATGAACTGAAGATTTTCTTAAATTTTAACTATCACAGTGCTACAATAATTATCATATTATATCGAGGTTGACCTTGTTCCTATAAAGTTTAATATAGTCTTTGCATGGGCATCACCGTTCTATCTATAACAGATGCCAAGCAGTTTGCGTTGTACGATGTATTTCAATAAGCTCTGACAGTGAAATTAATTTTAAGAGGCGTGACATCTTAGTTCTCTTTAATGGGTAACTCATGAGATATAATAGCCATTACTTGCTAACTTTATGTCCACAGTGGTTCATGTAAAGCGCCTAAAATGTTATACATGAATAAATTATTTTTTATTTTATTTTATATCTAGAGGACGGTTACCACTTACCGTCTAGGAACCTGTCAGATTAGCTATTAGCAATTAGTGGTTTAAATACATAAATAAAAAAAAAAATAGTTAACAGGTTAGCACTGAAATACATTACATACTTCCTTTATCAGTTGGGTAAAAGAGACAATTCTATTCTATCTATTTTATTCTTCCCTTTTGTGTGTACTGAAGTGATGTAAAAATGTAACTCGGTGCATTGTTTGCTTACAGGAGTGGGGTTGAATGTTTAATCGACTGGAGTGACAGTAATGAAGTTCCGGTATTGATATTCTCTGCTGGACTCGGAGATTGTGTGGAAGCTGCTCTGAAAATTAACAAATTGTTACGTTCTAATGTTAAGGTAAGGGGCTTTGGAACTTAAATTATTTTCCTAATATGGTTCGAATAGTTATAATACATATATATTAAAAGTAATAAATAAGTCTCGACGAATAGCAAAGTACCAGTCCCAAGCTAAACAAAAGTTGTATAGTACAAGCTATAAATGAAATACAGATATAGATACAGAGATATAAATAAAATTCTTAAACCTTATTTTTGTGAATACACACATAATATATAGTAACTAGCTTTTGCCCGCGGCTTCGCTCGCGTTAATTTATCCTTTATTATTATACAACTTGTTATTTGATATTTATTTAATATCTATCCTTTGACATTTTTTTTTTTTTGTTTGCACCAATTATTACCCACTCAGTACCACATATCCCACTGTTTTAGGTTGACTGGAAGAGATCTCTTCTAGGGATAAGTTCACCTTTGCTCACATTGTCTCTAAATTATAATATCTTTTTATTATCTGTGCAATAAAGAATATATAAAATCCTTTATTAGGAGTTGCCTATGTAATAGTAGCTTTATGCATGCAAAGTTTCTGCCCGATCGGTTTAAAATTGACAAAGTTTCATACAAACTTTCATCCCCTATTTTATCCCCTTGGGGGTAGAATTAATCAAAATCCTTTTTTTCCGGATGCCTACGTCATAACATCTACCTGCATGCCAAATTTCAGACCGATCCGTCCAGTGGTTTGGGCTGTGCATTGATAGATCACTGTCAGTCACCTCTAGGTTATATATATTTAGATATACACACAAATCAATACAAACGTGTAATGTAATCTCTAATAGGGCATAAACAAAGTTGCATAATACAGTATGAGGAACCGGATAACCTAAACTGGGTATTATACCCGCGTTATAAGGTATCAGTGCTCTCTTGTAATATGTACTGTAAATAATTACATTTGTTAGTTGTGTTGAAGTAGATGTGTGGTGTATGCACCTTAATTACTAAGGGAGAAAGTAGAATATAGATTAGTAAATGTATATGATAAAATATGAGTACACGCAAGTTTCTTGCTTATTCTTAAGAGGAGACAGCATTCCGAAGGAGCGGTAGATTGAAAATAAAATGTTATGACTATACAAAGTGCTTCTATGTAACTTCATTTGAATAAATAATTTTCTATTCTATTATTTAAATGACAAGTGCTGAGTGTGTGTAATAGGGGTTGTGTGCAAATGTAAAGGATGTATATATAATAATGTGGGATATTTGGATAATGGAGGATATCTGAATACAAATAGTTTGATTACGAATTAATAAGATAATATAATAATTTTAATGAAGGAAACATGTCTGATGTTTTTACTACTTTTAAATATAGTTTACCTGTGTAAGCAAGAATATTATTATTCCCTTTAAAAATGTGATTCTTATGTGTAAATGTCTTTGAACCATAATAATATCATTAATAAGCCTAAATCACAGGAAATCATACTAGAACTGGAAACAAAATTCTATGCCCACTTGCTTGTTCGATGTGGTACTAGTACTATGGGCACATCAATTTCTACATTTATACAGCAGGCTTTTTTTGCATTTCATTTGATGATAGTTATTTTGCCGTATCACTAGTGAATACGGATCCAGGTTTTGCAAGTTTTTTTTTAAAGTTTGTCAGAATGTTTTGAATATGAACTGAACAGTTTCAGTTACGAATTCTACAGCTCCGTATTTATCTGTCAAATGTTTCAATGTACATAAATTTACATGTTTTCTATTTCTGGTTCAATAAAAACATATTTCAATTAATTTTTACAGATCGTAGCTAATTTCCTGGCAATGGATGAGAGCGACGAAATAGTTGGCATGCAAGGTGAAATTATACATACATTGAATAAAAACGAAACTGCTATCAAGAATACAGAGTACTATACAATGGTTAGAAACAGAAGTAATGTGATCTTGATGGGTGATAACATTGGCGATGCCGGTATGGCGGAAGGCATGGAACACTGTGATGTTGTTGTAAAAATAGGATACCTTAGTCGTAATGTTGAGGAGAATCTACAAAACTATAGAGATAAATTCGACATTGTGCTAGTCAACGAACACACTATGGATGTTGCAAATACTTTAGTTTGTTTGCTGCAGTGACTTATTTATTATAATATTAAAATTCGGTCTATTGATGCGTCAATCCTATACAACGAGGAAGTTGCTTTGAAGATATTGAACGGGTTATGTTGTGAAAGTATTAACATATTATTTTATTTTATTATTAATGTTATGATGATATTATTTGTTTAACGTTACTTTTTATTATTATTAAATGTTATGAAATAAGTGATTGTGTTTGATGCGTAGATTTTTTATATTATAATTTTCTTGCTATTTGCCCGTAAAAATGAGAAAAGTACAATCTCTGGATAATAACAAATACTTACAGTTATACCATAGTACCTACATTCCAGTTGAGACACGACTGCACTAAAGCAATTCACTGTCTACTACACTGCATTTTGGAAGGTCGAATTTACTATCGATATCCTATAGTTAAGCATAGAATGTGATAAAGTCTTTAAGGGTTGGCGAGTGTGACAAACTGTGACATTGTGTGAAGAAATGAGAGTCAGGTTTTGTTTGAATAATAATAATGGTTTTTGTTTCAATAATACTAATTTCTAGATTTTCAAGTATGTAACGTTACACTAGGGAGAAGGATCAAAGTGACCAGCAGGGGCGGATCGTGAATTTGTGGGGCCCTGAGCCGTATTTTTTTTGCATTTATAGTTTAGAAAAATTACTCAACTATCAAAGCTCCTGTTGGAAATGTTAGTACCGGGCTAAATCTTTGGGCTTTGGGGCCTATCTAATTATATTACTCAACTAAAAAAATACACCGGCTAAAAACAAGTGACCAGAAATTCCCCGTTCCTCTCGATATACATGGGTTATTTGATCTCAAGGTTATGTTAGGTTTTTTAACGTTCTAGATATTTTTTATTATTTTTTTTTCGTTTCTGTGGGGACCCCCCCTTTGTATCCTTGGGGCCCTGAGCTGCAGCCCAAAAAGCCCTTAGGTAGATCCGTCCCTGGTGACCAGAGTGAAGTTCTCCAATTCGCCTTCGTAAATTTACTAATGCGCGAATGATTGCCTCCTCCTGTAAACTAAAGCAAGAGTAACACTAGCAGTACTCGAACTAATTTGCGAAGAGGGTTGGGGTGGGGGAGTGGTTTGATAGCGGGTGCATTATTCCATTATCCATAAAAAAAATATCCAAATATCCATTCTATGACATGAAATTATGTCGTAATGGCAACTAGTTGTGGCGAATCTACGGACAGCGCGTGTCAACACCGTTGCCTGGCGACACAAGAGGGAGAAAAATAACAATCCTGTCATAGCGGACCGAATCACTTCTTTTCTTATATAATTTCCATTTATATTATTATTATCATTCACTACTGTAAATAATATAAGAATACACATATATATACAAAGCCACGACTGGTCTCATTCTATCATCGCTTTTCCTGCTGCTGCCTATAATAGATGAACACGATATATAAGTAACAGCGGTAACAATCTACCCGCTAAATAATTTTTACCCCTGAAAACTGTCGTCGTTAATTCCTGGTGAATTCAACACAATGAGCAACTTACCTCGCCTGATTTATATTGTATATAGGTATAATATATTAGTTTATTCCATCTAGAATAGATACGTGAAGTTATGGTACCTTACTGGCGATTTAAATTTGTATGATTTTTAATGTCACTCAATAAAATACGATTATATCTGTTTGCATATTTAAATGATCTTTCCTAAACTCTTTATTTACGGACCATATTTATCTTAAAATAATATACCTTAAAAAAATGAGGATAATTTTGATGATTTTTTAACTAATTTACTATACTTAACATCAGTAATCTTGTGTTTATTTTACTCATAATAGAATCATAAATTCAGGACGAACCTAGATCGAGACGAACGAAAACTGTCTGTTTATCTCTTTGTTTACATTGTGTCTAATATGACCTATATTCAACAATATGTTCATAACATGTGTATGATATGAATTAAAACTAAATCGCTATATCCTCACAGCTGTTTCTCAGTACACGATGTAAGCCAGGAAAAATATTATCAGTTTTAAAAAAGTTAGTGATTGTACTAATAAAACCTTACGTAATAACAATAAGCTGGCGAAACGCGTAAAAAACATTTTGGCGAAAGTTAGTAATTAGTTTAATGGGAAATTTGTAAGGTTTTACAACAAACTGCCAGAGTCTGTCCTCAATCTGCCGCCTGAAAAAATATTAAAATGTTTTATAAAACATTTTCTTTGTAAACACGCTTATTATATTATTTTAGAGTTAATAAATGATAATAAAGTTTTTTTAGAAAAAAAATAGCTCGAAATACATAGCGCTGACAAATTTTAAAAGAATGTGAAATGACTCATTGTTTTCAAATATGTCAGAAAAAATCAAAATCAATCACGCGTAAACGCGTGAGAGTGAACATAAAATATAGTTATATTGGTTATATTATATGTTAAATGCTTACTTATGATATGACTTATGACTTATGATTGCGCGCGCTGTCTTTACCGAGCTAAAACGTGCGCGCGTTTCGCGAATTACGCGCGCTTTAAAGGTGTGTAAGGGCAGCATAAAATATTAGGGCCTTACATATGAAATTGGCGTTTTGTCGTACTGGCCACTTTGATCTCAAATATCTCCTCTTTGGTTAGTAATTCCAATTTCAAATTTATACAGCTATTTACTCATGCATTTGTTTTTCGAATACTATAATCCATATGTTTTTCCCATCTTTGGTTTTTTCTTTGCGTCACTCAATTTACAAAATGGAAAACTTAAAATGTCGCGTTTTTTACGAGTACGAGTTCCACCGTGGCACCAGTGCTGCAGAAACGACTAGAAGGATTAATGATGAGTATGGCGGTGGTGTCGCAAAAGAAAATACAGTGCTTTTTTTGTTTCAACGTTTTCGTTCTGGAAATTTCGACCTTCAAAATAGGCCCCGTGCGGGGCCGGAGGCCAAGATTGATAACGAAGAATTGAATACTATTGTGGAAGTGGATCCATCGCAAACCACGTCCGAGTTGGCTGTAGCCTGCGGTGTTAGTAACAAAACTATTTTAATCCACTTAAGGCAAACTGGGAAGGTGAAAAAGCTTGAAAGGTCCCTCCTGAATTGAGTGGAGTAAATCGACAAACGCACGTAAACTGCTGCTACATTAGTCAACCGGCATAATGCAAACTGGCATGAAGGGATTTTAAATCGAATAATTACCTGTGATGAAAAATGGATCTTGTATGATAATCGGAAACGCTAATCGCAATAGCCGAACCCTGGCGAACCAGCCAAATCCTGACTGAAACTGAAAATTGACTTAAAAAAAGCTACTTGTGAGCGTTTAGTGGACTAGTGCCGGTGTTGTTCACTTCAGCTTTCTTAAATCTAGCCAGACGAATACGGCAGATGTGTTTTGTCAGTAATTGCAAACCATGATGGAAAAGCTAACTGCTAAACAACCGAGGCTGGTCTATCGCCGTAGGCCACTGCTGCTTCAGGACAACGCTAGACCACATACTGAACAACAGACGGTTACCAAATTAGAAGAACTTTAATTGGTATGTCTAAGACATCCACCGTACTCCCCGGACCTTGCTCCAACAGATTACCATTTTTGTCGAAATTTGGATAACTTCCTGCAAGGGAAGAAATTCAACTCCGATAGGGCAGTCCAAAGCGCCTTCAAAGATTTTATTGATTCCCGTCCGAATGGTTTTTTTAGTAAATGGATTAATGAACTACCTATGAATGGCAAAAGTGCATAAATAGCAATGGTGCATACTTTGATTAAATAAATATATTATATTTTAAAAAAATCGACCTTAGGTTACTCCCTTACAAAACGCCAATTTTAGGACCGATAGGAATAATAATTTATTCAAAAACAAAGTTAATGATCCGAAACATCGTTTTAATTTAATGTATCACAGCCGCCTTGCACATATTAAGATTAATATATTACGTGACTTGACTATCTATATATTAAAATATTGGAAATATCGGATTTTACATAACATTAAGAAAGTTTGTCTATTGAGCTATGCTGGTTCCAGTATTGTGGGCATGTACATGAGAAAAAATTTTAGATTGAATATGTGTACACAATTGTTTTCAAGAAAATATAGAACAAATTAATTAGTTTTACGAAACTCTAGATTACAAGCAAACGCAAGAGTCTCAAAGCATTTGTATATTGTGAGCTGAGCAAGTAATCACTACGTTTCTATATATATATATGTAGTTCGAACTAACTAGTTCGGAACAGCTCACCCAAAGATAAAATCCGCGAACGAAATCGGTTGAAGGGCATAAGGCATTAAAATTACAGGATAAGGGCTCTTACGTATTATATAGTCTTCCGGAATAGCGGTATCGCGGGCATCATATGATAACCCTAGTGCTGTACCTACATGTATATAGGCCTACAGTTACCATTTTTTATTGATTCACAATTTCACAATTATGAAAAACACAAATTTCACAATTATGCAAATCGACTTTCATTCAGTCTATTCGTCAAATAGACTGAATGAAAGTCGATTTGCATAAAAAGAGAAAGCAGGTTGATAGAGATCAGCGGAAGATGACATGTTGTGATATATATATATATGACCACTTATTCTCCGTCTTATTCAATTGTCAAATATCACAGAAATTCATATTTGCGGGATGGGACTCTTTATAAAAAGACCTTAACACCACTAGACTGAAATCAGCGCTCTTAGTCGCGAACTAATTTGCGGGGATTATTTTATAAGTGTTGCCAGACTACTAGTGCTCCCGTCAAGGGAGGACTGTTGTACTATCCTCTTTCTAAACTACTCACGTGACCCCATGTTACGTTTTCTGTTGTGTATAAAGCAATACGAGATAATATATTTAGTTTTCAATAGGACACACTACCTGTGTATATTAACTATACCTTCGTAGTTTTCGCTTGTCAAAGTTTTTTAGTCTAAGTTGCAAATACCGATCATCGAAATGCTAAGGTACTTCTTGCAAATGGACAAAGTGTGACAAGGAGTGGGAAGGGTCACATTTACTTATTTAATACATCTAAGTGCCTGATCAATATTCACGTTAATCTATCTGAAGTTAAAAAAAAACATTTCCATCATAGTTACAAAATAAACATTAAAAATATAATATTAAAAATACACACATGGATTAAGTCATGAGATTAGCAAGAAATAAATATTTGTACCAGAGCATAATCAGGTAATTACTGTTTTCTCGTGCACTGGTAACACTATTACTCTCTAACACATAAAATAGCGGCATTCGATAAAAATTTAAATAAACTTATGCTGTTGTCAATGTTTAATATCATAATTAATTGTACACCTTTAGTGAACGTACGTAAACGAGTTGAGAGAGTCGAATAAAAAAATAATAAATGTAAGTAGCTACATATTATTACTTATTATTAATTATTTTATATTTTAGTTATGTTTTAATACTTTAATAATAATAATAAATTTGATAGTTTGTTTGCATTGAATGGGCTCTGAAACTGTATCGGGATAATGTATCCCTGATGAACGTATGCGTTACTATATTTTTAAAAACGTTAGAAATCCATAAGAAAACTTCGATAATGTAAAGTATTGTTAATATTAAATATATATAATAAATTTATAATTTTTGAATTTTTTCGGCCGAGGTCAGGGGGTGGGGGGTCGCTATTAATATGCATCGTAATCCTGTTAGTTAGGTTCATTTTAAGAAATTAAATTATAATGAATCAAAATAATAATTATTGAAGTAGTTAAATTAATTATATCTACATTTTAAGTCTAGTCCGATACCTTTACCTGTTCAAATAATCGTTTGCCGACTATTATTTGTTTACGAACAGTTTTCCCAAACTAAACGTAGGTATCTACTATAATAAACATATAACAGCATGGAAAGTGTTTATTTTTAATGAAAATACATGCACACCTATATTTGGCTTTTGTGGCGGAACTTCATAAACAGAAAATGTTCATTATTAATCAGTCTATGAATTGGGCTCGGACGATACCAGTTCATTTTTAAGGAAAAGCTAGTGAGTTTGCAAATTTTCAGTACTAATTAAAATATGTTTTTTTTATAGTTTGTTCTGTGATGTTGGATTTGTGTTGTTAATGTATAGTTATATTTCTATTTTATTTAATATTTGACTGAGAAAACTAGTAGCTAATTATAATATAGATAATATGGCGTGGTCGCTAATGGGCAATGTAAAATTTTTCTTTCCGTTTTTGACGTGATTTATTTACATGTAGTATGAAGTTAGTGGGATAATTATCACTGGTTTTTATATCTTACAATATAATTTCTTCAAACGAATAAAACTCTAAAACTAAAATCTATAATTCAAAATATATAGCATTTCCTGCTGCGAAAACAGGTGGTTCAAGAGGGATCAGTTGTCGGCCATTGATTTTTTTCCATAGAAAATTATTGATTTTATGCGATTAGATTGTAATTGGTCGCTAACCAACCAGAATCTAATCTCATAAAATCTTATCTCATTAAATACTTTTCTATGAATTATATTTTATATGGAATTTACTGTTCATTTAACCTATTAATTTATTTCTAATGTTTATTTACAACTTTAAAGACGGCACTAACTGGTTGTGTAGGTTCTTACCACGCCTAAATTTTAATTATAATCCAGAGCCGGACAATGTAATTATAGTTGTACTGACAGATAGACATATTGAACTTATTTAGTATCTGAATCTCTACAGCAATACTTTATACATAAATCTTTATTTCAAATTGATGTACTAAATGATGTAATAATTCACTAAACCGCCTTCGAGTATCTCTGCACTACCTAAGGTTGGCTGGTAGAGAATGCTAATAGCATTAAGCCCGCCTATTGTACAATGCAATAAAGTTTAATAAAATAAAACTATATAAATGCATATGTATATATTTTAGTTTTCATAACATTGAATAGTAACTCTCAGCAGTACTCTGGAGGGAAAGAGATTATAATAGGGACTGCTAGGAATAGCAATACCAATTTCTAGGAATATACCCTATCAGGAGCTCGACTTCCACGCAGTTCCCCATCGCGTTTAATTCCGAGAGAATTCGCCATAATTATCTGACTGACCAGATTTCATTCTTATTTTCTTATAACCCATTGGTGTCCTGCTAGAGTATACCGTGAACGTAGACAGCTGCATTAGAGAATTATTATTCATTAAAAACGGTAGGTACACTGGTAACGATTATAAATATAAAACATCTGCAACGTAACTAATGCAAAAATATTCAACAAAACATTGCTTGTAGATACATACAAACATTTATAATTTATTAAGCTATTAAAATTTTGGTCAATATTTTCATCGTCTGTTGAAGCTATAAAGGTCAGCAATATCCAGCATTAGAGTAGTCCAAAAAAAAATTTAAAAATGTCAATCTTTCTTTTCTAATATTTGAAGGTGGCTTAAAAATCGAAGTTCTTTGGAGAAGATTGTTGTTCAGGAATTACGTATTATTATTATTTTTAATTTGTATGTTTATTTATACGTCTACTAAAATATACTTCTTATATTGTGGTTTATAAAGTTATCTACCTAACTTTTCTGTGTACGTAAATTCTATTTACTAACTTGTTAGTAAGACATTCAATCATTAATGAGATAATAGTGAAATTTTCAACTTAGTGTATTTTTTTAAATTTATTTATACAATAAAACTAATTATTATTATTAACATTAAGACAATAGAGATACCTATATCTAGCTAATTTAACCAAAGAAGTTCCAACTTGCACGGGTTAAGAGTTTCGATTAATTGTGTTATAAAAATTGATTTTTATATTTTTTTTTTTATAAAATTCCCCTATTTTTACACTTAATAGGTATTTTTATAGCGAGTCTTTATTTTACTTCGTACTAACATAACTAAATAATAATTAAAGTTCTTCGTTGCAAAACAGACGTATAGGTATGTATTTTGTTTATTCTCGATGCATGATTCGCTACAGAGAACAGTGAACATAATTTCTGATTAATGAAGAGTACCTAATGAAACTAGGAAAAGCTTCGTTTTGTTGGATTTTCTGCGATAGTGTAATGCTTTCATAATTTTTGTTAATGGTGTTTGAAATACCTACATTTGTTCAAAGTTCAAATGTATTTCAGACACAATTAACAAAATTTGATATTTAGATCTCATAAATAAGTCTAAGGTTTATTGGTTGAATTAAAAATGGTCTCAATCCATTTTCCCTATCGTCAAATTGTGTCATACAAAACGAAAATTATTGTTGTTATGGTTCGGCCACACACTGCGAATAACCAATACACGATTGTTTCCTTAAATGGCACAATTGCAGGCTGTACCTACATTAGAAGGTACTATACGTTTAGGTATGCATTTAATTTTGCATTAGGAACTTTAAAAGGGTCACATGACGACATGATGACCATACTGCTGTCCATGTATATTTATTATAGCCTGTGATTGCCTGTCTAAGTGAGATTGTTTACCGTTCCAATAAAATAAAAAAAACGCGCGATTCCAGTTGATTAGTGGCATTTGTATACATAGATAGATAGCACAACATTATTAACTGTCCAGTTAATAATGTTGTGCTATCTATGGAATTTGCTCACCTTTGATAATTTCACGATGTCTTTCTATTACTAAGTTACATTACATTTGTTATGTATTTTAGCGAAATGTCAGTGCCACTTAAGGATTTTCTCGCACAAGACAACGTCCTCATTTCCGACCCAGATAAGTTATGGAAGAAAATTAATAAAATACAATCCGATACGCATGCGAAGCTGCAGATAGTTACTGACTTCGACCACACGCTCACAAGACATGATGGGCTGACGACTTTTGGTAAGTATACAATATATCATAATGTGTGTCAACAATGATACGTGCATCACATCCTGTATGTGTCATATCTGGACAGTCTATATTGTTTTTGAGACTCGCAAACGTACAGACAAACGAGGCGGAGAACTTTGTTTTATAATAAATATAAATATACTGGTTGTGCCCGTCACTTTGGACGAAAGCTTCTTCGTTCTAGCTTCAAAAATGACTAATGTCCTTACAAACTTATTAAGGGCAAATATTTTACAAATTTGTATGTAATATTTATTTATATTTAATTAACAGCCTAAAAAATGGGTTCTAAGTATCTAACGTTAAAAATAACGATAATTCCATACATACAACCTTTCCATACATGCTGTTCAACCCTTTATAACCTTTTAATTTGCATTAAAGTAGCCCGTGTCCGTGTCTCAGTGTAGACTACATACATATGTACCATAATTAAATTAAATCGTTTCAGTAGTTTTGGCGTGAAAGCGCATAGTAATGTATAACATCCTCAGGTACGTAGATATATAAACATTGTTTACTCCGTCACTACAGGACCTATTTATTTATATATCTATTATACTTATTACATCCACAAATCAATCATTAATTATAATTTCACACGGGGCGATCTAGTCCCGTGCTTACCAGTACCTGTGTTCTGTACTAGACAACTGATAGAACTACTTAAGTACACTTTTTCTTTTATAAATACACATACACTTATTATACATAGAAAACACCCTGCCCAATAGATACAATCATAGTGGTGAATATATAAATATTAGTATCGTGTAACGAATCGATCCTGGGACCATCGAAAAGGCGGTGTGCTAAACCGCTAGGCCACCGAAGTCATCTATAATTATTGCTTTTTATAACGATAGTTAATAATATTGCTCTGCAATAAGCAGCAAATTCAACTGACGTTTGTTGGGGAGGTAGGTAGGGATAGCAGCCCCATAGCAGGCAATATACCATGTCAGGTCTACCCCAACGCACAGTAAATTCGCCACGATGGGCAAATTGACCTGACTTCACTTCACGCTCATCCTATTATGCTCCATTGGTGCCCTGCTAGCGTATACCTACTGTTAGCGCAGGCGGAAACATCATTCCATTATCATCTCAAAAAAAACTGACGTTTGTTTTGTAGATATGTTTAATAAGTGTCCATCCGTACCGGGAGAATACATAAAGGCAAATGAGGAATTGAAGAAAGAATACGGAGATATTGCCAAGACTGCCAATATGACACCGGAAGAGAAAAAAAAACACTACTCAGAGTGGTTTGGAAAAGTTTACGACAAGATAAAGTACGACTTTTTACTAATTTATCTGAGCTATATAAAAGACTTCCTATGATCCTAATCAGTTATTTTTATAGTTGATGTGACTGTGATGGAAGAAAACTGACTGTTTCTTCTTTTCGATAGGAATCTGTTTTATGAAAAAAAGCTAATAACGAAATTGTTTGAAGAGTGTATGCATTTATATAGACACATTTTCTTATACTAAAGGTGAAATCTATAGGTACCTATAGCCTCGCGGGATGTTGAGAGGAAGACTGTAAAAAGTCGTCAACACCTCAGGTACCAGTCTCATCTCAGCCGCCAAGATGCTAGCTTTGTAAGATATCTTTCCTTTGTATGGCGCAATTAGCTATCGAAATTACAAGATAATAAGCTTGATAGCTTGACATCTTAGTCGACGTCGTAGTAGGAATGGGAACGCTTGAGTGGTTGTTCATTGGTTCAGATGATAACGTGATGTCCGTGGTGCTGTTAAAATATAAATATTGATCACTTTTTTGCGTCTACATTTGTTTCTGTGGCATACACCCAAACTAAGTATATAAAGTTGTTTTTATAATAAATTATTATTCTAAAAGTATAGAAATATATAAAACACCTATCTAATTATGATGTTTTCTTACAGGGAGACCGTAAACAAATTTCCTTTTAATGAACTTGCTGCCCAAGCGAAGGAAGTTAAATTTAAGTAAGGACATAAATACTTAAAACTAAATTACAAGTTATTTTATAAAAATAATTAAATGACTGTGAAATATTTCACAGTCGTTTACTTTAACTTAGTATCTGTGTGCAGATTAAATACTTTATATGTAATGGATGAGGTTTGATATCTATCTATATATAGATAGATACAATTATAACAACGCAGTACCTAACGGTTTGTTATGGGAGCACCGCAAATATATCTATAGAGGAGATGGAATGTTATCATTATGTTGACTAACGTAGGATTTTATTAATACTTGTTTTTCAAAATTTACAGAACCGGCGTGGAAGTTTTAATACAAAAGTGTAAGGAGCAAAATGTACCAATTTTGGTTTTCTCCGCTGGAATGGGCGAATGCGTTAATGCCATTATGAAAGAAAACAATTACCTGTATTCCAATATTAATGTAATATTCTTTTTTCTTTTCTATGTAGTGTATTTGTTCATTTATCCTGAGGTGTATTCATTATTTTACCTCGCAAACTGTGCTACATAGCTACCCTGATTAAGCACCAAGCTACGTAACGGTTTCAATAATGACGATTCGTCCTTATTATGGGAAAAGGTATTAGGCATATGAGAAGGCTTTACGATGGCATCAATCTATGACGACAGAATAATATTAACATGGCGAACTTATAAAAATTGCAATTTAAAATTAGAATATTTTATTTTGCCACTTTTCAAAGTAGCCATAAATGCTATAATTGCCTACAAAAATGAGAATTATTTGAATAAAATATTTGCTAGGAGCTATTTCCTGCCATTTTCATTTCGTTTAGAAACCGACGACCCATACCGAACATTGTTGGTTCAACTATACTCTCTATATGATCATTATAAAAATACTGAATGAATTTAAACTGATGAAGATTCCTTAATTTTCAGATCATCGCTAACTTCTGTGAAGTGAATGACGACGGCAAAGTATTGGGTGTGAAGGGTAATTTCTTGATACACTCGAATAATAAAAACGAAGCTATTCATCGGTATGCAGACGATCATTTCAACAAGGAGACAAATCGTCGCAACAATGTTCTTCTGTTCGGTGATATGACTGGTGACGCTAACATGGTCAACGACCATGATTACGATGTTGTCATACGAGTAGGATTCCTCTACTATAATCCGGAGAAGAATACCGATGAAACAGAGAAAAATAAAAAGAATTATTCGAGTGTGTTCGATATTGTACTCCTCAATGACAACACAGTGGACCTGCCGAATATTCTTTTAAATTTGATTATAGGTTCAGAATAATTTTTCTTTGTATTTAATCAGCACTAAATGAAATTATTAATTAAATATTAATTTATATACACATTAATTAAATTTTAATCAATGTCAATAAATATTTACTCGCTTTGCATTTAATGTTTTCTTTGCACTTTATGAACAAAACTCTACTATCTTTCCTATATATAGCATACTAAAAGTTTAAATAATTGAATTTCAAATAAAATTGTCTTTTCTCTTCTAGTCAAAGGGTGTCAGGAAGAGATTGGGTACCTACGAGATAAACTATTACCTAATGTAATTTATATTCTATCTGCTATAACGAATTCAGAAAAAAATAAAAATACCGCCTCTGTATGCTTTAATCGATCCTTTTCAATTTATACAAAGTAAAATCTAAAAATAACGTTTATAAAGTAATAGGTACCTTATGTCAGATGCCGTCACTGCGATAGGCTGGAACATTGCATCCCGTTGCAACGATGGCATGACAATAGCAATCTCGACGAAATATTGGTTACCTACATTCAAAGATCCTTCTAACCTTAAAAACAAGTTTATTTATCGAGACTTAGGGATTCCTTTGTCCTGATCCTGGTATCAACATACAGCCAAAACAATCTACTAATTCGAGTCAACTGATATTTTGAATAGCATAGTTCTATGTTTATTGAGGTATACTTTGTACGAAGTTGTCTACGTACCTCTGTCTCTCTGATTTTACATGAAATGAAATCAGCTTTAAGAGATCTGGATTTCTATAGATGTACCTTTCAATTTTACTTTCAAACAGCTGGCTACCAAGCGGATCTAAAATTATTTAAGGTGTAGGTCTGTTTCGAGTGCCGTACCTATATTGCGACGTTTGTTTGTTATGATGACAAACAGAAGTGTTCACACTACCCGTAACAAACGTGGAAGAATTAGTAGTAAGTTTCTTCAGTGAACAATTAAATTCTATAATATTATAAATAATGTTACATACGGGAGGAGGAGGAAGTGGGGGCACCATAAGAATTTTAGAGAGGTTAAGGTGGGGCGTGGTACTAAAAAGGTTGGGAAACCCTGTCTTAAATGGCCTTTCAAAGAAGCTTCACGAGGAGAAACTAGTTAAGGCGTAAGGTTATTTGTACCTGGGAGTATATAAGAAGCTGATAATAGCTATAATACCTACTGTAATAAATTAGAGTGCAGGAAATAAAACAAATTTTATAATGAAATTATATATTTCGTTATTATTGTAAAACAACATATAATATTTATAATTATGTATTTTCTAGTCATTGCTGTGTTCGTCATGCAACAATAGTTTTTAAAGTACCAAACTAGGTTTACCTTCAGTTAGGCAATATCACAAATTATAAATGCATTAGTTAAGTAGTTATGGACTTTCCATTTAATGGAAGATCAATGTACACATTAAACAACTCATTACCAAATAAACAAATTGGTACAGTTCATTAAAATTCAAATATAAACAAGCTAACGTAACAATAATTTTAGTAAAATGTAAAACAAAGAAAATTATAAGAAATAACAGTTCTATTTTTCTATGGTACAAAGCAAGCAAAGGTTATAAGACGCAAGGCAGTGGGTATTATATATAAGTAAATGAAGGCCAATGACATTCATTATTTGAATTTGCCGCGCATTCGCAGTAGATTCAAATGTTTCAACGTATGACATTTATTGCGGAAGTTTCTAAATGTAACATATTTATAATTAATATATATAAAATTGTTTTCAGTTTGTAAAACAATAGCGTAAATTGTTTTTTCTCTCTTCAGGTTAGTAATCTCTACCCACACATAAATAATATACAACTAAACAGTTAAATGCTAAACAATTAAACTTGTACCAAAATGTATTTAGAACAATATTTTGAATACATGGCAAGAAAGCTTGTGTTCCGAATGACAATACACAAGTCAGCATTAATTTATGACTGGAAAATACATGTTTCATCATAATATCTTAGAAGTTTAAAATTAACTGAACAAATTAAAGGCTCTAAAATGAACAACAGTCTTAGAACATACAGATTATTTACACAAAGATTTATTTATATGAAAATATTCTACTGTACATAATAACAATCATCATTAATATAGAAATATAATCATTTGTCTGTATGTACAAACACTAGAAACAATAATAGTAAAATAGTTCAATCTTTTAGGAATCATAATTATTATCAACATGTAAACATTGTTTGCGTTGATGAAAGTACACACTTGCGCAAGGCACATGTGAATGAATATATATATTTATTAACTAGCAGACAGAGCAAACGTTATTTTGGCATATAAATTATTTCTGGATAGGGCCACCATTATCACATATTGGTATAAAAATATCCTACAACCTATTCTCAGACCTACAAAATATATGGATAATTTTTTGGTAATTTAATAAAAGTCGGTCGTGATATTTATATATTAGATATATTGGAAAATAGTTATATGGAATAGTATGAATATAACTCTCTAATTCTTAAAAAACCTCAATTCTAATATTATAAGTTGCTAAGTGAGTTTGTTTGGTTTTAATATATTGTAATATAATGTATGTTACAATATATTAAAAGCATGTGATTGATAGAAAGTCGAGTAGGTATATTTGACTTATGTCCTTACATACAACACGTTTATGTTAAAAGGTTAAAGTTTATGTTTAAAGTTATCTTGTCTGAGAACATCTATATATACAAATAAAGCATTATTACTGTATTATATATTACTTGAGAACTGTGTACATTAAATCTTAGGGCTCAAATTTGCGCACTAAAAATATAATAATAACTATATCCAATACAAAATAATAAAAAAACAGAGTACAATGTGTGCCAAGTGATAAAGTTTTTCGAATACATGGAATTTATATTTTCAAAAGAGGGCATGATTTTATTTCAACGAATGATAATCTATGATAAATTTATGATAGAAGGTCGACAGGGTATCAAATAAACTAATAATCATAAGATAAGATAGAAATATTGAGGGTATTATTTATATGATTAATAGGAAGTGGAAATGATAAAAGATTTCGACTCGTAGTCAAAGCCTTTATCTACCATAAAATTCGTGTTGCGACCCGGTTAACATAAATAATGGGGTTACGTTTTCAGGTTCCAACCGGACTGTCCGTAGCGACAACGCGAACTGCGTTGACGTTGATGATTGACGCTTTGGTTGCTTCGTTCCGTCCTCTTTGAAATTGTCTAAACCTGCTAATGTCCAACACATTGTGCTTATTATATCAAATATTTGGTCAATGGTAATCTACATCAAATGCCATCATGTCCGATATTTTCAGCTTTCCGCTGAAAGGAATTATTCTGCTGCCGGATATGCGAATTTGCAAAGAATAGATCGATATCTACTGATGTGACTAATCCCATTTATATTACACATAACTGTCTATCTATTGATTAAACAACCGCTTAATATATATTGTTCATGGAATTATTATCTACATCTGTTATCTGAACCGTAAACACTCCCTAAAAATTGTATGTGTAACTATAGAAAGTAATTATTAATTAAATAATTTATGTAAGCGTTACCTCTTAAATATTTGATTATATAGCGTAACAAACTTATTTTTGCATTTTATAACATAGAATATGATTCGAGTTTCCACTACCTAGGCGTTAGGCCTGAAGAAAAATCATGATTTGGCTGTGTTGCTGAATTTGAATGCTTTTTTTCTTTGCTAACAAATTTAAACTTGACGCTATTGTAAATTTAATCTATCGTAAGGGTGTAGACGTCATTTTCAGCGTCACTGGAAGAGACGAGAGAGTTCTATTTATTTGTATGTTCTTCCGTTTAACTATTAGTTAATTGCTAAAATTTGAAAACCGTTGGTTTGCTTAGATTTGTTAGTATCGAGCTCATATTATGGAAAATGTTGCAATGTACTTAGGTGAATAAATGTTGCGTTGCACAATATTAGTATTACACATTAACATTGAAGTATATACAAAAACATATATAAAATTATGGAAAACGGAGTTTAAAGATACCATATGATAGTCGATTGTCTCAATTTTTTTTACAAAAGCCGTAGTCTTAATCGTGTGTTCTTACAGGTGTGTTAGTACATAAAAACATAGTTGTATATAAGTATATAATTTATACATATATATTACGACAATTTTTTAGTGATACCTTTTAATAACAAATTCCAAATATAAAGTATGGCTATAGATGCTTATGTAGGCAAAAATTTCGAGCGATCAGTGCATTCTAATTTGTATATTGCAGAGAGATTTTAATTGCAAGTGTGTGTATTTTCATCAACGTTCAAACGTCGCCCTATTTGAAGTTACAGGCAAGGCAGCGGTCGCATTATAGCTAACTACGTTACAATATATAAGCGCATATACTGACTACAATATCCATTATGTAAGGTCCATTTCATTATGTATACGTATCACACCGAATGCTCATTTTTTTTCAATTAGTTGAAAAAATAGTAGTTACAAATATATATATATTTATTATAAATATTTAAGCAGATGCACATACATACTATCTATACATAAAACATACTATTACGCCTGTTACCCCAGACGGTGTAATCGGCAGTCAGTGTTGCTTATACTATAATTAATACTGCTACTAATCAGTGTTAATTATTACACAGTATAAAACAAAGTTGCTGTCGCTGTCTGTCCGTCCCTATGTATGCTTAAATCTTTAAAACTATGCAACGGATTTTGAGCGGTTTTTTAAATAGATGGAGTGATTCAAGAGGAAGGTTTATATATATAATACATGTACACCCGTGTGAAGCCGGGGCGAGTCGCTAGTTATAGTATAAGTAACACTTGACATGTCCACTTTACCTGCATTAATTTAAATCCTATAGGGGAGGAGCCTAGCAGTCAGAAATAGTTTATAAATTGGCAATTTTTTTTTATATCGGTCCAATTTAAATTCACAACCTTTTCGGTTTAAATCGTGGTAATAAACCACACTAAGAAGGCTACAGCGCTTTCATAGCATATGAATTATATATTTATAACTGCTAATCCACAGAATTAATCGTCACAACTTGTTTTAAATGAGCATTCTTTTAGAATGTGAACGTGTTTCGCTTCTTAACGCATCGCAATTAATAATGCATAGTTAATATAAGTTTGGCCCATTACGTTCACTAGTATTGTAGTCAGTACACACATTAAGAACGAGAAGGAAGCCAACAACATCACGTCACACATATGTACCTAAAAATATATTCATTTATCACTCGTCTCACGCACAATATTACCAAAAATATATCTGTACTACATCTAATGAAATTTCAATAGTAGCCTGGTTAAAACAAACAAAATTACACATTACAGCACTATAACTTTTGATAACTCGCAAAGTAATTTGGCCGTTAAGCGATTTAGATAAGTACATATAATTTCTTGATGACTTCATACAAGTGAACACAAAGTTGTAATATAAAATTTTGAAATGATCACTTTGCCACCAGGAGATATGATTAACAGATGAATAATAGCATTTCAATTCATTTCATATTTCTCCGTCTTGCATTGTTATATAATACAATACTGATTAAAAGTAACAATAATAATAATAAATATAATAACAATAAAAAGACAGATCTTTTATGACGCACCCGCATCTACGCACACGAATAATTTGTAGACTAAACGAGCATTTAACGGTTAAGCTCATTTTACACTATTAATGTAGTATATGAATCTAGTTTCTCAATTGACTTTATAACAAGTCGTCTCCTTTTTACATCTGTCTCACGTATTTCAGTCATGTAACAGCTATGTAAGGCATCTTACAGTGTTAGCATCTCAGTTCTCCGCGATAGCCACGCATGAGTTACCGGCGTCATAATAACATGAAGACAATAGTACTGTTCATGTAGACAGGCAGTGGTTACCATTTCTATTCAAGGCCGCTCAGTTTGTTAATCATTCCAATTATATAAAAAAAAAGAATAATATTTGACATCTTAAGTTTAACGTGCAAAACATACGTTTCAACGTTCGTATAGTTCACGAAAACTCACGTTTGCATAGATGCGGAAGCGCCTTTAGAACTCCGTGTCAAAGAATTAACGCGTTACTACGAAAACTTTTGTTCCTAGCTGCGTATACATTACGAACCAAAGACTAGATCCACTTTTCTAGAAAAATTAAAATAGGTTATATAACATAATTAATACATTCGAGCTGTGTAGTCCCTTGATTGTGGTCCGTATTCATAATCTCCCTTATTTATATTCAAAATTCGTTACACTTTTTCACATCGATTTATTGGTCCAACTTTTAAAACAAGTCCAATAAACTATATTCATTTCACAATTAAAATTTCAGATGGGGTAGTCAGAGCCATTGTCAATTATTTATGTCGTAGTAACATTTGACATTTCGATATTACGCTGGTTATTATTTTAATCCAATAGTGGTGCGCTGCTTTCGGATGAAAGTTACTGAAGAGATTCTAGGTAGATTCTTAAAGATGAATGCGTTGATCAATAGTTAATGATTTTTAAATTATCATTGAGGAATATTCATTGGAGTTAAGTAATTTCGCTTTTTAATAGAAAATACACATGAGTGGAAAATATTAAGTATGGACTTTACAATGATAAATAATACAGTAAAAGTAAAGTTGGCGACTCGAATTAAAAGTCAGACTACACCATCGACATAATAATCTAAGGACGTCAAGGATTACAAAATTCACAAAAAAGTATTAGAAATTGTGAAACCGACTATGTTCGTACGCGTTACATTATAGGATTGCTAACACTCTCAAATAGATAAAAATCAAATTGAAATTGTAAATGATTGTAATTTGACAGTTGATTATCTCAAATGACTGTCTAATTTAGTCTGTTTCAAGTAGTAAGGTCGATAACTACGTTAAATAATCAAACTTTTGAAGTCCTTACATTATTATTTTGACGGACAAAACTATACATTAAAAACATAAAATTATAATATTAAAATGGAACATTGTGGCTCGCCCAAACTCTCTCCTTTCTGTCACGAATGAAACATTGGTCCCCGTGATTGTAAAAAGCACAGTATATATTATTCTAGGGTTATAATACAATAATTCTAATGACAGATCACAGCCTATGTTTAATATATGGATCGAGAGTACCAGCTGGGTACTGGGCACTCGTTCACCGTCAGGTGATCGCCACCACCTCTGTTTGCGGCTTCTGCAGACCGTCCTCGTCTGTCGATCTGTTAAAAATATAATTAGTTTGTATTTTATTTTTGTTTATCCATGTTTTGGTTGGAAATTAAAATTTTATGGATATTTTTTTATTTGCCAAACATTATTATATATTGCTGGCAATAATATGTATTTATGGATCGGATTCAAATGTAGAAAAGCAGTGTTTTAACAAATGTGCTGCACGGATATCCTATAGTGTCCAACGGATATGCTATAGATATGTAAATAAACAGCAGACGTGCGATAGTCAGCAGCGTAAGACCACAAACGAGCTAGTCGCCACTGTGCCTGAGTTGTCGCGTAAGCCAGCCGCATATGAGAGTACCGCGCGGCTGAGTTGTGTAGGTACGGCTTTATGTTACCTGTAGACGTGGGCCTGCGAGGCGGAGGTGCGGTAGTGTGCGGCGTAGGGCAGCCGCGAGCGCGCGTTCCGCCGCCGCGCCAGCACCGCACGACGTAACGTGCCCGGCCGCACCGAGTTGCGGATCGCGTGGTACGCCAGTCTGCACAACATATTATTTATATTTATGCATTGATGACGCCTAAAATGAATTTTCAACACACTTGCTCGTAAAGGGGATCTAATTTCACTGGTTTTCTATATAAAAATCAGGTAATAAAACACGTATGAGTTATATACGCAATTAACAAAGTTATATTCCATAACCGCACTATTTGTTACTTAAATTTCAAACTGACTGCCGCGTGGCGCCAGCTAGTGATACAGAGCGCTGATTTAAAAAAGTAAATCGGCGGGAAAGCAACAGTGTGCATCACAGTTTTATGCTTGAGTTTATTTAAAATCAAGTGTGTTGAAAAACGTCGGACGATACACGTGCGTATTTAATACACTCGGCTTTATTACGCCGTTGCCTCCGTTCGGGCTGGAATTCCGCCTCATGTGTTACCATCATAACGCACTTATAACGTCAGTCATAATTATAGTATATCTTAATATATTATAATTATGACTAATTTAATTTAAATAAACTTTCATATTACCTAGGTGCGAGAGCAGTGACTGTGGTGATTATGACCACGAGCCAGTATATAGGGTCAGATATCGCGTGATGCATGACGTAATACGTAGACGGCAAGTTGAAACAGGATACGCATAACGACTGGTATATCAATGTCAACACGAAGAACGCTATCAGTGAACCGCTTAACGCTAGCAGATGTATCACCGTCTGGAATCACAAGTAGAAAATAAAATATCAATTTCGCATCAAAATGTACATTTGTATATTTATATACAGTACTTTGAGTTTAATATCAGATCTGAATTAACATGTTGACTGCCACGGCATTGTTCAGAAATCTGTCCTAAATTAATTTAATCACATTATATTATTAAAAGCTCTAATTACTGAATCATCAAAAATAATATAGTGTTTTTAAAAGTTCCACAAATAATAAAGTATTAATATTCTTGAATTTGAATTATAATGATTGTTATAATTATAGTTTTTATTTGTTTTTAATAAATTTTCTATTCATGCAAGCCAGCATTGACTTTTTGTTCTTTTCCTAGAAGCCTACTATCGATATTAGTACTGATATATTCCGAATTTAATTGTAACTGCACGAAAATGGAAATTAGACACAGTACGTGATAACTCGTAGTTGGGAGTCAACATGTCAAATTTACTTAGTAGATTAAACTTAATAAAACATAAATATGAACAATTACATATACATACACACAACACTCAAAATTATGTCTGTGACTATGTCACGTGTGGCAAGCCATTCGTGATTAATTCTCGAACTAACTCTTTACGTATGTCGCTTTGGCACCCGACTGTTCAGGCCGATATGTGGAATTGAATCGCATACATGATGCATACACATAAATTAAAATCTTTTTTTATTAGTTACGTCTACATGCTATTGAGTCTTGCCTTCTCACGTGACTATACATTAGAGTTCGTTATATCAGTCGTACCCGATCGGATGCCAATACGCGTCGTGAATTGACACTTTTAGAACACTAATAAATAAATAACCAATAATTACGGAGTCCATATCCAAACAGTCCGGAATTATTAGATAATTAGTTCTAATTATTTTTTTGTTAAATACTGCGACCTCAATAATCAGATAGACAGTAATGTGAGAATTCAACAGAGCCTAAATAATATATAATGTATCCGAGTTGCGAATTAGTCATATTATAAAAAAAATATATTCGCCAGTGTTGACTGACAGTGACATCGCTCGAAATACACAAATCTTTAACAGAGACCATACGTCCACAATTCGTTACTTACAATTATAAGATTTCAACTACTATTATGACGGAAGCAGTAGTTAACTAAAGATGTGACATCTAAAGCCACACGTGTACACTAATTAAAAAACAAACTGTGTCTATGGGTGTGTAATTATTTGAGGGAATTCATAATTATTTAAGTACCCACACCCACTTACAAGTGTCTTAAAGAAAAGCTGCATGGAAACATCGAGTTATAAATTAATAACATTGTCTATATAAGGGAATATATTTACGATATATAGGACTTCGTTAGGACAGTTAGTAAGTAAATTATGAGTCATTGAGAGTAGTGCTTTAAACTAAGTGACAAAAATATAAAAGATAAATATGTCAATTAATTAAAAAATCTTTGTCTAATAGACACATTAAAATATTAAAGGTATTTTTCCTCTCCTGTGAACCTTCAAATAGACATGATGATAATATCAAAGTATCAACGAACTAATCATCATATTATTTGAAGTAATTATTTTTTCCCATTGGTAAGATAAAATTATTGTGAAACGGTAAAATGTCTATACTAGCTGTGCCCACGTTTCGATTCGCGTAAAATTGTTAGCCTACGTGTCATTCTGTTGTAAAAGCTATTGTAAAGTTTCATCATATCATAAAATGCACTCAGTAGTTTTTGGGTGCAAGAATAACAAAACATCCAACCGTCCATCCATCCACACTCGCAAACTTCCACGTATATAATATTAGTCAGACACTGACCCAACTCCTGGTCTCGATGGCGACGTAGACGAGCATGATGAGGAGGCAGCAGGTCATGGCGCAGGTGCCGAATAGCCAGACGTCGACGTCGGTGTCCCAGTAGGCGGCGGCGGCCGTGAAGAAGATCACGACGCTGATGTAGACGGACTCGGCCAGCACCAGCCAGTAGGAGTGGCGGCGGTAGGCCAGCCCGCGCCGCGCCGCCGCGTACAGCCCGGGCCGCTCCGTCAGCAGCGACGCCGGCGCCGCGCGGTCGTACGCGCCTGCACACGGTTTTATGTGCTTTATAATACTACGCCCTCAGAGATTCATTTAATTACGCTGCGTTACAGAGTTATGGTACATTAATTAATTCAGCGGTTTAGCACACTTCCGATGATCCCGTTTGATTCCTCGCACGGCACAAACATTTGTATTCATGAGTACGATTGTTTGTATCGATCTGATTATTTTCTATGTATAATGTGACGAAAAACATATATATCGTATTTGTATCAGTTATCTAATACAAACTTCAACTAGCTTAACTTGAGTCTAAAGAGCGTTGTGTGAATTGTCCTTAGATTATTAGTATTATAATAGTAACCTTTACACGTATGTATGTAGTATTATAATAGTACTCTTTTGCGCATAAGCTATCACGCAGGAAAAAATGTGCATGTAAATGTAGGCAAAGAATGAGAATTACCGCACGCATTAGTTGCCTTTACACGTACGATGTTGCGTATATAGCGAGAAAAAAGAGGATTTGATAAATATAAGAAGTAAAATGTCCTTAGTTTAGATATTCCATTAGAAAGAAACAAAGAAGATACATTTTCGAAATATTTATGTATATTATTAGAATACACAGAATATTATATAAATAGATTTTTTTATTTGGGTACCTATATAAATAATATTGGTGGTGGAAAACATAAGCGTTATTAACACACTTCTGTCATTCAAAAAAAGTCACTTATGGGATACAGTTACAATATATCAAAATAATAATTACCATTAATAATGGCTAGTAAGACAAATCCAATATTGTCTACTACCTTACATTTTCCTATTGTCATTTAGTATATAAGATCAATATTTTTATGTACATATTGTCAGTCAATTATCATCTGTAATATACATCGTCTTAACCAACAACAGCGTATCCATTTCGTACCCGCAACATGACTAATACATACCGATAACAAGTGGCGGAAATGCGGTGAACATGAGGTTGTAGGACATGAGATGAATCTGATCAATCATCACCATGGCAGAGAAGCCGCAATACAGCTGGTACCAGAATATCAGGAACACAAATGTCTGTTGAATAAAATATTCAATATATGAGTTACATAATAATTGTATAACTCGTATATTTATAAATAATTTCCTACAGGTAAAAATGCAAACGGCTTTATGTTAGTTTTAACCTTTATTATTAAGCGATAGAGTTGAATAAATAATTATAAACTCACGGCATTTTTAAGGAAGAAGTATAATATCATTCTGGCAAGACGATCGTAGCACCAATGACCGTGTACTAGTAGTAGCCTCTCAATGAATTTGAACCTAGAGAGCGCGAAGTCGGAAGCCATCACAGCCTGTCGTCCCTCTTGTCCCGATAATCCTGTTGGGGGATAAGCCGAAGTTAGAATAGACAAAAATAAGAAGAGAATCACCATAACATAATAATAAAAATATATAATACAATATACTAGCATCATGAGCCCTCGTGCTGGCATGAGAATTAGTAAAGGACTACAAAAGTATAAGAGAATGAAATTCAGTCTTACCCACTCCAACATCGGCAGTCTGTATCATTGAGACATCGTTAGCTCCATCGCCGATGGCGAGGGTTGTAACGCTGAGTTCTTCTTTTACTGCCTATAAAATAATTATATATATATATAAACTGAAAAAATATACAAATTATAACAAAAATACTGTAAATTATCAGACCACTCTTTTCTTCAAAATTATTTTTAAAGACACATTTAAGATTTATAAGTTTTCAATAACTATAACTATGTCTTTGCTCCATAGTCAGAGATACTCAATTTCGCAATGATAATTAATTATTTAAAAAAGGCACTAAACACGCACAATTGAACAACGCGTTAATGAGTACGCGGTATATGTCGTTCTCTTTGTTTACATTTCATTCCTGCATGAAAGCCGATCGCCGCGGGAAAGAGCGTACTTGTAAATGCAGTCATCGTATGTATCGGGAAAATGTTGGGTACCTTGACGATGTATGCTTTTTGCAGGGGCGTGGCGCGGCAACAGAGCACGGCGGAGCAGCGGCGCGCGAGCGACAGGAACGGCGTCACGAGCCCCGAGCGGCGGTCCAGGATGTAGGTGAGCGTGCGGCCGTCCACCACCAGCGCGCGCCCGCCCTCCCCGCCGCCTTCCGCCCCGCCCTCCAGGTAGCTCTTGATCGTCGACTCCGCGTGCTCCTGGACACGCAACGTGCGTACAGTATATTGTTAGTAGGTGGGGAAATCGGAACTCGGAACTCGGATTGGTAAGTGGTAGGCCCCATCGATAGGCCGTCCACCGCCAGCGAGCGCCCTCCCGTCGGCCCGTTATATAAGTAGCTCTTGATCGTCGACTTGCGTGCGTTGCGACGAGCGTGCTCCTGGATACGCCGCCACTCACTACTAGACTGTATGTAATACGATAAAATAACATGACTGAAGCTCGATTAGTAGAGTACCTACCTTGTCGCGCGACATGAGATGCAGTAGTCGGTCGGCGGGCGAGAAGAGCGCGGCGGAGTATGCGATGTTGACGGCAGTCTCGGGCTTGTCGCCGGTGAGCACCCAGACGGCGAGGCCGGCGTCGAGCAGCGCGCGCACGGTGCGCGGCACGGCCTCCTGCAGTCGGTCCTCCACGCCCGACGCGCCCACCAGCGCCAGCGCGCTCTCCAGCCGCGCCAGCGACGCGCGCATGCGCTTCTCCCGACCTGCGCACATTTTTTATTGGGTTATTTGGGCTATTATCAGGTGCTCGAACCTGTAGCACTGCGATCTACATAGATCTATTGTGCTCGCCCTTTTTCAGAATTCGCTGCCTAAACTCGTCAGGGACAAGAATTGAAGGATACTCTTAGGAGCGATGGTTTTTATCTCCTGAGGAGAGAGTGTAAACTTTTCAAAGGATGTTACGTTTACGCATGAGTGGGCTACAACCCTATAGGATGTGTAGTGGCGTTTCCTCTTCAGTTTGGCAAAATCAGCTAAATGCGCACATTATAACACCCGCACATTTAGGTATCAAGGTGGTGACGGCAATAATACGATATGATCTGACTCATATTTAATAAATTGTTACATAGTGCGAGCGCTTCTCACGCATTGCACAAAGCCCGCATATTGATATTTTAGGTTTCAAGGTGGTGACGGAAATAATCAAACTGGTATTTATATAGTCCTCTTCCGATTGTTTCCCGGCCTAATTCAGACGGGGATCGAAATTACGACGGCCTGAGCCGAGATTAGAATCCGACGTGGTGCCCTCAGACTAAATTCGTATTCGGAAGGAGTTGGGCTTCCCTCGCTCTATAAGTGAACTAGCTCGATGGCTAAAATGATCGAGACAGAGGTATCTAAGCAGACTATTTTGTACAAAGTCTCCCTGTACGAGTTACTCTCTCTGCTTTGCATTTAGTTCCAAACTAAATGGCAATGATAAATACGTGAAGGAAAATATTTGTATCCCATTTTACGAAAATTTCGTGGATGTAGGCGTATGTAATTTCGCACACTTATAGTTTACATAGAAAAACTATTTACATAAAATGATGTACCATCTACCATGTATTTGACACATATGTACTATTTTGTATTTTTTATTAAAGCCGAATTTCGACTACTAGGCGACCACTAGTTATTATTAAAGGCGCGGCTAATGTCTAGTATTTGACATGTCTTCCATTTTACGTACCTTCGCCCATTTCGGATGCGCGCGCATGGCCTGCGAGCCACTCCTCCCATAGAGCGAGCTGCATGGTCCGCTTCGCCATGACCAGGGTCCGTAGTCCGGCTCGCGAGTATTCTGTGATGAGCGTACGAGTGCGTTCGTACGCCGCCGACTCCGCGGACCCGGACCGCATCGGCGCAAGCGCATTCAGCACGGTACTGTCTGCGCCCTTCACGTACAGCACCACCTGAGAATACCAAAAGAGTACATATAATAAACTACATAGTATAGAATATAGCTGAGCTGTCGATTTGAGTAGGACTAGTCAAATGATATGAACAATAATACGAAATATATTGTAAACAATACAAAGAACAAAACAGGAAATTTTTATATTGGTTTTGTGATAGGTATTTTATACAATAAATAATATTTGCATGCAGTTTTATTGAAAATGAACTATTTGTTGAAACGTGTTCTTGTGTTAATAAAGAATGTTTTATAAAATGGGACTGAGAAAGATAAACAGTACCTACAGGGTGTCTCAAAAGTTGACGACGTTGTAAGCAGATAGCCCGATAGGGACAAAAAAATCTTGACAATGTAGTTATGAACCTATAGGCATTAAAAAAAGCTAAAAAATCATTATAAAATTAGCTATACTACACGCGATAGTAAAAAGTCTTAGTCCGTACCACTTTCTCTTTCCTATTCAATTAGATCACAAAAGCATTAAACAAACATGACTGTGATATTTTGTTAAGATGTTTTATACAGAACACAGTTTTATACAGAAGTATAAAACTGTGTTGCGACTATCGACGCCCTTCACCTAGTTCATATAATTCCAAAAAATTACATGCCATGACGTTACCCATCACGTATTGTCTAATAAAATTTAGAAAATATTTAAATTTACCAAAACAAAGAAAATTTAACTTATAAACAATAAGAAAAAAAAAACCATAAAAAAGGTACAAAATAAAAAGAGCCTATGCTTGTATTTGATATGTATATGTGTAAGGATTATGCGTATGTGTGCGTGTGTGTGTGTGTGTGTGTGTGTGTGTGTGTGTATGTGTGAGAGACAGAGAGGGTGGTCTATGATTACTATACATTATTTTTGAAATTACAATATTTACGATACAAGTCCAGTTTATAAAGTTCTAAAAGATCTTCAGATTTTTATAAGATAAGTTTTGGAGCCATTTAGCACAGAACAGCTTACATTTGTAGTAGGATAGGGGATAGTATATATATATATATATATATATATATATATATATATATATATATATATATATTGTGCGTTCCTGGGTAAGATTCTCATCGGATAAGCCGAAGCGTAAATATAGTGCAACGTACCTGTCCTGTGGGCATGCGCATAGCAACCGACATGCATTTCCGGTTGGCGTCGAACTGTTGCACACGTAACACCTTTAACCGCGTGAGCTCGCCACGGATGCCAAGCTCCACCTCATCGGGCGCCCGCGACCGTAGTTCATACCCGTAAGCTAGAGCCGCTTCTGCCAGTGCCAACTCATCAGGACTCTCTGCTTCGTATCGTGCCAGCTATAAACAATTAAAGATAAATTCAATATACACACCGAATGAGTTTTTGAAAATTTGTAGGAAATATGGTGATGTTTTTTTTTACCAATTTTGTACAATTTTTTTTTAATAAATATTGCCTTTTAATAAATAGTTACAACTTATTTAAAAATTACTTTAATATTATTATAATATTTGTACAATGCCCCTCTGATCCATCCCCAATCTAATTCAAACGAGGATCAAAATTACGACGGCATGATCTGGGGTTCATATCACTAGCGTTGTATCCGTCAAGCAGTAGTTGGCCATCAACCGCTTCTTAAGTCCTTCCGCGAAAATATAAAGGCCAGTTAACTAAAAGTAACTAAAAAGTTAGTTCCTAGCATAGTCTAGTTTTTACATTCGTACTTCTCAAATTTCGGCCTCTAATGATTTATCGCCATTAAAAACTAATACAATAGTTAAATCATTATACTCACTTGTTGTTCGGCAGACGTACTTGGTTCGCTACTGTTCTCGTCTTTACTAACGAATGGTAGCTTTGGCAATCGAATTCGGAGCGGCGACGTTGTGGACGGCGGTGGCGACGGTGTTGTAGAGCGAGATTCCGTCAATCGCGCGTACCTGTAGAAGAGACCACATTTCTGTGAATATAATTAAAATATATAATAACATGTCACATAGCTCCATCTACTTCTAATGCAGATCTTGTGTTATGGTTTTTTTTCTAGACTACTCTAATACTGTAGGCCACACCTGGTCTTTACGGCTTCATCCGACGATGGTCGACGGGGGCGAGGCCAGATGACACTCCAAACCAGCGGAAGGACTTATGGAGCGGCTGAAGGCAAAGTCCCGCCTGATGGATAGGACTTTAGTGTAAGTGCACTGGGGCTTCGAACCTCGGCACAGACTGTCGTTCTATCCCCGTTTAAATGGGACGAGGGATCAATTGGTGGGGAGTAGTAGCCAACTGATATATAATGAACACAAATGTACGGTACATTTGTCATGAATCAAACCCAAGACCACCTGAAGTAAGCGTGCTAAACCGTACACAATTAATTTACTTCTTGTTTGAAAGATACATTAATCCAAAGTGGCATAGGCTATATATTAATACAACATTCCCAAATCAAAATATTAATCAGCAGACTGATTGGCGAGGCAGTATAGCAGCTAGATAAACTGATAGGAAAATGGTTTAAATTGGTTATAATATTAGTAATAATGGTATTAATTGACAATCTATTATAGTGATTTCAAGCTATCGATTTCGATAATTCAGAGCATTATCATTACTTTTTGATAAGAGGTCATTATCCTGTAAATATATATATACATTATTTTATGACAATTCACACAGCGCCATCTAGGCCCAAGTGAAGCTAGCTAAAGCTTGTGTTATGGTACTAGATAACTGATACGAATATAGACACACACATATATATATTTTTCGTAAATACATCAATTGAAAATACCCAGACCTAGAATGAGTGAATGAAATAATACAAATGTTTGTGTCGTGTGAGGAATAGAACCCGCTATCATATAGATATAGAATATGAACCCCTGACATTATAATAAAAAAAAATATAAGTATTTTTTTTAAGTTATATATAAATATTTCATCTTTTTTAATGTTTTCAAATATTCCGGTTGTTTGTTATATATTTTTATCGACATTACCAGAGGACCAGATGAATACAAACTAAGTTTAGAGCCTGGAAGCATTAATCTGTATTGTGTATATTTATTAAATAAGTTCATTTGTATTAAGTTGTTGTAATTGTGAGTGTCGTGTGTTTAAGCATCTACCTAACAAATAACATTACAAATATAAATAAATATATTACTAACTTATCGTTCGATCGGAGCGTTCCATTTGAGCGGCTCGGCTTGTCATATTGTTCTCCCGAATTGGACCCACTCATCTGCATGGTGTCCACGTGTGGCTGGCTTACTGCTACGGTATTGCATACTGCCAAGATCAATAGGAACTCGCGGACCTATCGAGATAAAATATAATATAATTTATTGCACCTGTAACACTATAAAATAAAAGATGGTTATACAAAAATGTGAGCAAGGATAAAACATATTATGTAGAGCAAGAATAAGCGGTAAATATAACCTTCTTTTTATTTTTTTAAATATCCCTGGACAATTCATTACCATCTAGTTTTAACCTAAACAGATGAGCTTGTATTATGGGTACTAGACAACTGATAGATATTTTTACACTTAGATATTTATACATAGATATTTTTTTGTCAATACATACATAGAAAATACCCAGATCAATACAAACAATCATTCATGAGTACATGAATACAAATGTTGTACTGTGCGTGAAATCGAACCCGCGATCAGCGGAAGTAAAGCGCTGTGCTAAACCGCAGTCGCCTATTATAAACGGTTTGGTTACAAAAAGTAAGTGGAGAAAAAATAGATATAGAATATAATGTACTAAAGAGAATACACAAAATTAGGTGTAGAGGTTATCGATATTTATCAGATTTAACATCGATGTTATGTCCTCGATAACATCGACCAAAAACAAGAACCATAAAGTGGAACGTCGAAAAAAAAAACAGAATTCTGGTCTAGCAAAAAACAAGTCCATCCAATAAAGATATATCTTATTCGATATTTATTATACATATAAAAGAAAAAATACCTTCTGTGTATGTTGCGCATCATTGTTATCTAATAAGTGCTGAAGCAATCTTCTGTTTGGCGACACTTTACTTATAGGGGTGACTATTGGCGCCAATTCAGGCGAAGGCTCAGCCGGTGGTCCGGGCGGGTGATCATAATCCACGCCCCCAACCGTGCATCGTCTGAACACCATCTTGTTCTCTGTTAACGTGCCTGTTTTATCGCTAAACAAATATTTAATCTGGCCCAACTCTTCAGTTATATTCAATGCTCTACATTCGGTTCGGGTGTTCGTCGCTGGATCGTACATTTCGACATCTTGATGTATATGGTAGACTTGGAGGAGTTTCGTCATCTCTATCGTCACGTATAATGATACAGGGATCATGACTTGAAGAGCTATTATATAAGTCCAGAATATCAATAAGCCCTCGTATGCGGGTTTTGCATCGTACGGGACGAACGGGACAAATTTGTACATCGGCATATCAGGCGTGTAATATTGATCCAACCAAACTTTGCAGCCGACTGCACCGGCGCAACATAAAAAAAGCAACACCAGGACACACCAAATGACGTCTGTATTCATTTTCTTCTCTAAAGTGGAACATTTGTACCTCGGTCCGCCATTATTGAGCATAGCTTTAGTTTCGTGTCCCGCGTAAACGACGATGCCTTCTACGTAATCTGTATTTTTGATCGTGCACTCCCTTAAAAGAAGATGTTCCGAGTTGAGCGGCACTCGTGCACCGTTCGGATGTGAAATGGTACCGGTAAATCGATAAATCTTAGTCGATGGCCTCTCTACTTCCACAGTACTTCTAAATTTTAATGGTTTGAAATCTGCGTGCTGTAAAAGAAAAGCAATAACAATTTTTTTAATTATTCATCACGTAGTACGCATTTAATAAATATAGAGATTTAGGTTATAATGTCATCATTCTGAATTGCGTATATAAATAACTTAACCAGTATATAAATAACTTAATATAATTCGTATTTACGATTTACCTTATTACCTATTTACCTTATCTTTAAAACCGGGTGCCACAATTCTTTGTTTCAAGTTTGTTTCTCCATCCAGATTACAAGTGTCAAGGTAACAGATACCTATGGGATTTGAGGTATGTAACAACACCATATCTGCCGGCACAGCTTCGTTATTTGACAGATGGATGATATCTCCGACGCGGACATCTCGCCACTTCACACGCATGTACCGATCTGTAGATCTGCAAAAAAAAAAATATAATATAAAAAAGTGATTTTTATATTTGGGATTTTGGGCGCAACCTCAAGATCCAAGTTCGGATCCTAATTATTATATCTTAGCCTACTGATTGACAAAATTGACTTAAATAGCATAATTTATGAAAAGATGATAGGTATTATCATCCCTTGAGCCCCTCTATAATAATAGTAACATATTATATTATTCAACTGGCACCAGTGTTAGGCAGACTTGGGTAAATCTTATTGGTTTTTGGTCTTACCCGACTTGCATAGTACCCGCTTGTCTTAGTACTACTGTCAAAGTCCAGGTGGATATTCATGATGGATTTTTTCTAAATTAAAATCAGGTATACAAAGATACAATACATCATGTATTGATTTTTTAAATTTATTATGTTTTCTTTAAATACGTATGTAGTAATATGTAGTATTTAACTGGTTGGATCTTCAATTATAAATACACATCACATGATCAATTATGTAAATATTATTTTATAATTGAAAATTCGAAATAAAACCCTATCCTATAGAATAACTATTATTACATAATAATTAATAATTCTTCTATCGCTATACATACTAAGCCGATTGAGCAGGGCGGGTGTTATTAATACTTATATTTGTGTTGTCCTTATTGATGCATGCAGAGACCTGTCCTAGAGATGCATAGTAGTGAGATGTTATTAACCTAAACGTTAATGTAAGTACCGACTTGGCACTCAGATGAGTAATAATTTTAATATTTAACTGTACAAATATTAATTATTGGCTAATATAATTACACAACTATGTAACTAAGTACACTGAAAGAATGTAAAATTACATAACAGCTCTACAGGAAAAAGGACACAACACGAATTTAATATGTGTAGTAATTGCTGTTTTCCTTATTAATTACAATAAAATAATTTACATATCTATAACAAAAATGTAAATTTATAGGTATTTGTAGATGTTTTTGATTTTGTAAATTATAATTAGGTACTTTTCAGGAAGTTTGTTATGTTACTTGTAATTCAATACCGTGAACACTTAATCAACTTACTGCTAACACTAAATTATCCACTGAAGGGATTAAATAATTATTTCTACTATATCAGGTTTAAAAAAAATCATGCATTTCGGATTGTTTCAGACCTTACATATAGACTGGCTATATATGACAAGTTATAAACAAAAACACCGGTAAATACAAAAGTTTTAAAACTAGCAATTTTGGTGCAGTGTCACATTGTACTCTGTAGCCATAATAAACAACAGTGAAAATGTTTGTTTTATCTATTACATTATTAACTAGTACCGTTCTTAGTATCGTCAACAGGCTACCTTTTATGTATAATGGCATTAGATACGGATTAAATCCAAATCATAGGAGTCTATTTCATTTATATCTCTAATCTCTAGCTATGTCAACTTGCATTATTACTATGACCGATTCAGATTTTATTGTTTTGTTTCTTAATAAAGTAAGACAGATTAAATTGAGTATATGTCATCTTTTCGATGTAATTTTAATTCGATTATATCAAATTCAGCCTACAAGGCAACGATAGTACTCGTAATCGTAAAGTAAGGAAAAGCAACAGGTCACGATCTTGTTAAGTAGCGGTAAAGAACCACGAAACGAAAGTGATTCCGCTGCGATAACAGAATACATTTTCCTGCTTTCAGTCACGAATGCTGACAAATTGTGTTGTTGTATTTGTTTATTGGCATAACAATAAATACAAACAATATAACATAGTGGGATCATTTCATCGGAATTGAACCGATTACTTAAAAGTGATTACTGATTGTAACGTTCTTAAAAGAAATAAAAGCATTTTTTTTATACTTTGTTACTATTATACTTTGTTAAATGTGGAAAACTTTAGCAAAATGGAACACCCCATTGATTACAAAAATATTAAAATCATCACAATCACTATTATTAAAAGTCTAAGGAAATTATGAAAATAAAGAAATATAAAATATCATGTTTCAATTCATGTGGGTGATCTGGCGCGGTCTTGTTGTTTCCTGTAGGAATAACAGAGGAAAAGAGTATAATTGGTACCTATTTATAGATAGGGTAGCCATATAAGGCTTTTTATTAATAATTGATTTTTCAAAATTGGATCTTTAATTGCACATAGTACATTCTAAATACACAAAACAATATTAAATTAAACCTAAAAATAAAATAGTTTAAGAACGTTAGAATCGAGTTTTTGTGACTTGGTCACGCCTATTCGTTTACGTAATGAAGCGTAATCTGTATTTAATTTCGATTTCCAATTATTTATTGTATTTTATTATTTAGTTTAACAAATCTATGGAATTATTAATTCCGGACAGTTTAAACGTTAATTGAGTTTCTAAATAAGCCTGCTAGGAAACTAATATCTATTATTAACGAATATTAAACCGTGAGCGATCCGAACGAACTAATAAGTGCTTTAATAATGTAACGTATGAAGTAATATTGGAAAGCGTGTCAAGTGCTTGACGTGACCAATTAGTGGACTCATGAAATGGACAAGACAATAGTTATCGTCACCCCGTCCGGCGACCTAACGTAGGCAATGGCTGTAAACACTGAGATTTTGCAACACGGAATAAACACAGGCGTGACCAACAGTGGTGACGCTTCATTGGCTTCTTTAGTAGTTCTGCAACATGCAGACAAATTCATGGACAGCAAATGTCCAGATAATTAACACCTAATAACTGTTCTTCTAAACAACTTAAGACGGTCAGATATTGCTGCATTGTTTTTTGTTCTTAGGGACAAAGTTAAAACGAGAAAGGGTAGACTGCTATACAAATGAGCCTAATAAACTCACCTATTGTTTTAAATCACCAAAACTCTAATTAATCTCTCTTAAAAACCCAATAAGAAATATTTTTATATCTTTTTCTCATGTTAATACGGATGTTCATATGAAAAACTGTTAATAAAATAAATATATAGGGCAACTTTACTTTTTAGTTCAAGTAATATTAAAATCGTATATTTATTACATATTTATCTCACTATTATTTATGTTATTTACAATATAGGCACTTTACACTTTTTTATATTCAATTGAAAATTATAAAGTACCTATCTATATTGTAGATATTACAAATCTGTCTATCACAAGTGAGGAAAGTTCCTTTATCGGATCAAACAAAATGGATGAGTTCTGACGTCATCGCGTGTATAAACGCACGCAAGTGTCTCTCTAATGAACGGTTAAACTTTCATTCTTTGGGCTCTTTTGTTTCAATGAGAAACAATTGGCAATACTTAGTAAACAAATTGTCATTTCCAAACGTATTAAAAACAAATCATCGATTTGTTATTAGTAATTGACACTTCCAACTAGTCTAAAAGTAGATTAATAAGAGCCACTATTAAAGTTACGAATTATTTCTCTTTTAATAACGACCCCAGTTTCATGTCTGTGAATTTATAAAACAAACCCAGCAGAACTGTGAACCTGTACAGCACAATATTTTTATTGAAATTTTCTTATAAAATATCCGAATTATCCATTGATTTTTTATTGACATTTTTATAGTTACTGATGTTCTCATAATTAAACAGGCAACAGAACATATATATACTCATATTCCTGCATTATCACAATGCACTACACAATCATTAGGAAATTAATGTAATGTATTAATAATGCGCTTAGTCATAAGTTTATATTTAAACTCCGATAAGAATCTTTTGATTGAGTGTTTTGATTAGCCTGCATTATATTATTATTATAATGAAATGTTATCTTCTTTTTCTTTGCACTATCCCACTTTATATGGGGTCTCCTAATTTTGCAGCGCCGGGGGGAAGGGGATTGTAAAGGGAACTAGTAATCTCCATTGCTAGCGATGTACCATGTTAGGTCGACATCCACGCGGTTCCTCCTGGAAACCATCGTGATTAATTCCTAGTGAATTTGAACAGCGTAAACCGTTAGCGCAGGCGAGAAGACTATTTCATTATTATCCCCAAAAAAAAAAGATTGCGGTGCCAGAACAATCTGTCCTAGATTTTCGGGTCAGGCAATTTTTCCATCGGGATAAGATTTTTCAGGGTCATCCACTAGGTAGCTGGAGGACGTCCACTACCTCTTTGCAGTTGTAAAGTATTATTGACCGCATATTCCTTGTCTATTTGCATTACATGGCCATACCATTAAAGATGGTCTTCGGTTAAGTTTCCCTGTTATTGGGAGACTCTTAAAAAGTACCGCGGATGTATTCGTTTCGCATCCTATCTAGTCTCGAGACCAGAGTGTAAGAACATTTCCCCTTCAGTGGTATGAAGTTTTTGTAAATCTGTCTTTTTTACTGGTCACATTCCAGTCCGTACAACATAGCCGGTTTTACCGCAGTCCCATAGACTATGCTATTAGCTCGTAGTTAATTTCATTAAAATGAAATCTTAAATAAATATAAAATTTGTATTATCTCAGCTTGATGATGTAACTAAGTAGTAAAGCAACTATGAAATGAAGTACAAATAAGCAAATATACTTATATACCTGTATGATATTGAGTCATCGTACGAAAACGGACAAGAGTTGTTTGTACAAGAGTTACTGTCAAGGAACTTGTGGAAAAGAACTTTAGTGTCAAGTAAGTACAAGTCGTAAAGGCTTTTAACTGGCGAAGGATGATGTCACTAATTCCGGTTTAACTTAATTGAAAACGGGTGAACAGAGTTTCCAAATGCAAATTGTATTGTCGTTTGAAGTTTGACACATCGTGTGTCCTGTAAATTCTATAATTACGAAATATCCGTTGTAAGAAATCCGGCGTTTATTCTAAAGTTTCTCATTATTCGTATAGATTGACTATACGAATATCATAAATACGAAAGTTTCTGCACGACTAAATGGCTAAACGAAACCTAATTAGACTTGAAGATAGATAGCCGGAGGACCGTAATCAATTATTTTATTTCAAATTATCTGAAGTTCAATAAAATGATAAAAATATTATGACAAAATGATTTACATACATCTTA